TCTAAGAAAGTCAAAACATAATTATTTCTATGTCTTTTGCTCAATAGTTTGTCAACTCATTATTATATGATCATAGGTATTATTCTCCCACTTAAAAATCTTTTGACTAAGGAAATAATAACACAATTACCTCCCTTGTTTTTCTATCCCCCCCCCCCCCCCATGGAACAGCTATCTTCAAACGTTTGAATTTAAAGTTGAAAATGATATTTTTGCAAATTTCTCAACTGACAATAGTGAATTATAGGATTATTCTTTAACAAGGTAGGACTGTTTATAGATACATCTATTTTAAGGCTTTATTTTAATAAATTTTCGAGAGATGGATAGAGAACAAGCTAACAAGAAAGCAATTTTTCCTACAATCAAGGGCTATAATTCAGGAAATTACAATTCGATATGCGCAATTATCGACAGGAACTGAGATCTTTGTGTTATAAACTTATATTTCAAGTTTCAACAAAATCGGATAAAAATTGTGACCTCTATAGGGTCCACAACCTTGATATACCATATTTTTACGCTATTTGAGAACGAACGGCAACCATTTTGTCTGTCAATTTTGGGCTGATTTTTACGAAATTCGAACTCAATCGTCCTTAGGGTGTAAAGGTGATATATTAATACGTTTTTTTAAATCGGATAAAAATTATGACCTCTATAGGGTCCAAAAGCTAAAAACTCGATTTTTCGTACAATCAGGGGCCATAATTCAGGAAGTTACAGTCCGATATGCGTGAATATCGAAAGGAACCGATCTTTGGGTTATAAACTTACATTTCAAGTTTCAACAAAATCGGATAAAAATTGTGACCTCTATAGGGTCTGGAACCTTGATATACCATATTTTTACGCTATTTGAGAACGAACGGCAGCCATTTTGTCTGTCAATTTTGGGCCGATTTTCACGAAATTCAAACTCAGCCATCCTTAGGGTGTAACGATGATATAATAATACGTTTTTTTTAAATTGGATAATAATTATGACCTCTATAGGGTCCACAAGCTAAAAACGTGATTTTTTGTACAATCAGGGGCCATAATTCAGGAAGTTAAGGTCCGATATGCGCGAATATCGAAAGGAACCGAGATCTTTGTGTTATAAACTTACATTTCAAGTTTCAACAAAATCGGATAAAAATTGTGACCTCTATAGGGTTCACAACCTTGATATACCATATTTTTACGCTATTTGAGAACGAACGGCAGCCATTTTGTCAGTCAATTTTGGGCCGATTTTCACGAAATTCAAACTCAGTCTCCCTTAGGGTGTAACGGTGATATAATATGTTTTTTTTAAATCGGATAAAAATTATGACCTCTAGGGTCCACAAGCTAAAAACGCGATTTTTCGTACAATCAGCAATCAGGGGCCATAATTCAGGAAGTTACAGTCCGATATGCGCGAATATCGGAAGGAACCGAGATCGTTGGGTTATAAACTTACATTTCAAGTTTCAACAAAATCGGATAACAATTGTGACCTCTATAGGGTCCAAATCCTTGATATACCATATTTTTACGCTATTTGAGAACCAACGGCAGCCATTTTTTCTGTCAATTTTGGGCCGATTTTCACAAAATTCGAACTCGGCTATCCTTAGGGTGAAACGGTGATATAATATTATTTTTTTTCAAATCGGATAAAAATTATGACCTCTATAGGGTCCACAAGCTAAAAACGCGAATTTTTGTACAATCAGGGGCCATAATTCAGGAAGTTAAGGTCTGATATGCGCGAATATCGAAAGGAACCGAGATCTTTGGGTTATAAACTTACATTTCAAGTTTCAACAAAATCGGATAAAAATGGTGACCTCTATAGGGTCCACAACCTTGATATACCATATTTTTACGCTATTTGAGAACGAACGGCAGCCATTTTGTCCGTCAATTTTGGGCTGATTTTCACAAAATTCGAACTCAGCCGTCCTTAGGGTGTAACGGTGGTATAATAATACGTTTTTTTACATTGGATAAATATTATGACCTCTATAGGGTCCACAAGCTAAAAACTTGATTTTTCGTACAATCAGGGACCATAATTCAGGAAGTTACGGTCCGATATGCGCGAATAACGAAAGGAACCAAGATCTTTGGGTTATAAACTTACATTTCAAGTTTCAACAAAATCGGATAAAAATTGTGACCTCTATTGGGTCCACAACCTTGATATACCATATTCTTATGCTATTTGAGAACGAACGGCGGCCATTTTGTCTGTCAATTTTGGGCCGATTTTCACGCAATTCGAATTCTGTCGTCCTTAGGGTGTAACGGTGATATAATAATACGTTTTTTAAAATTGGATAAAAATTATGACCTCTATAGAGTCCACAAGCTAAAAACGCGATTTTTCGTACAACCAGGGGCCATAATTCAGGAAGTTACAGTCTGATATGCGTGAATATCGAAAGGAACCGAGATCTTTGGGTTATAAACTTACATTTCAAGTTTCAACAAAATCGGATTGAAATTGTGACCTCCATAGGGTCCACAACCTTGATATACAATATTTTTACGCCATTTGAGAACGAAGGGCGACCTTTGTTTGTCAGTTTTGGGCCGATTTTCATGAAATTCGAACTCAGCCATCCTTAGGGTGTAACGGTGATATAATAATACGTTTTTTTAAATCGGAAAAAAATTATGACCTCTATAGGGTCCGAAAGCTAAAAACGCGATTTTTCGTAAAATCAGGGGCCATAATTCAGGAAGTTACGGTCCGATATGCGCGAATATCAAAAGGAACCGAGATCTTTGGGTTATAAACTTACATTTCAATTTTCAACAAAATCGGATAAAAATTGTGTCCTCTATAGGGTCCACAACCTTGATATACCATATTTTTACGCTATTTGAGAACGAACGGCGGCCATTTTGTCTGTCAATTTTGGGCCGATTTTCACGAAATTCACGGAAATGTGGGCGTATCCTGCCTGGCAGCCGCTGGTTATCCGATTATGTTGAAACTTGAAATGTAAGTTTATAACCCAAAGATCTCGGTTCCTTTCGATATTCGCGCATATCGGACGATAACTTCCTGAATTATGGCCCCTGATTGTACGAAAAATCGCGTTTTTAGCTTGTGGACTCTATAGAGGTCATTTAATTTTTATCCAATTTTAAAAAACGTATTATTATATCACCGTTACACCCTAAGGACGACAGAGTTCGAATTTCGTGAAAATCGGCCCAAAATTGACAGACAAAATGGCCGCCGTTCGTTCTCAAATAGCATAAGAATATGGTATATCAAGGTTGTGGACCCTATAGAGGTCACAATTTTTATCCGATTTTGTTGAAACTTGAAATGTAAGTTTATAACCCAAAGATCTTGGTTCCTTTCGTTATTCGCGCATATCGGACCGTAACTTCCTGAATTATGGTCCCTGATTGTACGAAAAATCAAGTTTTTAGCTTGTGGACCCTATAGCGGTCATAATTTTTATCCAATGTAAAAAACCGTATTATTATATCACCGTTACACCCTCAGGACGGCTGAGTTCGATTTTTTGTACAATCAGGGGCGACGACAATATACGTCCACATGAAAATGTGGGCGTATAAAAAATGTGACCTCTATATAGGGTCCACAACCTAAAAACGTGATTTTTCGTACAAACAGGGGCCATAATCCATGAAGTTTCGATCCGATACATGCCAATATCGAAAGCAGCCAAGATCTTTTGGAGATAAACCTATATTTCAAGTTCCGTCAAAATCGGATAAGAATTGTGACCTGTAGAGTGTCCACAAACAAATTGTGGCCGGACGGACAGGGGCGACGGCATAATACGTCCACATGAAAATGTGGGCATATAAAAATATGAAATTACAACTTTAAAATTTTGGAATGAAATGAAATGGGGTTTAACATCCTACTGTTTTGCTCCGAACTGGGCTAATGAAGACTGGCATACGCCATACAGTGTGCAATGAGGGGAATTTTGCCCGGACAGCGGCACTATGGCCTACTCTTATATCGAATTCCAACTGTCAAAAAATTTTGGAATAGTTTGTAATAAATATAAGTTAAAGAAAAAATGCACTAATTCCAATATCGTTTATCATTGTTTTTGTCTATTTTTTATGTTCCCTCATGTTCAAATTTGATTGTTCAAATTAAAACTTTAAGGTGTTATCTTAGTTATTGCCACCGCTGCTTAATAAAGTCATGCTTTACTTTTTCCCTCGCCATATTGAGCGACGGGTTTATTTGACTGGATTATTCGATTGGTTTATTCGACTGGCCTTATTTACGGACTCTATTCTTTTCAAGGTGGGGGAGAAGGGGCGAAAATATTAGTATCTACATAGTTCCCCTCATAAGGTGCAAAACCCTATTTTCCAAAATAATTTTTTTTTGGGGGGTTGGGGGGGGGGGGGGAGAGCACCCTATCAGCGACCCCAGAAGCCCTTGCCACACAAGTCCCCCCCACCTCGCCATCATTTTTGGGCTAGCTACTGGGCGGGCCTGAAGTGTGGATAAAGTCCTGAGAGATTTGATATTTTCCGCAAATCATGGGTCACCACGCCCCTGGATGGATCACTTATCTAGTATAAGACCACAGAGTAGTAGAAGAATGATGCCAATAATGGAATCGAGTGCCGTAGGCGCGAAAAAACTTCAGATAACAACGTATATATGTAACTAAGCTTTTAACTTTGGGATACTGGGCCTGAAAATTTTAGTCATTTTTCTGGCATTTGAGTTCATTGATGGGGGCAAATTCTTGTGAATGAGAGGATATGAAATGGGACAGAACCACGAGGCCTGCCAGACAATTCTGCCTGTTTTGTGAGAGTTGACTGAACATTAAAGTTAGAACAGTCTGTCGCCCCACGACACTCATTAGTGGGAGTAGTAGTGCCACTAGGCACTACTAAAAGGGTGGTTCACACCCGTGGAATTGTAGACCACGATGAACAGACACAGGAGTGTCAACAATTTATAACCATATTTAAATGTTGGCATATAAAAAACACAGAGGCATATCGATTTCGTCAGACATAATATAATGTACACACCACAGCTAATAAACAGTAGTATGGATCAAATATAACCAAAATACAAAATATAAACAACTATATAAATAAAACATAAAAACAAATCATCATATTATACAGATATTATAAGTAACAATATGACATACAGAAATTTGTTTGTATCATCTAGCTGCTTATGCATAATTGATAAATAACATGTATGACTCACCAATTAATAACAGTGAAGTGGAGTGGGGTGGTGTGGTGGGGTAGCTGGGGCAAATTTTACCACCATAGACTGGTAAATAATTGGCCGTATTTGCTATAATATTTCAAAAATAGATAATGTAAAATGAATGTGTTAAAAATTTCATTCAAATTACTTTATTTTGTGCAAAGTTATCATGGTTGTAGTTTTGACAAGATGTGTGAACTGATCATAACCAGTCTTACCTCGTTTCTCCATTTTTAAATTAAATCAATAAATAGCCAAACCGTTCTAATCAACTTAAAATCAGAGCTATCCATGGCATTTAGAGGTGATTATGGTCTTGTCATGTTAATAAATGTCTAATTTAAGGCCCAAAGAAAGACCTGCAATAAGCAGATTTAGCTTTTACATAATGCCTGTTTAAGCAATACTTAGAGTAAGATGCCCCCATAACTGCTTTGCTCCCAAGACACTGAAATTTAAACAGCAAAACGCTTCAAAACAGCAAAAATGTTTCGACACCAAATATGAGTTGTCAATAGGAATTAGAAATTAAGAAATATTTAGGATGCTTCTACTGATAGCTAGGGATATATTTTAGACAATTTTAACAGGAAAACAGGTCCCACACCTACAAACATTCAATTTGGCACTTCCTGTGGCAGCAACTAAACAGCACTTGGGTGTCATTACAAAACTTTTTCCACACTGCTGCGACTTTCACACCACACCACACCACTTCTCACTAAAATGCCTGGGAACTGACTAAGTTTCAATTTGTATAATATTATATGATTTCATTAAACTCTAATATACAACTGAAGAGCCCAGGGGAAGAACGATCAAAGTCACATTTTTGTCTTTTCGCATAAAAGGCAAAACAGACTTTTGGACGAGAATGCAAGACGCGAACAGAACGAGTGATTTTAATAACAACTTTAAAATGATGTTTAATATAAATCATAATTACCAGAACAACAAGGTTAAATAAAGGGTATGATGGACTTGTATTTGTTTGGGAGGCCACTTCAGAAGGGCCTTGGTTCGATGTGACTCCGATCGTTTTTACCAGAAATTGATTGTTCCACAGAAAGCTTATACAATTTGCTATCAGATGGCACCATTAACTGGGGTTCGTTGAAAAAGTGACTTAGATCGTTCTTCCCTGGGGCTTTTCAATTGCTATTGTTAATATTTTACTGTTTAGAATGTCAAATCAGCCTAACAATAATAAGTTTAACAAATCTAGATAAATTCATGTACAAATTGGCAAATAAGAACAGGTGGTAACAGTAATAATATTCAGGGCCAAATTCTTCTCTCTAGTATTGCACATAGTAAAAAAAAAAAAAACCTAACCATAATGTTAATACGACAATGCCGAGATATTAAACCACATTCTTTTTGTTTCCTGTCCTGATTAGAATGAGAAAGCATTCGGTAAAATAACAACCTTCATTATAACATCTTTTGTCTATAATTATCGACAGAAAGTTAACTGTTAACACTTTCTGGAGTTCTTTTGTTTTTGTATGTCATTATGCTGATTATCACATATGGTGTAAATAACATCCAAGCAAGACTTTTTTTGTTATTCATCTGTGATTTTAAACTACATCTTCCAGTATGGAGTGGAATTCACAGTAAAATTCTAACTCTTAACCTAATGTTCAGGCCTATGCTAATTTGCATGTATAGTCATCCAAATTACCATATTTGCATGTGTGAATGCTACTATTTGTAGGTAATAAAACTACATGCATAGCATTATAAGGTTAACGTTATGTCATGAATTCTGTTCCATATAACATTTGTTACCATTTTTCTTTAACTTTTTTATGGTTGACTATATTATTGGGCCTACATATTTATCACTAAATATTTATTTTCAGAAAACTATGAAAGAAATAAATAAACTATTTTCTAACATGCTTTCCAATGCCAAAATTTTCTAATCAGTACACTGAAGTAATGTAACTACGCTAAGAATATTTATGTCTATATCACATTAAAAACTTGCAATCTCCCTCAATAATAAATGTAATATAATTGACCACGATTTACCAATTTTAACCCATAATCTGATAGTCAATACTAGAAAATTTCAGTTAAATTACATTATTCTGAGCGAAGTTATAAGTGTTTGAAGTTTTCACAATATAGTCTTGATTGTTGAGTACTGTTGCTACGATAATAAGCAAAGTCTTGATCATCCATTTTTACAAAAAATTATTAAATGGCGATTGGGTTTTAGTCCATTCACAGCGATCTGATGTCCAGAGAGTTGATATGGACTTGTCAAGTGAAAAAATGCCCAATTTCTATAACATTAGAAGCTAGAAAAAAGACCTGGTCCCAAGTTCACAAAGCATTCTCAGGCTTAAATTAAAAATTTACTCAAAAGTGTTCATCTTATTTTAACTAAAATATAGCCCTTTATAAAACTTTTGTTTTAATATATCAAATACATCAGTAAGAAACTATGTGCAAAGTTTTGTGTTTCTGGATCAAGGATATTTCTCATTTAAACAGTGATTGAAAGTTGAGTAAATTCTTAACTTAAGTCTGAGAATACTTTGTGAATTCTGGGCCTGCAGATTTAGCTCCAACATAATGCATCTTTTTACTAACTATGTAATGTATACACAGTTGAGTAATTATAAAGAAAGGTTATAGATTTATAGAAGACTGATAATGCTGACAAGTGTATCTTACCTATTACCCTTAAAGATGCTACCCTAGGACCACAAAAGCTTCATTACCATGATCTGCTTTATGCTTTTTTAAGATGGTTTCCACCAACTAATACTACCTATATTTAATATATCAGAGATTCTAAAGAAGCTGAAAACGTAAATAGTTCATGCTAGACAAACTGATGCTGGACTAAATTAAAAAGATAATCCCTTCGAGTCATTGGCCTAGTGGGCTACAAATCTTGTTCTAAAGATGAGGTACCTAAGGATATCCTGGTCGACTAGGTATAGGGGGAGGGCCTGATTTTGTTTGTTTAGATTCAGATGCACTCGGAAGTTCATCAGGTAATAGTGGAAACATTGATTTTTTTTTTTCTGAATTGTGAAATCTTGGTTTTGGACATGGAGCTTCAGATGTAATATTTGAATCAGGTATTGCTGGGGGACTTATATCAGGACATGAGTGGTGTGGAGATAAGGGCTTAAAATTATCTGTGGAATGTGTAGGGTTGTCCTGATGTAATACTGTTCTAACAGGTATTGGTGGTGGTGGTTTATTCATGTAATGAGTTGGAATAGTACTGGTATCAAATGGATCTACTTGAGATTCTCTGCCTAGATTGACAGGGGCATCAAGGGAATGAATAAATGCAATTTTTTCGTCCATGTTGTGTGTTGAGCTTCTAGTAGGTGTTAGGCATGATTCTGATATATGAAAAGGTGCAGTACTGTTCAGGGGTTGTGAGTCTGATGTCAGTTTCTCCATACTTCGAAATCTCTGTTTTGGTACAGGAATTTTTATTGTATCAGCTAAGTTTCTATCATCAATATTTTCATCAGTTTTGCTTCTCACAATTGGTTTCTGGTCAGGCAACCCCATAGAAGCTTTAAAATAAAAAGTTTTAAAAAATCATTTATATCAGAAAGCTAATATTATCGACAATACATTCAGGAAATATGCATTATAGTTCTACAAATTGTGGTGTGTTGCATCATAACGGGTCAGGGTCAAGTAGGTAGTTCGTAGTTAATGAAAAAAAAAATTGCTCTAATCATCCTGGGAGCCACTGTGGCTCATTGAGTAATAGGGATTTTCCGGTGTGGTCCCCGTCTCCCTTGCCATTAAATGTAGTGCTGTTGTTCTGGCAAAATTTCCCTCATAGCACACTGTATGGTGAATACCCCGCTTCATTAGCCCAGCCAGAGCAAAACAGTTGGGTGTTAACCCCAATTAATTTCTAATCATGCCAAGTGATCTAGGAGTATAACTGAATATGTTACATCTGGTGTAATGTAGAAAAATAGAAACATGAAGAAAAAACGAAATAAAGGTATAAATTCCATTTGCTTGGTTTTGGTATCAGTATGTGTCTATTATTGATGTCTAGTCTCAGCTAAGACTGACAGTGGTGACAGGAAGATAAGTAAATTATTCCATGCTTGACTGCACGGCTTTTCGACAGTGATTTCAGAAAGTGACTTTTCTGCTGGTGGGTGAATTAGGCGACCTTACCCTGTTTTCATTACATTAACGATATGAAATGATAAAGTTTCTAACCTGTAGTTGGTTTTCCATGCATTGAAATCCGTTGTGGTTGAATATTTGTGCCACTCATTAGTTTTTCAATCAGATTCCGTGCTTCTGCTTCATTAGAAGCATGGCCCTGGTGCATTGCACCCATTGGAAGGCCAATAGATGTGACCTGTTAAAAAATATTGCTGTATTAGTAAGGAAATAAACATGAATTAAATAGGACTTTCTGGGATATCAAAATAGACTTCCTAAATAAGCTGTAAGTGGTATGAGGAATTTTAGGGAAATATACACCAACATCAGCTAAGTGTGTCGCTAATGAAACATTTTCAGTACACTAAAATCTGATCAAGAGTAACAACTCATTAAGTCATTATCAGAAATCATTAGAATTTGTTTGGCTTCTAGTTCTGCCCCATGCTAACGCTTAGTATACAAAACATTTAATAGAGCTGGTTCTATTTTTCTCGCGTTCTCTTATCTAATGACATTTAATTACTTTATTGAATTGTCAGGTACCCTCTTACAGTCCCATATAGCAACTTTTGGTCTTGGAAGGAATTATTAGTGAGCAGAAATTTGGCTATGTATCTGTTATCACTCGTCACATCAGTCAGTTATATAGAGAGATGACTCGTGTTTTCCTTTGGCGTTCATCACTTCCGATTCAGGAAACCTGTATTACTCAGCTATCGTAGCAATGATCTCTGTGTTAAAATTATATTTGGAATGTGTTTAACCAGCTCTATCACATATGTGATAATGACTGGCACCAATATTGTCCTTTAACTATCTATGTCACACATTACCCAGAAAAACCAACAGGTAGAATGATTGCAAGAAGTTCACTTAACCAGACAGGGGAGTTGAAAATATACAATGACAAAATTAACATACCTGTTGGCCCTTCTTCATTTTTGCTGAAGGCTGAGGTCTTAGTGGTTTGTGTATGCTGGGTGTATAGCCAGGTCTACTTGGAAGTCCTAAAGATAGAGAATATCCAGAAAATCAATTATACAACAACAAAAATTCTTTAAAATAACTACTATTAATTACTTTTCTTCCATTAATGTTTTAAGTGCCAAAAATAATTCCTCTGGATTCCTTCAAAGTTGAAAATTTAAATTAATTACCTGGTGCAGTAGATGGAGCAGAAGTTGGAGGACCGCCTGGTGGGCGTTGAGGGGCTGAAGGTTTTGCAGGTTGAGTAAATGGTCTAGCAGGGGGCTCTTTTCTAACAATCTGAAATATGAAAATATATCTGTAATGGCATTTAACATCTCGTTAATAGTTTTAGACTAACATACAATGATTTCTTTACTATGGTTATGTGTGGGAGAATTTGGTGCTCCTAATTCCAACTTTCAAGGAATCTTTTACAAATTTGTACACAATTCTAACCTCTGAAGATGACGATACCAAACTATTTTGGGATGAATCTGTCACTTGTGGTCCAATTTGACTGGAAAGGCAATTATTTGATTGTTGTTGAGTAGGTGGTCTCCCTTTTGAATCTGATGTGCCCTCATCAGATCTCGCTGGACTACTGCGACCTGTGAAGAGCAAATAAATATATAGAAAAATTACAAGACTAATTGGGGTTCAAATCTGTGTGGCAACAGCCATACAAGAAATTTTTCCACTCTCTGATAAGATGAAAGGTCATTAATTTAGGGCAAATCAAGCTTTACAATAATACACTTACACACAAAAGTTGACATTGAAAGTCTTAAAGCACTAAAAAAAGTCCAGAAAACTGAAATTAATTTTAAAGTCAAGTATCCTAACTCCTATAAAAGTGAGTTGGTGAAGAAAAGTCAGGAAAACTAAAATTTATGATTTTTGTTAAGTCCATGGGTCATAGATGGGTGATGACAATATACAGTCACATTAATTGTTGGCATATAAAACAACATTTGTAGTAGGGGCAATAACTCAGCATAAAATCGATCTATGACTCAATATGGTTATTTCTTAAGACCAGCTCAACAAGTTGGAAAAATATAAAATCTCGAAAACTAGAGCATTTACAAAATATAGGAGTATAACAGTACTAAAAATAAAAATAAAAAAAGTGAAAATCGACCCGTTATTGAAAAAAATTATGTTACAATATATAGCTTTATCTATGTAGAGTTGTCTAAAATTCAATTAAACAAAGAGATGTAAAAGCTTACCTGAAAGTGGTGTATTAGAACGTGAAGATACAGCATTTGTAACTGTTAGATTTTCACTTGAAAACTCATCATCATCATCTACTATAAAAACAAAACAGAAACCCAACATGTATATAATGCCTTGCAATGAAACCTATTTCCATTTTGTCGTCCAAGCCACAATTATCAAGAGACCCAAATGCCTTAGTTAATTGTACAAAGGATTTTCAAGGTAAGTTTTTAAGCAACCTTAATGTTTATTCATAAGTGAGGAAAACCCATTATTTTTGTTAGCTTATTTTCTGTCCCAGTTGAACTAATGGGATAGACTTCAAGTCAGACAGAAGAGTATCACAAAATAGGCTCTGCCATGTACTGGAAGCTTGCTGTTAAAAGCCAGTAAAAGTCAATTTTATTCCATTTACCATCTTCCATGCTGAACTCCTGAGATGGTACATCAAAATCATCACCCAATAAACTATATGTAAACATATTGCACATGGCTTCCGTATTTTCTGAGCAAAGCTTCATTTCTTCCTCTATAACAGCTTTCCAGTCTTCTGTACGTAATCGAACACTGATTACACCAGCACTAATCTACCAAAAAAAAAGAGGATATTAATTCCAGTAAGCAATATCAGGTAAATACTAGTTGTGCAATGGATTTTATTTCACGGGAGTTGATTTAAAACACACAGGTAAGTTTATAATAACCAAAGTTAAGTAATTTGTTCACAATCGAAGAAATCTACACTGGTTCGGACAGGTTTAATTGATTCCCATCATATGCAATATTTTTTATCCAGAAATCATAAATATCCTATTTCTATCTATGATCCGCTATAAAACTAAAAATCTCTTAGCTTATTTCTAAAAATATTATAATGAACGTTTGTCAATTTTAATTTATTTCCATTCGTGTAATAGTTTTTAAACAACTACTGTGATTCATTTTTTATTTAAACAATATTTTATTTATTTAAATTTACAAAATTTACATAATAAATACAGGATATGATAACAAGCTTTATCAGCTTATATAAAATCCATTACTACAGGAAATATTGCTTGAAACTTACAGAATTATTACTGCCATAATGTAAATTTCAGAATTTCAATACTATAATTTGATCTTCTCTTAACAAATTAGTCTTTCACTGAATATTCAAATTTTGGTTCTGAATAACCTTTGAGGCAGATGATGAGTTTAAAGTAAGGTCCTCCTAGGGATGCAGATGATGAGTTTAAAGTAAGGTCCTCCTAGGGATGGCTCAGTTACTTACCACTTTCTGGTCATATTGCAGTGCCTCAAGAGCACACCGTCCCCTACGATAAATAATCCACATCTCTTCCCCAACAAATCTGTTGAAAAAAAAAAAAATTCAACAATCTTGTTTCCATATTAATAATAATGACAGGTTTCTTATTGTGTATTAATTTTAAATCAACTGGAAAATAACTTAAACCACTAGAGGATCCACAAGATTTTTAAAAGTGATCAAGGGTCATAGCTCTGGTAGCAGTCATTAGAAAAAGCTGAAGATCAATAGGATTCTTTCTTTCATGCACTTATACTATTTAAGATAAATCAGATCATAACTTTAGCCTAGTTAAAATACAATGAATTTAGGCTCACCTGACAACAATTATTTCTCCAACTTCATTAAATATTGCAACAATCTCATCTACAATTTCATCAGTTATACTAGTTCCTGTTGCCATGGAAATAATGACAGTACCATCTGGAGGTCCTTGCTGACTAATTACTTCTTGCAATATATTTCCTTTGATTTCTTCTTCGGCTGCCAAGACCTCAATATCAAACATTGCTATAACTGGTCTGGAAAGAAAATAGTATTTCCTTAAAAATATGTTCACTCGCTAAATTTTTGTATGCATGTATATTTAATTTATACAACCCTATTGTAATTTTTCTTTTATTATCTCCTTCGTATCCCCAGTGGTACCATTCCATTCTTCTCCACTAACCCCTGGGTCCATTCAAGGTAGAAAAATATATTCAAATTGGCCATGATAAATTCATTGGCCATGTTGGTTGACAATACAAACCAATAGCAAAACAGTTTACAAACCAGTCTTAGCATTACTATTTAAATGCACAGATTTGGCAAGAAACAACAATAACTTGGTGGAGCATGTTCAGTCATCTTTCCTTGCAACAAAATGTGATATACTTCCCATTTCATTCATTTCTATTTATAGAATTTTTTGATTGGTCAATAAAAATCATATAATTATCTAGGGTGAACAAAATGAATATGTATCAACCCCATAAATGTACCCAGGGGTTAGTGAAGTAGAACAGAACGATACCATTTGGGATGGCCATGTATCCTTTCAAGATCATTGTATCTAGAATGTCTTCACAGTGGCTAAAACATTTTTCCAGCAGGCAAAATTCAATTGTAATAATAAAATTAGTACCTTTCACGAATCTTTAAATCATTTTCCATAGAAAAATATCAGGATAATAAACTATAGAAATATCAACAACCTGATTTAATCAAAACTGCAACTACAGTCCAAAATGTTATAGGTTGCCAGGACAGGCCAATTAGATATGTTGCCAGCAAGCATGGAAATAAGTCACCTGTACCTGACAATGTCCGACACTAATTCAGACTTTGTCAGACACAATCCCTCTGATGTCAGTTATTATGTTCAGCACAGATTTTTCTTTTTTTCTGTGTTTTTATTGATATTTATAATATGTGTTTGGCACAAAGTTCAAAATGTCCAGTACAAGTTCAATAGTACCTGTCATTTCGTCAGATACAACTAGCATTGTTATTTCCAGGCCTGGTCGCCAAGTAAACTATTAGTATCCACAGACAATATATAGGTAAACTTGTGTATACGCACATAAATAAAGTAGACAATTCCTTGACATAATATACCTTCAGTTCAATCTCTCTTTCATCATAGTGTGGATTTGTAAAAAGTTTTATAAATGTGAATCATAGGTGAGTTTTTAAAGGTTTTTACAGTTATCGTTCCCAATGGAATAATGTCTCTAAGATGGCTGCTAGGCTATAACTCTTTTTAGCCCTCATTTGTCTGTTTAAATGACTAAAAGTTTTATTGACCCTTGATCATATTGCCACTTTGACAGATCTAGATGTACATAACTATATGTTATTGAAATGTGAAAGCATACTCACCGATGGTCCGACGTGCGTAATTCTGCCCTAGTATATAATATTGGCTTGTCAGAGTCCAAAGAATGATCTTCCCCATCTGTTAACAATAAACATATTAAATTAATAATGGAATTTTTAACTCATTTTTACTTTAATAGTTTAATTTAAACAAGCCAACAGTGAGGCTGATGTCCCCCACCGAAATCCCAAAGTAAACAGATGATACATATGAATTATTTGCACATTTATCTTTTTCAAAAGTATCGAGTAATCAAACTGATTATCTATGCTTAGTCTAAGCATAAAATGTTCACGATCAAACTCAGGTTTTGAAGTACCTGGTAATGAAACTATACACTAAGTTTCATCACTCTTCATCAGTTAGAATCAAATTTATCTTGTCTAAAAGCATTGGCCAATGAAATTGCTTAGCTCTGCTTAGCTTTAACGGTAAATATTAATCATTGAACTCAGTCAAGAAATTCGCCTAATGAACATTTATACCAAAATAATCGAACTTAGTCAATGTATTGATATAATGAATCTATACTCAGAATATCATCGCTCTCACCCAATCAGAACCAAAGTTATCATGTTCCAAAGTCTCAACAAATCAAACTGTTTCTCTCTGCTTAGCCCTTGTGGAAAATGTACATAATCGAACTCTGTCAAGGCATTCAACTAATAGAAACCTACACCAATTCTGAACATACTACCTCAATTATTAGGCGATTTATTGTGTTCCAAAGTATCGATCAATTAGATTGAAGTCTCTACTTTGCCTAAGCAAAGGTATTGATGTAATGAAACTATATATGAAGTTTCGCCACTATCACTCAATTAGAATCAAAGCTGTCCAACTCCAATGTCTCAACCAATCAAATTGCTTATCACTCTGTTTACCCTGAGCAGAAAAAGCTCATTATTGAACTTAGTGAAGGTATTGATGTAATGAAACTATACACAAAGCTTCATCATTCTCACTTCATTAGCACTAAAATTATAGTGTCCTAAAGCATCACCAATCAAACTGCTTATCTCTGCTTACACTAAGCAGAAAATGCTCATCTTCAAACTCCATCAAGGTTTTCACCTAATAAACGACTACACATTGAACATTCTACCGCAATTCGAAGGAGAGTTATTGTGTTCCAAAGTCTTGACCAATCAAATGACTTATTGCTCTGCTTATCTTGAGCAGAAAATGCTCATTATCAAACTTAGTCAAGGTACTGATGTAATGAAACTATACACCAAGATTCATCACTATTACATAATTATAACTAAATTTATCGTGTCCCAAATCATCAACCAATCAAATTGCTTATCTCTGCTTACCCTAAGCAGAAAATGCTCATCTGCAAACTCCATCAAGGGATTCACCTCATAAACACCTACGGCAAGTGTGAACTGTAAACATTCTACCTCAATTAGAATGAAAGCCATTGTGTTCCAAAGTCTTGACCAATCAAATTGCTTATCGCTCTGCTTACCCTGAGCAGAAAATGCTCATTATCGAACTTAGTCAAGGTACTGATATAATAAAACTATACACCAAGATTCATCACTCTCACATAATTAGAACTAAAGTTATCGTGTCCCAAATCATCAACCAATCAAATTGCTTATCTCTGCTTACCCTAGCAGAAAATGCTCATCTGCAAACTCCATCAAGGCATTGACCTTATAAACACCTACACCAAGTTTGAACATTCTAGCTCAATTAGAACGAGAGTTATTGTGTCCCAAAAAGTGTGACGGACAGACGGACAAATAGACAGACAGACGGACGAACCCATTTTAATAGTCCCCTGCTTTCTTTGAAAGGCGGGGGACAATAAAACAAAAATATCAATCTTAGAGAATCTCCTGGCTTGGATTTGATTTTTCCCAACACTTAAAGATACATTATGTAAGATTTAGATAAAGAGGTAGCAGCCATTCTTGCTATAATAGTTTGAAAATAGATAACGTAACATGAATAATTAGAAATTTCATTCAAATTACGCTATTGAGAGTAAAGATATTAGCCTTTGAAGGTTTGACAAGACGTGTGCAATAATTTCAACCACCGTACTGGTTGTTCAAAGCTAAGTCTCGCTCCTCTTTTTTTTAGCTTAAATTAAAATATGGCTGAACTGTTTTAATCTATTTGATATCGGAGAAATCCGATGCCATTGAGAGTTGATTATGATCTGGATAACTTAATTAATTAATAATTTAGAAAACATTTCAGGCCTAAAGAAAGATCTGCAATAGGCAGATTTAGCTCTTGCATAATGTAAGAGCTGGCTTGTTTCTACTGTTTGTAGAGGATGCTGAATGTTTCAAAACTTTGTATGGAATTGAAACATATTTTTGAACTGATATTCCTTTCACAATATTTTAGTTTGCAATCGATTCAAAATCCCTCAAATGAGTACACATAATAGAACCCTTGACAGTTGGAATTCAAAATAATTCAATTAAAAATTTGATGATCAATTGATCTACAAGCATAAATTTGATAGAATATGTTTTTGACCAATGCCGGCCTGAATAATGATTAAAATAAATATTTACCTTGTTCAGGTAGTACATTTCTTCGCCGCCATAAAACTCTGTCAGTCCAAGCTGGTGCCCGACATTTTTCACTTGTATCATAATCATCACTAAACAGATCATATTTATAGGTTGGTGGGAAATTAGTTTTTGCTTCTTTGAATCCCTGGAATGTCTGTATTATAAAATAAACTATATATATAATATTACAATTTAACAGTTATAAGAATATGAATGTCTACAACATAAAAATCTTTAATTAATGTCATCTTTGTCCTTAATAATTGATTCTATGATTTACAAAATCTACATATGTTTTTAAATTATATTTTACTAATGTATATATAATCTTAATTAAACTTATATGTAGAAAAAAAAAAAAAAATTTTGTAACAAAGTACTGTTTAACTTTCATCAAATTGAACGGTCATCTAGGTGCTTGAACTTTATGACCTCAACTGCTTCTTGATAATATATATAATATTGACCTTTTAACTCTGTATGTTCTTAAGTCAAGATTGTCTGTGTTGTAGTTAAATATGTAATTAATTTAATATGTTATTTATGGGCTGCACATGATCTGTGTGCAACACTCGGCAGGACTTCAAAGGAATATGCACTGGTCAGTGAGCATGCCATGACAAAATAAAAGAGACAATTGAATGTATGACCATGAGCTTATCTATGATCAGAAGGTATATAACTGAAGACAACTAGAAACGATGACAGACCGAGCAGAAAAGACAAACAGAGACGGAGAGGCCGGCGTATGGACTCACCCGAGTTCAGCCGCTGCCTTGGCAGAGGAGCAGAATGGTGGAATTAACATAGTTAGATGTGTTCCTGTCGTAGACTAGTTCCTTATAGTTTAAGTTCCTGTATTGTTGTGGTATGTATGTAACTGTTATATGTTCCCGTTGTAAATAAATCCTATATTTACTAAACTGGTCTACTAGTACTGTTATCACTAAGATAGTGTTACATCTTTTCTAACTCAAAATTTAGAAATGAAACATCAAAGTTTACATAATTTTAGATCCTGAGTTGATATTTGTTTACATTTTATTTATATCTTACATCTCCTTTAATAGTGCCTAAGGTATTGCTTATAATTTTTGCAACAAGACAGCAATTACAATCCAACCCCCCACCAAAAAAAAATTGATGACACTTATTAATTACTTGCACATTTATCTATTCTTAAAGCATCAAGCAATCAAACCTGAGCAGAAAATGCTTGTTATCAAACGGTTAAGGTATTGAAAAAATTCGAAAAGAATCTAATTGTCTTCTATCAAGTTCACAATCGGTTTCAAGGTAAACAGTGAGATAACTATACGGTTTGCAATGGGAAATTTGAGATTTTTAAAGGTTTTTTTTCCTTATAACCAAAAAAACAAAACTTTCAGTCACTCTGACCTACAGACTGGTCACACGATAGTGTGGCCTAAATATCAATTTCTTAGTGTATCATATATGTAGTGCTCTTGTTTTACATAGGTGCTAAATGGAAATGTTCATTATTACTAATATTAGCAACAGCTGATGATCGGTGATTCATTGTTTTTATTTTATCCTTACATAATATTTGATTTACAATATATATAGGAATCTGGCCACCATTTTATAAACAAAATGTATTGATAAAATCACATGTTTAAACAACTCTGATTACTAAATCAAATACATGTACAAATACTACAATTAACATAGCAGTAAATTCATTATTATTCTCTCTGATTATTATAATTTTAATGAGACAAATTTTGAGTATTTTATAGTTTCATGTGTACTTCTCTTTCAAAAGCACGACATAAACATTGTTCGTTTAGTAAAAGTTTCAAATAGAGGTACATTTTTTTCATATCCACATCGACGATTATGAAAATTTTACAGATTTCCCAAACAACCTATAATTTATGTTTCAGCAGTATGTTTTTACTCTCCATGTGAAGATAAGACACAATATGTTTTATAAATTAATAACAACACTGTTACTTTAAAAGAGTTGAGGTTTTCAAATTTTGAAGAATTTCCATAATTCATTTACCCTTCCTTGTTCTCTTTCCTTATTCAGCTGATCACATTCCTGCAATGGTTCTAACTCATTATTTTTCACACATTCCTTAACCTCATCTCCTGTCATATCAATACGATAATTAAAATCTCCACACCAAAATACATAATCATGACTTTGAATCGAACGGTCCTGAAAATATAAAGAAAATCCTACAATGAAATCAATTATCAAACTATTAGCAGAACTTCAAGGTGGATTGTAAACTACAATTTTGGGAGGGGCTATTGGTCTCTTCCATGAGCTCTTGGAAGAATTTAAAGAGTTATAGTTATTTGAAGGCTAATTCCTAGAAGTTCTAAGTCTTTGTATATATTATTTGCAAGAGAATAGCATCTTCTATTCTACTGGTCAGTTCAGTGGTTTAGGCATATGTCCTTATACAGTATTCTGAAACAATCCCCAAAATTTATCAAATCTATTTAATTTTTAAAGTGTGGTGCAGGTTACCCAGTCGTTATTGTTTGTATTTTAGAGGAGAGCCAAAAAAAGCTCCCCTTAATCAACAAATTGAAAAAAATGCTTCCCTAAAAAAAAGTTCTCCCAGTTTCGATGAGAAAAGTGATTTAGAAATTAAGGAGAGTGATCTGATATAAATGAGAATGATTAGTTATGTTGTGTATGGGAAATGGTTCTGAAGATCAATAACTGCATGTTAGGGGGTCATTCCTGGTTTCATAAATGTAAAAGAGAGCGAATTTTAATTTTATGGGGAGGAGCTCGAGAGCAATCGCTTGCCTTAAAAAACAATGACTGGGTTACCCCCACCATGTCTTAGTTGTTTGTGAATAGAGCTGGATAAAACCTGACAAGGTCATTCTTTGGAACGTTCCAAAAGCATTATAAAAGGCATACTCCTCGCAGTGTTTCATTTGATTAGAGCTAATCCCACTTAACACTGCTGTAAAGGAAGCAAATTTCTGTTCCAAATTATGACTGGTCAATAGTCCGATTAACAACCAATAGCTAAACAGAGCTCCAAATTAAACCAAATATGTTTACATAATATTACGTAAATTTGGCCATTAAGCCTCCAAGTGATATTTCTCAGTCATTAGGCCAGTGATGAAGCTCGATGGAAACCACGGGGTTCCATACACTTGGTCATCTTCAAAAACAAAGACTGAGCCTCTGCCAACTCAAGTATGATCAACATGAAACTTGGCACACTTAGTGTTTGGACAATTGTGCAATGACTGACAGACTTTGATTTTTCATGATGACCTGAACCCTGATAGATGTTTCCTGGTTTATATAATGGTCATACTTGTTATTACATTTACGTACCAGTGTCATACAAATGAACTGTAAAATAGAATTTGATCAGTAGTAAACTAAATAAATAAATTTTAAAAAATAAATACTTTTAAAATAAAACCTCACCATGGGGAAAGACATTCTTCTCATTATTTCAGTATAATCAGCATTTCTATCATTCACTTGTGACTGACCAGCTGCTAAATGAGCACATACAAAACAAATAGAAGTCGAATGCATCAGAAATCGGATAGCTACTCCTCCTTTGTTGCCTGTGGCACCACCGAAACCAGTCTTGACCTTTTCTACTGCAACATCTCTAGTATAAACATAAATCGAATAATATTAGGTTTTTCCAAGTAGCAGTACTAGCACTCATTATATTATATACATGTACCAAGGAATAATAGTCAACCAAGGAATAGCATAGTCAACCAAGGAAAATGAAATGAAATGGGGTTTAACGTCCTACTGTTCTGCTCCGACTGGGCTAATGAAGGCGGACATATGCCATACAGTTTGCTATGAGGGAAAGTTTGCTTGGACAGTGGCACTACAGCATACTCTTATATCAAATTCCAACTGCCAAGGGATCTTTTACGTGCACACCAATGTGTACACAGGACCACAAATGAATAGACAACTGTCCTTGTGAGGCCACACTGGAAAATCTTGATGAACTTTCTCGGACAACACCAGGAGCGAACCAGTCAACTAAGGAATAGCATATAGTCAACCAAGAAATAGCATTCTACAGTAGATATCTCTCCTTAGGAGATATCGCTTTACATGAAACAAATCTATACTAAAGAATTATATTTATTCATTTGTCTTTTTTAATATAAAAAAATATCAACACTTATTGATAAAGTAAAATAAACTCGGCAAAGTCTCGATCTTTTTTACAATATCGACTTGTGTTGAAATTTTTTGATTATCAAAAAAGATTCGTAGGGGATTCTCTTTTGAATACAACAGGAGCACAGAAGGATTAATGTACCTCATCCATGTGGCAACATTGTATAGCATGTGTGGCTGTATAGAACAGGACATATGTTACTAATTTTGATTTGAACCTCTTGTGTTTATGTTTCAAGCCATTGTGGGTTGTTCTTGACTTTCTTGAAATGGTAAATGTCTAGACTATAATCGTGCGAGAAATCACACCTCAGTTGCATTATGTGTCGCCCATCACTTCCAGTTGATTCAGTGGTGCATTTTCATTTCCCATTGTTTAAAACCTCTTAGAATATATTTTTGTAACAAATATTTATTTACAATTATATTTTATACGTATTTTAACAACCCTTAATTTGATAACGTCAAAATGGCATTAAAATATCCTACCTAATATAAGGAGCTAAATGTGGTCTGATAAAGACATACAGAACAACACCAACTAGTTGTATACTGGTTAAAACTACATATTTATAATCACGAGATATTGTTTTCATTAATTCTTTTTGCCATTCTTGGGCATTAGTTGTACTGAAAAGAAAAATATGAAGTTAGGTAATCATATCTAAATGAAAATATATAGAACTTATATCATCAACTACATCACCCCTTCAAAAGGTTGGCCTAAAGTTCGCTTGTCATTCGTTACACATACTCTGAATAATGTGAACCCATAAAGATCAGGTTGTCGTTCATAAAAATGTCCAAGACAAACAATGAAACACAAACTGCAGTAAGTCACAGATATGGGAAAGCATCCAGTTGATGGCACGAAAAACATATTACTGTGACACCATTGGTAGACTGTTACATATTGCAATTTTAGAATTCAATAACAGTGACCATCAAATGAATTTAGTCATGTTAATATGGAAATCAAGCTTTAAGTAAGCTTATCTAGTCGTTCTGAATGTTTATTCTGTTTATATCAAAAACCATTTTTACCTTGCTTTCATGATATTGCTTGCATTGAGATCAACAATTTCCTGGAAACCTATAGCATAGATATCAGCAGGTGTAGTATAGTCAATATCGTCATCTATATCACCTGAAATAACAAAACAATAATCTGCTTATACAAAATTTCTAATGAATTTTAATAAAACATAAATGATCTAAACGTGTCAAGTAAAATGCCATTATTTTTCCTGATCATTATAATCTTGGGGCTTTGTAAAGATAAAACTATTGTCATAAGGCATAAACAACCAAAACAGAAAATTTGGGAAAAACGAATGTAGTGAGTGTTATATATGTATATAGCCCCTTTTCCTCCCTTTGCAAGGCACTTTTTATACAGAGAGAGGCATGCAGTTTGTTTTCACGTTTCAAGTCATGATTACAGTGAGTTTTACTGTGTTTTAATGTATGTAAATCAGAGCTTGAAATGTGTATTAATGAAATAAAGTAATGTAATCAGTTACAAAACACTCATCGTCACTCATTGGGTCACCAAAAAGTTCACTGAAGTATGCAAACCAACATCAAAATGTGAAGAAATTTCCTATTTACCTTGTCTGAAAGTTTCAGCTCAAAATATGGAGTTGTTTGAAAATGATCACCAAAACAGTTTATAGCCTGGGTTATTAATGCAGCAAATGGTGAATCAGATTTCGATACAGACTACAGGACAACAATGAATGACGATGCACCATTTTAATACACTTTCTATTCTACATAACATAATTTGGTGAATATAAGATGACATTTGATGGTGGTGAATAAAATAATGACATGACAATTGATGATTGACTGAAAATATAAAATAGCTTTCATAAGTACAGTCAACAGAAATTTGACTAACTATTATGCAACAATTTAAATTTGATGATAAAATGAACAACAAAGTACTAAACATTTGTCAAAACAAACTAATGATGATAAAAAAAACTGTCTATAATATATAACAATGCTAGAAGAATATGACAAACTAACAGCTAAAACACACTATTTGTCTAGTTTTTAATTTTTTGATATATACAGTTAGGAAACAATTTCCAGAATTTACAAACATATTCAACATTTGTATCAATGACCTCTCCTAATGACCACCAAATTTCAAGAAAAGATATATCTTCGTTGTTGAGTTACGGCAATAAACATTTTTTAGCGTTATGCCGTCTCACGTCAATAAATTGTATTTTGAAACTCGAATTAAGGATATAAATGCATGCTTATACAACATTTCCTACATTGGTAACTCAATTGAATTATACAAAGAGACAGTGTATGACTAAATTACAAAAACCTGTTTCTGTCAAATTTGCTGAATCACAGGGGGACATGTGCATGAAAAACACTGAAAATTTATAATAAAAATGTAATCATCAGTAATATTATACTTTTCAATGTGCAATTTTTTAAAATCTAAAATATTTTTTCTTCATTTATATTCACCTTTTTAAGGTTATGGACACTACTACATTGTAGTGTCTGTAACCATATAGTGGCCATACAGTGACCCATACTTAAAAAGTGTATTTGTAAAAGTATAAATTTTGATGATCAAAATATTGAACTATTGATACTTAGAATTGCAAGGCAATTTATTTTTTTCACCCTGATGAGACACTTTTGTCATATATTCAGTGTAAAAATAACGGTTTGGTCATACAAGTCGCAACATGACACTCATAGCATCTAAACGTAAGAGAGGGCCTTTACCGAACGATCATGTACAACATGGCATGTGCAACAAAAGGACAATCTGAACATTTCTAAAATCAATATCATAATAATTAATGCACTAAACATATAAAATGAAATCCCATAATAACCATAATGACAACAAACAAGCAGCATCATGCCAAGCAAGACTAGCCTAAGCAGATACAAGTTAGAATTCTACAATCTGTCTACTTTCTGTTATATAAAACGCAGTGAAGTTTATTTTATATATAAATTATTTATGGCCCCAATTAATCTCGTTTGAAATTTTTATGTGGCATGAAACAGAAAATGCCATAGGTCCTCAAAGACTAGGGTGGACGTTTAAACGAAAAAGAAATTAAAGACTCGAAGAAGAAGATGCTGGATAACTTGACGTTGGTGTTTGTTTTGAAAATGTCACACAGATAGTGAATCCAACTGGATAATCTGGTTATATAACTGTTATTTTAAGAATCCAGTATCCTGGCAGATAACTGGATAATTCAAATATGATTTTATTTCAGTGTAAACTAGCTAAATCGCTAATATTTGACACCTAGAAATTGACACAAATGGGTCGCAACGCATATAATAATGTAATATGAATGTATATAAACTGATTTACATTCAAATATATCTGTTTTTACTCTAATTTCAAATCAGTTATGTTAGCGAAATATGCCAGAAGTCTCAATCAAATGGCTATCCCTAGCATCTGGTTATTCCAGTCTACATCGATAGTATTTATTGCGCGTGCTTTCAAGGTAAGAATATGGCATCACCGTTTGACATGACTTGTGGAACATGTCTAGCCTCGTTCTTCGAGTCCCCATTACAAATGGCACTGAAATGCATTATGGTACAGGATTCGTGTACCAATGGGAAAATGCTTATTTTGTCTTAAATAGTGGATATCAGAAGCCCATATTTTCCCGGTAAGATCACAACATCAGTGTTGATTTAAATTGACTAATAATTTGTGTTTTTAATGTCAAAGACTTTGGATGATAATGAGGTAGAGACTTAGCTACTTTAGTGTAATAGGAATCGCTTGAATCTCTCATAGGAATACCAGTCCAAAAATGGTTCAATTCCTTTCATTATTTACAAAGATATGTTGAATTGAAATGCTGCTCTAAAGAAAAACTTTAACATTGATCAATATTATAAGGACGCCGTAAAGAAATTTGATCTCTGTCATATTTACACGATTTTCTGCCACACAACATATCAATGAAACAGGAAGTCCTGGAATGATGAAAATCAATAGCATTCATCCTCTCTGATCCCAATGCTTCACACCACCACCACATCAATTTGAAAATCAGTAGGGTTCATCCTTTCTAAGAGCTAATTTAAAAACTGTAGCCTCTATCAGTTTAATACAGTTTTCAGAGAAAGAGTGGTAAGAATGAAACTCCGGAATTGAAGGTCATGGAAATCTGAATATTGATAGGGTTTGTCATCTCTTGACCCCAATCTTTTCACCAAATTGGAAAAAAAACCTCATCAACCAATGGTTGCCAGGCAAGATACATCCACATTTTGCAAGAGATGGATAGGGAACAAGCTAAAAATAAAAGGCAATTTTTCTTACAAAAAGGGGCCATAATTCAGAAATTATGGTCTGAAATGCGCGAATATTGAAATGGATTGAGATCTTTGGGATGTAAAGATATATTTTAAGTTTCATCAAAATCAGACAAAAATGGTGACCTGTAGAGGGTCCACAACCTTCGTATTACATATTTGTACACAATTTGCGTACAAGGAGAGGCCATTTTGTTGGGCAGTTTTGTTTCAATTTTCCCGAAATTCGTAGTGAACCATCAATATGGTGGAACAGTGATATATTTAAACCGGATAAAAATTGTGACTGCTAGAGGGACCACACGCTAAAAGCGTGATTTTAGTTCAATTAAGGGCCACAATCCAGGAAGTTATGGTCTGATAAAAATTGTGACCTCTAAGGTGTCCACAAGTGAATAACGTGATTTTTCGTAAAAGTGAATAACGTGATTTTTCGTACAATCAGGGGCCATTTACGATCCGATACATGCCAATATCGAAAGGAACGAGATCTTTGAGAGACAAAGCTATAATTCAAGTTTCGTAAAAATCAGATAGAGTGACATGTAGAGTGTCCACAAAGAAATTGTGGACGGACGAACGGACAGAGGCGACGACAATATACATCCACATGTGGGCGTATAAAAACTGTATCCTCTATAACTTTAACAAGGTTTTTGGAAAAGTGGGGAAAGATCTAAATAAACAGCCTCAGAGAATGCTTAAAGTTGATAGGGTCAGTCCGCTCATGAAAACAATGCTTCACACTAAATTTGATGAAAATCTGGCAGGGGCAACAACATAATAGGCCCAAACATAAATGTGGGCGTATATAAAAATCACAACTAGACAGGGTACAAGGATACATTTGAATGATATACAATTGGTAGTTTCTCAACTACAGAAACATAGCTATACAACCAGCAATGTAATAAATGTAATGTAATAAAATACAAACCTGGTCTGGACATGGCTACAGTTTTATAAGCATCTAATAACCAGTCAGCTAAAGATTGATGTTTATAAGCTATACTCCGAAAATGTTTTCCACCATTTACGTTCCAGGTACAAACACCTATTCGTAATTTTACCGGAACTGTATACTCCTTATATCTAGTTACCATAGCCTGTATTATGTCTGAAGAAGCTAAAATAACAGAACCTTATTTATAATATGGGATGTTCACACAGTCAGCAGACGTATAAAAAGTACTACTAGATCAAAAATGTTAAATGACCCTACTACATATTTATTCTCACACATATATGCCATTACAGCACATTATGTTATCGCTTCGAGGTACAGATGACAACTGCACACTTTACCATGACAACTAAGTCTTCGGCTGCATACACATGTAACTCATATATACAAAGGTCATGAATATTCATGTTTACATAAAGCACCTGGTGATGAAACATAACGGCCTGTAGACATATTACAAGCACAGGGTATAAATAAAGGTTGGGGTTGTTTCATATCATATGCAAGATGACTTACCATGCAAACTGCGAGCCGTTAGTAATGCTCTAGCTTTATCCGTTAATTCTCCTAATAAAGTATCTCCTAAAAGCAGAATATCTATGGCTTCTTGTTTACTATTGTCTAGAAAATTATTCTGTATAGCCCTTGTTGCTGATCGAGCAGCATCTGAATACTGTAAAAGATAAAGACAATAACAAAATGAAATGGTGTTTAACGTCCTACTTTTCTGCACTGACTGGGCAGTATGCTATAGGGGAAAATTTTTTTCGGTGTCCAGCGACTCCATGGCCTATTCTTATTTTGAATTCCAACTGTCGTAGGTACTTTCATGAGCCACAGCAGCTCCTTAAAGACAATAACTGCCATACCCACACTGTGTACTATATGTGCAGTTAATCATATAATTCGGATGGGGTTAATGGCCAGGTGAAGAAACAAATTTTGTCATTTGGGCATGTTGAATGGTTATAATCAAGAAATTCTACACAATCAACATCTTTCATTCATTTGTATCGAAAGCAATATTTATGAATATGAAATGTCAATGATAATTCCAATGTTATTCATTGTTCATTTCAAATTACCCAAGATAATTATGTAACTAGTTTATGTTCCATTTCTTCATTCACAACATGTACAACCCATTAAGAAGGAAATACAACAAATCGATTAGTTTTAATAATGTTGGGAGAGCAATATGATCCTAAAATTTTTTTTATTGCAACATGAAATCATGAATTAAAAAAAAAAAGGTGAAATTTGTCCCTGTCCAGTCCCTAGGAGAGCAACTGCTCTGGCAACATACCTGCCCTATTTCATTTATCTTTAAGACACAAGAATGAGTTACCGTTTACACAGACAAGTCGGACAGAAGTCACATCATTTTATAAAGATATTTGGGTGATGGCCTAAAAACATACATACTTTTGAACGTCCACCACCTAATGCACCAGTTCCAGCATAAATTCTGCTAACATGATCTCCATTTAAACCCCATATTTGTTTGTAAACTTCTTGAAATCTTGATAACATCTGTGGTTTGTTGTCTAAACCCAAACTTTTTATTTGACTTGCCAAAATCTAAAAAAATAAAATTACTTAAGTTACATTTATTTTATTTTAACTACAGAAGTTCTTTGGGTTTCTATATCATGGTCATCTACATAATTATTGAATCCTATAAACTATTTCCAAGGAATTAATGCCTTACTAAAATTAGTGGTTGGAAGCAGTAAAAGTCAGCCCAGATCACGGGTGATACCTTATGAGTGAAAGGAAGCAGACCTCAGAAAATAATCTAAAACAAGAATCCCCTAGCAACACTCTAGCTTACAAACCTAGACAGGATCTAGGATAAGTTCCCAAATGTCAGGCTGTGTAAATGCCTAAAAACCATAGCTATAATATACATGTCGCAGGTATAAACTTAAATCCTATTAAACAAAAGTAGCGGTTATTTCCGATCAGCAAAATATTATCATTTGAAAATTTCCACAAGGTAAATTTTGTAACATTTTACATAAAAAAGATCCCTAATCAGTCATGGATAAGTTATCTTAAGTTTCAAAAGATGTTTAACAGAAATGCAAAGTGTTTGTAGTTCCATGCTAGGGAATATTTTAATAGCACTGTCAGTGTTTGTACCAGGGTTTCCACTTTAAAATTTTCACTATTGGTCACTAACGCACGAAAACTTTGCAACTTAAATTTATACTTCATGTTTTTTATTTATGGTAGGGTATCGTGAATTCTCGTGTCTTTACCACTTTGTCAGCATGGTGTACCCCAAAAATTATATGTTGGCTTATATTAATAATTTATTAATGAAATGTGCTCATTTGGCTATTTAAATAGCTTTTATTATCGAAATTTCTTACTTAGTTAAAGACAAATAAATATCAGTATTGCCCGTAGCAAAATCATTGTAGTAGCTCACGGTGTCAGAGGTATATATTACCACATGCTCTATAGAAAACACACTGACCTTGATAATTTCGAGTTGTAAGAGAATAACTTTGAAATGAATGTAAATATATAAATTATCCACGGCAAATTTCTCACATCTCTTATGGATTGGAAGTTATGGCAGTGCAGGTTGCAGAATTGTGATGCAAATTCTAATAATGAATAACTAATATCTAATATCACTAATTTCACAGCAAGTGACACTAGCGGCCCCTAGAATATTGTCATGCATAACAAGAAAAATATGCACGATATTTAAGTGACACATGAGTTATCAATATTGCTATGTGAATTATCAATATTGCTATGTGAATTATCAATATTGCTATGTGAATTATCAATATTGCTATGTGAATTATCAATATTGCTACGTGAATTTTCAATATTGGATTAGTATAATCGATTGACAGCTATGTATACAACTTTATAATACCAATCATAAGATTACATGGCTTCTATATGTGTGCATAATTCTGAACAGGCCATAAAGTTTTATAGTCACATAGCGAATGTCGATCATAGCCATGTTAGGAAATTGTCTTTTTTCAAATATGCGCTATTTTTATGGCGTGCAAAATGATTGATGGGTCAGATCTAGTTTTGGTCATTTTCCACAGCCCTCAGTCTCGACCGGCATATATGGCCGACATGGAACCCATAGTTTGTATACAGGATATTGTTTTTTCGCTACATGTAGACACCCTTTGTTATCATGAAAATAAACTTACTTCCATAGCTAACATTGCTTGAACAGCATTGGTTCTATCTAAACAATCCAAACAATTCGTTCTTATTGTACCACTTTGTTTTCTGAAGAAAAATAACAACAGCTCAAATTCAAACTGAAGAAACGTCCACAAGAAGTTAATGGCATACAGTATTTCATTTAATGACAAGTTAAACAATTTCAGTAAGTTTAAAATAAAATTTAAGGAAATTTGACCCTGTGGTGGCCTAGGCTTATACATATAAAGCCATGTACTGAACTCACTTTATTATTTGTGTTGCATCACCACAATAAAAACCAAATTCTGTTAAATACATCTGAAGTTTAGCCCTCAGTTTTTCTAAATTTTTCAAATTATTTCCTTTTATCTCAGAATGGTAGTCAAAATGACAAAATGGTACTTTATCCTTATGTGAAGATGCCATGTGATGATTCTAAAAGAAGAATAAAAATAAAGAAAAAATAGAATATAAAATGTTCAATGGTAAATTACTGCACTTATTATTGAAGTTATTATTGAAAAATGACAGAAAATCAATTGGATTCTTCCATTCAATAGGAAATGAAATGAAATAAAATGGAGTTTAATTTCCTACTTTTCTGCACCAACAGTGTTGGTAAAGACAGACTTACGCCATACAGTGTGTTGTGCTGGACAGCTTGCTATGGTCTACACCAGGAGCAAACCCAAAACCTCTTGATTAGCAAGCCAGCATCTTACGGACTCCCCGATTCAATAGAACGGTCACACAACCATTTCACATTTCACAAAGACAGGGTAAATTTGAACAAGATTTAAAAACAATGGGGCATTACTTTTAAAAAAGATTGAATTATAACAGATATTCTGGGAGTGTTGCTGAAGCAATACATAAATAACAAATTTTACAATGCATGCATCTATAAGAGGCTGATATTGTGAATTGTAGTAATATCGGACTTCCTTGTTGTGTTCCTTGTGATCATAATAAAACTACAGGTTTCTACAACTTTATAGTTAAACTGGTTGGCTTCGAAGATCCCTCGTTCTCAATAAAGCATAGATGATGGCTGCTTGGAATATCTGGGTGAGCTCTGATCAGTCTTGCTCAACACCCTCTTTTATAACCTCCTAATTTCTGTACGTTCTAGACTGACCATGACATTAATTTCCATGCCAAATATGGAATAAACATCCCCATTTCCCAAGACCAGTGGGAAAACATGACCTTATGTGGTCTACCAACCCTATGTCATAAAAATATAGAATTTGATGGATATTTTGACAATGGTTAGGATTTTACCAAAATATCACTGTTTTTTATATATAAACATGTCGTCCGCTTTTATTAGTACGTGGGATTTGACTCTATAGAAAGAGTGAACCAACAATTAGTCAAAGACACAATATGGTCTTAAGGACCAAAGTATCGCCAAAATCGGATCAACATTGTAACCTGTAGAGTGTCCACAAACAAATTGTGGAAGGACGGATGGACAGGGGCGATGTCAATATATGTCCAGATGAAAATGTGGGCGTATAAAAATCACACACATGATGATGATGCGAATGTGCCAATACAATTTGGGCATATAACAAATACATCGCGTGTATATGTACTTCTTGTACAGTACCTGAAAAGCCTGACTTAACATTCTCTCCCCTTCTTTTGATCCAAGAAGATTGACAATAACCTGTTCACCATATTGTTTACATATCATTTGGATATGTCTATCATATGCTGGTGCAGATGCTTCATAACCTCTGGACATGTGAACTTTGTGTGCCCCAACCTATCAAAAGAAAAAAAAGATAATTAGAGATATGTGATAACTTGAGTCAGTTGGAACGTAATACAAATCTGTGGAAAACACTTCGCAATTCGTAAAAACGATACCTTAGTGAATATTTTTTAGACAATTTTCTTTTTGAAGCTGCGAAGAACTATTTCTTTCTAGTTCTTTATTTTAATTACTCAACCTAATGGTGAAACCACGGTGGAACACTACGTTTTAAAACCAGCAGTTGCAAGGCAATATACTCCAACATTTTGCAAGAGATGGTTAGAGAACAAGCTAAAAACAAAAGTGATTTTTCGTATAATAAGTACCGGTACAAGAAAGTTATGGTCTGAAATGTGCAAATATCGAAAGGGACTAAGATCTTTGGGATATAAAGATATATTTTAAGTTTCATCAAAATCAGATAAAAATTGTGACCTCTAGAGGGTCCACCCACAGCCTTCGTATTACTTACTTGTACACAATTTGCATACAAAGAGCGGCCATTTTGTCGGGCAATTTCGTTTCGCTTTTTCCCAAAATTTGAAATCAACCAACATTATGGTGGAATGGTGATATATTTAAACCATCGGATAAAAATTGTGACCTCTAGAGAATCCACAAGCTAAAAAACATGATTTCATACAATCAGGGGCCATAATCCAGGAAGTTACAAGCTGATTTGCGCGAATATCGAAAAGAACCAAGATATTTTGGTTATAAACATACATTTCAAGATTCATCAAAATCGGATGAAAATTGTGACCTCTAGAGAGTCCACAATCTTGTTGTACCATATTTTTCCACTATTTGCGTACGAGGGGCAGCCATATTCTGTCCATCAGTTTTAGTACATTTTACACAAAATACGAACTGAACCAACCTTACTGTGTAACGGTGATATATTTGAACGTTTTTTTTAAATCGGATAATAATTGTCACCTCTAGAGGGAGCACAAGCTAAAAATGTGATGTTTCATACAATAAAGGGCCATAATTCGGGTAATTATGATCTGATATGTGCGAATATCGAAAGGAGCCAAGAGAGAGAGAGAGAGAGAAATGGGGTTTAACGTCCACTCAACACAAACTAGGTCATTTCAGGACTAACATGTGGTTTAATTTTATTTCAATAATTCGCTTGCGCGTAGGGGTCTTTAGCAGTGGGAGGAAACCGAAGGACCCGAGAAAACCCACGAAGTTGGACAGTCGACCCTACTCCTTGTCACGTACAACCGGGGATTTGAAGAAAGGTGCCAAGATCTTTGGGTTATAGACATGTATTTCAAGTTTAATCAAAATCGGATCAAAATTTTGACCTCTAGAGGGTTCACAACCTTGATACACCATATTTTTACACTACTTTTGTACGGGGGGCTGCCATTCTGTCTGGCAGTTTTGGTCCGATTTTCCAAAAATTCGAACTCAATCGACCTTCTGGTGTAACGGTGATATATTTCAAAGATTTTTTATTGATTTATAAGTATTTTATAAAGGTATAATACTTACATTAATACCTGGTTGTTCCCAGAACAATGGAACAGAACCTCTAGTCTGTACATATGAAGAAACCTGATCATCTAGAAATATTACCTTTTAAAATATAAAATTCTAATGTCAGTTTTTCCTTAAATTAATTGATGGTTTGACTTGTACATGGTTACATGGTTGATGATCCTACCTAGTTCAATTTCCTAGTTCTGTTATAAAACTTGGAAAGACATCTGACATGTAAAAGCACTTACAAGGTTTTGGTAACTGTGAAAAATTGGCTGAACAATCTCATCAAGTTTACCAAAAAATGTAATTAAAAACACTGACCTGTTCTGTTTCTACAAAATTTGCTACGTGACCATCATCGTTTGTTCCTCTTACATTGAAACGAGTACCAGCTCTTTCACAACTTAATCTAGATATCAGACATGCTTTGGCTTGCCTGTGGGATGCATAAATAGTTCTTATTTCCACAGCTCCACACATAATCTTTAATAACCATTGGTCACATTGAATACCATATCTTCGAAAATGAACATGAAGCAGACGATTCCTGAAAGATAAAGTTCATTTGAAAAGTCAAATTGAAGTAACCGAAGTGAATGCAGTACAGTCCAAACTAAATTTTGAAACCGTTTAACATTATCGTAACTGTTACCATACCAAACCCCCTGATATAATCTGAGCAAAAATGGAATTTGGATCTTGATCACTGTTCAAAAACTTGTTTTCTGTGATCCCAAAATTTTGAATTTTCGAAATAAATGACCAGAGATCACAATATTCTGAATTGCCATTAAGTTCCTCTTTATGCCCCAATGAACAATCGCACGAAATCTCAACAAATGTGAACAGAAAGATAACTATTGTGTTAAAATTAATGATCAGAAATTATTCAAATCTGATAGGGTTATTCCATTAGAAACTCTGTCCTGTACTGTATTCACAAGATTTCATAAATTGGGAGATAACTCAAATGAAAATTAAAGGAGCAGTGACATACATGTATATATATTTATATTCTGTGTGTGAATGGATCTTGTAAATACAAACTTTTAGTTTCCAAGTAAGTTTATCAGTAAGTCACCAAAGTTCAGGCTATAATGCCTGAATATAAACGCATCTAGTGGTCATAGTACACTGATTGTTTAATGTTTGCTTCCACAAAAGTGATATCGCAGACAAGATACTCACATCTATATACTTGGAAAAGTTATTGTGGCAAGTAATCGCCTAAATTGTCAAGTCACTCAAATAATTGAACAGCAAAATTTCTTATACATGTTACAGAACACTTGTGATCATATATTCATATCAACTAGTTTCATTTGAAACTATTAGACATTTTGGCATGTGATATTCATAATGCAAACCAACCATTACTAACAGATAATGTAGATAAAGAAAACGTAGCGTCCATGAAAAGAATACACAAATGCGAGTGACGACCATTTGCAATATCTACATGCTGCATTTTATTTCATGCTACTTGTAAAAATAAAATTGAATGTTAATTCAAACAGAGTTACTTCCCTTCTGACCAAATATATAGCTGAAAATATAGCTCACACTTTGTTACACTTTGTATTTCAAATAATTACAATCAATCTCACAATGTCATGAGCATACGATTTTTATAGGAAAAATAATGGTTATTTCTGGTTAGGGGTAGTGTTGTTATCATATAATCATTCACTGATGCATTTGCAATACATCGATGCACTAGCCTACTTGCACACAGATGCAAAAATGGAGAAAAAAACTGCAATGGACCTGCAAAACATTTATCAAAAAAGGCTTTTATAAGAAAAGATTGCTTTTCGCTAATCCACGTTTTGTCACTAACTATCACTAACTAAAGTCAAATCTTTTGTCTTTAAAGAACTAAAACTTATGTACTAAATATTGGTTATATGAGAGAGAGCTGTCAATCTGAAAAATTATATACCTACTCCAAATATAAATATATCTATAAGAAAGAAATATATTTATCAAACAGTAACATATTATTAGAAAATAATAATAGAAGTATCAACTAAGGCACATATTTACAAGTCAAAACTTCTTCTCTTGGCCAAAACAGAATTGACAGATTAAAGAGATTATTCAAATTCTGCTTCTCAAAAACCTAGTAGAAAATGAACCTCAACCTCACTTTTTTGTAAGAATTCAAAAAGCTTATTTCACGATACTTAAAATATGTTTAAAATTTTGAACTTACAGAGACTTATATTCTGAAAAAGTTGGTCATGCTCCAAATTGATGGAAGCATGATATGTACACTGAAAGAAGCTATGACATATTATGTATTACAGAGTGTGGGCGTGGGTGTTGGTTGAAAGGTTGCAATCGGTAATGTAGTAAAATGCAGGCTTCTAATCACAGTGTCTGAGGCGAATTCCTACATACCAAAAAAATCTATTATCTGATTCCTGATCTTGCTGTTTTCTCTGGGCACACAGACTTAAATCCCAAGGGGAACCATGTGCAGACCATGTGAAATAGAATGTTCCCGAACTCAACAATTTTTTTACTTCAACAACCCTATCTTCATCTGATGGTTCATTACGTAATGACAGCAGTTGGACTGCAGTTATCTTAAACACTTCTGTTTCTCCAATCTTTCCTACAGATATACAAGATGTTACTAACACCATGTATAGAATAGCTTGATTACCTGAAATGAAAGAATACAATTACTAAACCAGCTGAGTTTAGTGGTCCAACACCACGCAGTTTGGAGAACATTAGTGAGCAGCATTTGGACCAAGTTTTTACATCTGTTCTAAAATTACTTTAATGCTGTTTAAAGCCAAATACAAGAGAAGTAATCAATAGGGTTGAAAACTTCACAAGTGTCTAAGAATATACAACAATGTAGCAATGAATGTATTAAACGCAAATTTTGGGCACACTTTCTTTTACAAAAAACAAAAATAGGTTCCCATAAAACATATACCCACAGCGTCTAAGTTGTCCGAGCAGTCCACAAGGCAAAATCTTTAGGCAGTATAATATCACTGCAGAAATTCAATATGATACCAATAGGCTTTTTCATTTCTTTCGCATATTTGAATGATACACATCAATTTCATAGATTGGACGATAACATTTGTTATTATAGCGTTCTACAGAAATTGTGGAAATTCAATAGGCTTTGTCAACTCATTGATATGTTAAAATTGATAGATAAATTACATGTAGCTTGAATATGCTTTTAGTCCAAATATGTCACCACATCACACAGGTATCTTTAAATAAAGTGTACATGAATATAGTAGACTTTAGGCACAATACTTACATGTAGCCTTGACTCAATTTTATTTTCAAAGATATTTTCTATTTTACAAGCATCTGTATTCACAGTAGCATTGTATCAGACCTCAGTGGAAAATTAACGGAATCACCCTTTCCTTTTTTTTAAAACTGATTTTTGAAGAATTCGCTTTTTAGAGGTCATCTAAAATCTTGCACTGCACTCTGTAGTCCCATTACATGTAGTTTACACTGGATATAGGTGTCTACCACTCTTCGATAGCTATTAAAAATTTATTCATATACATACCTCCATTCAGATTTAACACACCTAGGCAACCATATGCATCTAAAAGCTTTGTATACAGTTTTTTCACAGTTTCTCCTTCAGAGGATGCTATAAATATCAAAGATCGGTTTTAATTAATATTTACTTAGTGTACTATTTATAAAGTAACAAATTTAACTGTCATTTCTATCTCCAGTACCCAGTTTATCAGGAAAAGCAATGTGGGCCTGCCTTTTGTGATGCTGCATAATGTCAATCTACATATAAATTTGTCTTATATTTAAAGGAACCTCTGCAAAAATTACTTTTTAAAATTACCGAATGGTTTAAAAATTAAAATGCCTTTTTGTCGGTTACATGTAAACGGTCAAATTACATAAATTTGCAGTAGACTGATTTTTCGCCGGCGAACGGCGAAAATGCGTATTTGGGAATTTGGCCTTATAATTTCAACTACTGGTAAATCATTTTTTAGTTCCACAAAAATACATTTTGGGCCATTCAAAAATCAAATACCAGGTAACAACATAGTCTCAATAAATAATCAAACCGAGCTTCCATGCAATCAGGAGTCACAGTCGTTCAGTGAGTAACAATGCTGGCTCACTAACCAAGAGATTGCAGGTGCGATTCCAGTTTAGGTTGAGAAATTTCTTCAGGATTTTCCAGTCTAGTTTCCCCCTTCTTGTCTGGAAGGAACTGTAGACTATCTAGTCATATGACGTACATGTTTGTGTGCACATAAAAGAATCCAAGGCAGTAGAGTTTGCAGAAACGCTGTCGTACTGGCAAAAATTGCTCTTACTGCACCTTGTACAACTTATTCATAGCTGTCTTCATTAGCTTGGTTCATTTCATTTCCATTTAATATAATCATAGTAAAGTCCTAATGGGGTCACTATGCAATTGTATGATTGACTACACACCAACATATTGAATTTATTATTGTCATATAAATTTCTGTCATTTCTGTTGGCTTGGGCTTACACACACAGGATAGGGGCTTTTAATTTTCGATTTTACACCCACCACACCTGCTTTTGAAAGGAAATAAAACGAAATTTACTGGGCCTCCGCCGTGGAGCACAACTACTTAAAGGACAATTTTGGTGCCAGTCATTATCACATATGTGATAGAGCTGGTTAAACACATTCCAAATATAATTTTAAAACAGAGATCATTGCTACGATAGCTGAGTAATACAGGTTTCCTGAGTCGGAAGTGACGAACGCCAAAGGAAAACACGAGTCATCTCTCTATATAACTGACTGATGTGACGAGTGATAACGGATAAACGGCCGAATTTCTGCTCACTAATAATTCCTTCGAATGATCTCTGTTTTAAAATTATATTTGGAATGTGTTTAACAAGCTCTATCACATATGTAATAATGACTGGCACCAATATTGTCCTTTAATTTTAATGATGAATGACAACCCGAATGACAAGAAATTTCTAATCAATAACTTCTCCCTTTAGGACTAGACTATTTCATGGCCCTGCTGGTTTAATAACTATTTGACATGGAACTTTATTATATTACTAGTACCGCCTTAGGATCATCGCTGAATTCAATTCAAACATTTCAATCGAATGTCAATATTATCTATGGTTCCATAAAATAATTAATAGTATTGGCCTGAAGGGAGAAGTCATTGTTTAGTAACTTCCTGTCATTTGTCAGTTGGTTATCATTACTACATTGTCATTGAGAATTAGTGGCTCCGTTAGATACATGCAGTAATGTACAATTCATACAAATCAGTACATTTCACTAAACAGAGTATACTTACTTAAGACGACTATTGCATTTGATTCAAACATCAAAGTATCTTCTTGATTCTTGTTTTCTAGGATAACACTGTATGGAGTATCTTGGTCGGGTGGTAATTTATGAAACACTCGAAATATTTTACCCATTGCCATCTCCGACTTTGGCAAGAAATCTTTTCCCCGCGCAAGTTTATAACTGTTGGCCCTCTGTCGAGTTTTTATCTGTTATCAACTGCATAAATTGTACCGGCTGAAAATAAAGCCCGTTGGTTTCAGTTTATGATCAAGTCTACAGGTGATACAAGTCCCAGGTATCGATTCCTATTTTACAACACGCATGCGTTGAATCAAACCCATCCATCACGTGATACCGGCTAAAAATCATAAAATATAATAATAACGGGGCTTGGCTATGGGAATTCCGAAGACGAGAATTGTTGTCCTGTCTGAACGAGTGGATACTAATCATATAATTATATCAGTTCTCCGAAATTTATGTCATTTGAAGCGATACAAAAAATACCGGAACCAACCGAATGGAACCGAAACCGGGTTGATATATACCGTAACCGGTAGCATTCCGATGATTTGACTTATAAATTTGCTACCCGGCTTGCTTCCTTGTGCAAGATTGTCTTTCATATTCCCTTTAAACAAATTTGTAGCTCTTCTTCCACAATTCTCGATTTTCAGTTTATTGAATTAATATATTTACGTACGGAAGCCCATTAGGGTCAATCAAATGAAAAAAAAACAGTTACCGGTATCTTGTTATTACAAGATACGAAGAAGCCCATAAGTAACTTATTTTAAGGTCGCCATACACCGATTTTCGAATAGCTAGGTCAACGCCGTACTTTATTTTATGTTACAGAATCGGCACAATCATGTCATGCTCCCATAAATATCATTCGTTATTTTCATGCCTCCATTAAAATCACAAAGTCCATACTCTCATTAACTTCATACTCCCACCAACTTCATATTAACATCATGATTCATCAATTTTAATGCTCTCCTTAAAGCCACAGAACGCTATATATATTTTTCCGAAAACTTCATTAAATTTTGATTTTTGGCTGTTTTTATTGTCTGCAGAAGTTACCGGTTTTAGAGATTTTTTACATTTCAACAGGAAATTAAAAACTGTGCGAAGTCAAACCGAACTAAAACAAAAAAACATTTTTACGGTTAATCATCAACGGCCATTGAACAGCAGATATGATTCAAATCTGTTGAAAATCGGAGTTGATTATTGTCTTGTCTAATAAATGTCTAATTATTAATATAACATTTTAGGCCTAAAGAAAGACCTCCGATAGGCAGATTTAGGTCTTGCATAATGTATGTTTTAAGGAGCTAAGTATCTAACCCAATATTTTCCATAAAATTTGAAATTAAAAACATGAATTAGAATTCAATATTAATCAATTTCAATCAATATTGATGTTGTTATATATATATATCTTGCCGTGAAACTAGAGGATCCAAATATCCAATATTTAAGACACAATATTGGGTGCCATTTTGTAATGAACAAATAAAAACATATCCTACAACATAATGTGGAAGTAATTAGTAACGGCTGATTCACAAACGACAAAAAAATAATTTTAAAAAACGTGTAGAATGCACTAAGCAGGCATAAACGACAGCCGTTCAATTTGAACTGTTCGCGTAATTCACCGAACATAATTGATTAGAAATTACAATATTTTTTTTTCAAAAATTGAATAATCACTTTTCGTATATTCATATTACATTAATATATGCTTTTAGAACCATTTTTGTCTATTTGAAGGTTCCAAATAATAGAACCATTTAAAAAGAACCCACTGCTGTATATTAAGTTAAATTTTTATCACATTTTTGGCCGTTTTGTTTTCGTTCGTTTTAACTTTACACGGTCATATAAATTTTGGTCGTTTTGAATTAGCGCCTTTTCGTCTATATCCCTTTTAAACAAGCCGTTGCCATCTTTACGTTTCACTGAACCTCTTTCATGCGCCTCTATTTAATTCGATTGAATCCAAGCCTGAAAATTAGCTATCGTTGCGATCTTGATTCTGAGTTCTTTAATAATTAATTGGTATACATTCAGGCTTGGATTTTCAAAAGTTTCTGAAAAATGTAAATGTCATTCCATGGCTTTCAAAATAAATATAACATTTTACATCCAGTATACCAGATAAAAACAAAATCTCAGTTATTCCTTAACCCTTTCATACCCAGCGTATCAGTTATGCACACCTACATGATATACATATTATTATAATCCCTATGGAATATTTTAAATTATTTACTGTTATAATATGAATTATCACTTATTCCTTGTTAAATAAAAATCGGTCACCGGGTGCCGCTGTTGTACACAACTTCAAGGACCCTGGCCTCAAGTGCCTGGGACCAACTCTACACCTTCTGAAATGTCAATTAAAGCTCTGGAATGATTTCAATTTCAAAAAATAAACAGTAAGCAAAATATCGGAAATAAGTGGTGGGGACACAGTATAGCATGTCCCCACCAATAAAAATACTGGTGGGGACGCGTCCCGGTGTCCCCACCGGGATCTGCGCCCATGACCTCAGTTCTTTTTTAATATTAACAGATTTTGATCTTTAAATTCATATCTAATTTTAACAAGCCAACGGTGAGGCTGATACGTCCCCCGCCGAAATCCCAAAATAAATAGATGACACATATTAATTAATCGCACATTTATTTTTTTCAAAAGTATCAAGCAATCAACTAAGTTTCATCACTCTCTGTCAGATAGAATCAAAGTTATCTTGTCCTAAAGCATCGACCAATGAAATTGCTTAGCTCTGCGTAGCTTAAATAGCTCGAAATGTTAATCATTGAACCCAGTCAAGACATTCACCTAATGAACATCTACATCAAGTTTAAACATTCTACCTCATTTATAAGCAGAGTTGTTATGTTCCAAAGTCTTGACCAATCAAATTGCTTATCGCTCCTTGATAATCAGTTTGATTGCTTGATACTTTTGAAAAAAATAAATGTGCGATTAATTAATATTGTGTCATCTGTTTAATTTGGGATTTCGGCAGGGGACATCAGCCTCACCGTTGGCTTGTTTATACTGGTCTTAATTTTCACATATTGATATATTGTTATTTATAGTGTTTATGCTTGATAATATTTTAGTCCATGAAGGTTTACATGTCGGTCACATTAATATTCACCATGGGTCCAACCATTATAGATGAGGTGAAATTGCTTATTAATGTTTTTGGTCTCACTGAGACACGTTTAAACGAGAATATCACAAGTGATGCTGTAAAGACCTCTGGCTTCCATGAGCCATTCAGAAAATATAATTGTTTGTGCGGTTCCTCTGGTGTTTCTTTATATGTAAAAGAATCTCTTGTCTGTAAACGTAGGTCTGATCTTGAGTATAAATTTATTGAATGTATCTGGGTTGAAGTATCTCTAAGAAACTATCTACCTATTTTAATCTGTTGTTTATATCCTTCTTCCTTGACAAAATGGCTTGTATATTTTCAAGAAATGATGAACACTGTTTGGAATCTTGGTCATGGAATTATTATGATGGGAGACGTGAACTTGACACTCTTTAAATCTAATAACTTCTTTTGGACAGATATTCTTGAGTTATATAACTTTAAACAAATATTGGTTGGCGTTCCTACACGTGCAGGGGCGGATACAGGAATTTTTGCAGGAGGGGGTTTGCCAGGTTCCTGAGACAATGTATCCCCCCCCCTCCTCCCGCATGGTCTCTATGGCCAATTTGGCGTATATACATACACATTAAGCTTTTTAAACAGAGAAATTTAAAACCTCGTTTGATGTCAATTTTTATTATGAATTAATTCAATGACTTTGTCATTCAATTTCATGGATGCAAAGCATTAATTGTGATATCACATAATGTCTATATCTTTATCTCGTGCTTTGTGTGCCCATGCTGTTCCACATCTGACGATAAAGGATAATGCACACACGGCCGAGAAACTTTTCTCATAAAAAGTACTGATTTACAAAAAAAAATATGTAGCTGAGCAGGGCGACCCCCCCCCCCTCTGGATCCGCCCCTGGTCGTGTTGCGGCAACATCAACATTAATTGAACATATTATAGTGTCTTCTTCTCGACAAATTGTGAAAATAAATGAACCAAATATAAATATATCTGATCATTTTCCATGCTACTATTTCGTAAAGGTCATTCAAAACATTCAATGAAACTGATTTCTTGAGTAATTTAAATTCTGCTCCTTTTGATAACGTTTACAATGCTTGTGATCCAAATAGTGCTCTTAAAATGTGGTATGATACGATTATCCCTGTCATTAATAAGTATGCTCCCTTTAGGACGAAAAGAGTTAAAACTGTCTCAAAACTGCCATGACTTTCTGATGAAATTGTTAAAATAATGCGTCTACGCGACCGCTTTATGTTCGACGAAGTACGCCAGAAGTCTCAATCGAATGACAATTTCTAGCGTCTGATTATTCCAGTCTACGCCGATCGTATTTATTGCGCATGCTCTCCAGATAAGACTATGGCGTCACCGTTTGACATGACTTATGGAATATGCCTAGCCTCGTTTTTCCAGTCCCTTATTACAATGGCACTGAAACGCATTATGGTAGGCAACACGATCGATTCGTGTACCAATTGTAAAATGTTTATTTTGTCTTAAATATTGGATATCAAAACCCCATCTTTTCCCGGTAAGATCACAACATCAATCTTGATTTAAATTGACAAATAATTTGTGTTTTTAATGTCGAAGATTTTGGATGATATTGAGTTAGAGACTTATTAATTAGCTTTAAACATAAATATTAAACGTTTTTATCAATGTTTATCGAAAACTTCTAAAAAAAACTTTAATAAACATATTTTTTTTACCTAACCTTTTAGACAGTACCCCCCAAAAAACGTTTTTTAAATGTTTTGTGTTTACCTATGTAGCAAATAATATAATAATATAGCCGCTGCCAATAAAATATCTATGATAATAATATGGATATTTTATAAAAATTTCCCAAGCATAAATAACCAATTGAAGCTCTTAAGCTGTGGAGATTTTCTCCAAAAAAATCGGTAGAAAAGGTTTTTTAAAAAATTCTGCATCGCTACGCTCGGCAACTTGGCGTGACGTTTCGTTCAACATGAAGTGGGCGGAAACCACCACCAGACGGAGGCACGTGTTACAACATGGCCGCATACATTGTTTTGATTCGGACAGAACAGAAGCTTCAAAAATAATATACTCTATGGCTTTACTTTAGTGTCATTAGGCTAGGGCTAGATGTCAGGATGAGTATGAAAGCTTTTGAGCTAGTGCCAGCAATAGAGCGAGGAAAACTGACATCAGACAAATTTAAAGCGCAGGTAAACCATAATTATTTTTGACTCTTCACTTAGTCTTAATCGTTAATGTTTAGAAGAAACACCTCTACTTTTGACACTACCGCCGATCACTGCACCCGGTCACTTAATCTACAAAAATTCCTGCTAAATGATTGGTGGCAGGAAGGTTAGGATCCCATTCCCAGGGAGAGTCAATGACAGATATAGGCCCATCGGTAGTTACTTTAGTAAGTAACTGATTCTTAATATGTAACAGGCATTGCCTGAGTAGAGCGAAGCTGATTATTGTCAAATATAAAACCTTCATAATTAATTTTCTCAAGTGATACAAAAAATGTTAAATAATTTAGTTTTTCCAAATTGATTTTCATTTAGATCTAAATTGTATACATTAATTTTGTTTTTAAAAAAAGAACAAGAAAGTGTGAGAATTATTTTCATTGACATCAAAAATATGTGACGTCATTGATTAGATGCGTCATAGAAATAGTTCTATGAGGCGCGTAATCTCGCTTGGGCGAGATTTGGTAAGTTGACATGCGCATTGCCTGTTTTGCCCAGTGTATCCGGTTCCGGTCTGAATTTTTTTTTAATCAACAGTCTGTGGGTGACAATTTCAGTTCCGCTCCTGTGTTACCGGAAAAGAGCTTTGCTCAAGCACCGCGCTTCGCGCGATGCTTTAGAGCTTCGCTCTATATTATCAGCTCTGCCTCTAGCTATGTCAGTGGATATCTCTTCCTAAAAATCCTATACACATCTAATATGAAAATAAGGCTTTTCACCACCTCGGTTCCAAGGCTATTTTGGAATCCTTACCGTCTATTTTTTACCGTGATTCTTCTTTGTTCGCCAAAAGGATCCTCATTTCTTGCCACGTCCGACACAAATTTATAATAATCCAACACTGTTTTCATGTAGATTTGTGTTACAAAAACACAATCAAGATTCGTTTGAATTGATCCGCCATGATGAAACTTACGTCTGCGCAAGAATTTTCGTTCACGATAACAGTCGACAGATTTTTAGATATTTTATCAAAGTGCAATGTAGGCCTACGTGTTTCTGAATTCTGGTTAAGTGGACAAAAATTCACAGATTTACGCATGTATGGTGCACGGTAATCTTGCCACGATGTTAACTCTCCGCCCAACAAGTAATATTTTAAGCAATTAAAGGTGCACACATTTCTTGTCATTTTTTTGAGAATTTGACACAAACAATGACCGTGACATACCTTATATAGTACTGTGTGCAAAAGCTGAATTATTAACCTTCCCAAAGATATGTCTTTAATCTTTCTACGATTTAGCTATCAATAGTTGTACATAATAGTTGTAAATACACAAAATAAAAGATCTATCCATGGTAGGAACTCAACATTTTTGATGTACGAAAACTTATGTTGATATCTTTCAGTTAATTTTAAAGCCTTTGAATGTCATTAATCCCATGTGAACTTACAGTATTGTGAAATTTGAATCTCTAAAATGAACATCACTTCAATACCGGATATTGAATTGACAATTTTGCAACATTTGCCATCCTCTGGACATGGTCTGGATATAGTCGAAAAAGATGTAAACCCCCAAAATTAAATTCATCTTAGTCAGAACGACCAAAAATGTGGTCTAAATTAGATCATTATTATTTATTCTCTATAAGCTTACAGTTGTTTGACTAAATATTATGTTCGTTTTGACTGAATTATGGGACTATTTGGTTTAAAGTCATTTCTTCTAGTATAACTGGTTTAAACAAGTTAACCCCATTTTAAGTTTCACTGATGCCTATTGATGGGCCTCTTTTTATTCTGATTTAATCCAACCTTGGAGATATTATATATTGTTGATATTATTTTGATATTGACATTGTAATCTTTTCTTAATTACCATACACCATGGAAATTTTGATATTTTCCGAAGAATGCAAATGGCATACAGAGGCTTTAATATAAGCTTATTTAAGCTTATTCAGTCAAGATATCGTACCTATTTAAAAAATCTTTACATACATTGCCAATTGCTGAGTTTATGGAAAAGTTTGAGTCACAGTTTCTCAAACATATACACTGTTCTGAGTTTTCTGACTTTTTGGTAACACATCAACTGCAAACCTCAGCTCAGAACTTTTTAGGTATGTTTTATGTGTATGCTTTTATTTGAGCTGATACTACATGTAAGTTACCATAAAACGACTTTAAACTTTCAACATTAAATATTTGATATCAATTTCAGATTGAATCTATTGATGTCTGTGGTAAAAATCTTTACATCGGCACAAGTGATTGGTAGGTCAATTTTGAATAAGAATACTTTCAGCTGTCCTTATTTTGGTATACATGATGTGGTTTTTAGCCCATCAACTGATTGTCGTCACTTCTGTCTGTTGTCGATTTATGAAGTGGAAACAATTATCAGTAGTCATTTCCTACTTTTTCTTCTTCCATTGATATTGCTCAAACCACTAGAGATGGAGCCAGAGCTGCTAGACTGCTTAATTTGTATGGATTGTTCAAAACATTGTGTAAATACACTGTAATGATAACCATAAATAATAAGTAATAATATACTATAGATGCACAATATGTAAAGTAATAGTTTGTAAATGTGATGAGTTCGATTCTGAACATGAAACGTCAAATATTCTCAGAGTTTTCGTTGTCTATTGTGTAAAAATGTGTTAGAAATAATCTGTGAACACTTATTGATTATTCAGTGTGACATCAAAATAAAGTAGGCCCTTGGCCTTATCGGAAAGTATTTTGATGAAATTTGGTTTGATGGTTTAGCCATAGAACAAAACATAGTAAAAGCATAAAAAATTGGGGTATATTTTAGTACGGAAACTTCCCATTTTTTTCAGTTTCATTTTCCATTATTGTATAGAGGAAAGAAATCAAGCAGGAAAAATCGCTTTTCATAGTGAAAAACAGGGACATAAATATCTGGGATTGGTAAGTTTTAGCCCAGTTTAACATTGTGAAATGAAAAGGGGTTAAGTTCCTACTTTCTGCACCGATTGGGCAATGAAGATGGCAATGTGCTATGAGGAAAATTCGCCCGGACATCGGCACTACAGTCTGATTTTATTTCGAATTCCTACTGTCAAGGGTTCTTTTTCGTGCACGCCAAAAATAAACCTTTGTTTATTAAAGTAAAGACCTACAATTCTGAATGTTTAATCAAATTATTATTGTCATCATAGAGTGTATCTGAAAACAACCCACTGAAATGTAGTGGATCACTAATCTAATAGGGTCTGACAAGATGTTAAAGTATATTTTTTGAGACTAAATTATTTGCTTTGATTTATCAAAGGCAGCATATTGTTTTTGTCTCCTTACACAAAGGTGTCTGGTGGGCATATTTTTTGTTGAAGTACAACAGTATAATATTAAACATACATTATGCAAGAGCTAAATCTGCCTATTGCAGGTCTTTCTTTAGGCCTGAAATGTTATCTAAATAATTAATTAGACCATAATCAACTCTCGATGTCAATGCTAGCTTGTGATATTTACTGGATTACGATCAGGTTTGCTGCTCAACTTTCATTATGATTTAATCATGAAATGGATAATCGAGACTATGTTTTTTATCGTACCGACTTTAGTAATGATGATCGAGGCTAGGCCGAAAGTTCAATCGCTAAAATCTCAGTTCAGAGTGGAGCAGTTTGAAATTTTCAGCAAATTCCCGTTACATTATCTAGTTTTTAACTAATCTCCCATAATGTATCTTTAAACAAACTGGACTCTTTTCAGAAAAAGCCAATAGTTCAAATCAAAGCTGCATCTGCCTTAAATCGTATAATTGTTTTATGTGATAATACTGTTACCTTACTGAACATGTTTGATTTGGAGGTAAGTTGTTTATATAAATATATAATTATACTTCTGGATCTCCCTTGCCCTTTGTATCCCACCATTAAGGTTAAGTGGTATAGTCACTTTCACGAAGAAAAAAATGAAATTATATTTATATAATTGATACAATTTGTTCATAGCTTCAGCTTTGTGTTTTTGGGTACATTTGTCGTGTGCATAGATATTGCTCTTCTTAACATACCATAATATATGAGGGATTCAATTCTCTATGTACTAGTTCAGACTGTACATTGTTATCACCCTTCATCAATACGTATATGAGGGCTGGCTGAAAAGTTCTCTAAGCCTGAAAAGGATAAATTAATTGGGTTTAAACAAACTTCTGCCACCAACAAGTACATCATTAAATGAATCATAGACATAAGAACTGCTACTGTAGTGTTATTAATCTGTTCGTACTAGACCATCTTGTGAACTTACCCATTGAAATCAGCAGAAAAGGACAAAACTGGCTATAGGGAAGTTATCAAGTACAGTACCTGCTACTGAAAGGACTAACTCCAACACATGTATATGCCGACATAGTCTCCACTCTACGGGATGAAGCCTCTGCCTTTCCACATTAAAGAAATGGGTCGCTGAATTTAAGCATGGCAGGGACAACCTTGACGATGACCTGCTTCCTGGAAGGCCATCAACAGCAAACATTCAAGAAAACATTACCCTGGTATTCCCTGGTGCATGACATAGTGATAGCTGATCTACGATTGACCACTTGACATATTGCCAGTGTTGTGGGCATCTCTCAGAGAGGGTTGTGCACATTATCGCCAACCAATTACGAATGACAAAAGTTTCTGAAAGATTGGTGCCAAAACCCTTGACTGCGGGTCAGAAAGGTGTCAGATTCCTGACATCCCTTGACTATCTGCGCCATTTGGAAGAAGATCCTGAAAATTTTTTTGGCAAGATTTTTTTTACCATGATGAGACCTGGATTCATCACTTTCAACCAGTATACAAAATTCAGTCATTACTCATTTCCCTAGTAATGATGATGTCATGTCAGCTGTGAACCATGTTTTTAAGGTGACTAAAGACAATTTCTTCCTGACCAGCATCCAACATCATTGGCAAAAGTGTGTACACCTCAAAGGGGGCTATTTAGAAATTATAAATTGAAATCATCGACTTTGTACAGGTCTTTCACAGATAGGCTTAGAACTTTTCAGCCACCACTCGTATATATTATAGTCTTTACCCGATGGAGATTGGGACTGTTAAAAATATAAGCTTGATAATGTGATAATTTTTGACAATGATAATTTCTTATCCCATGTTTATTTGTTTATTTTTTAAGCTCTATATGTACCGGTATCCCTTCAAGGTCCTGTATCAATCAGTTTGCACATTTACATTATTTTTCTCATCTTTATTTCAGCCCGTATTTTCTGGGGCTAAAATCAAGGGAGTGGTGAATTTCTCAGTAAATGATAACCCAATTAGGTCTAATCCATTTAGTGTAGAAGTAAGTAAAACCATATTTTCATCTTCAGTAATTCAAAAGTTCAACAAAAATATTTTTTAGCTATAGATGTTCCTGTTCAATACTGTTGTGCTAATAACTCTTAAATCTATAAAGTTCCTGTCTTAACCCGTTAAGTGCGTAGGTCGTTATATAATATCCTGGACAACTGCCACTCACTGTGTGTAGGGCGTAATATAACGCCTTGGAGCTATTTTCCCCAACCTATTCTTAGAACATAGTTCATCACTTGGGGGAATCCTTAGGGAATTCCCCCACGATTGCAGCATCTGTAAGACGTTATATTATGTCCTGGACAACTGCCACTCACTGTGTGTAGGGCGTAATATAACGCCTTTGAGGTATTTTCCCCAACCTATTCTTAGAACATAGTACATAGTTCTTCGTCACTTCGTCAAATTAATTACACAATAGGGGGTAGTTAATGTTTTAAAATCGTCAAGCTTAACGGGTTAATATAGATATATATCATGTTCTTAAAGGTATGTGTCGCATTAAAGAAGAAACAACTTCAGATTTACACTATAACAGAAGATAGAATTGTACATATGAAAGATTTACCGTTACCAGAGCCAGCTATTATAACTGTAGGTATTATTTTACTCAACAGATACAAACAAAAAACGGTGAAGCTTTTATTTTCATTCTCATTTAGTAGAATGTTAAACCCAATTTCATTTATACTGCTTGCTTAAAAATGTGAGCCATAACAAATTGTAGGCTTTTATTAAACCACTAATTATGCACTTGTATCTGAAGACCTAAGAAAATGTTGTTTGAGTAGAAAATTTTTAGGATTTTTCCAAATAAGGTTACTTCTTGGCCATAAAACACTGCTCTTTGTCCTATTTGTATATTGCAGGGAATAGATGAACACTATGTGTGTGCAGCTTTAAATACCCAGTATTGTATGATAGAGGTTGAAACTGCTTTCGTTCAAGATCTCTTTCCGTATGACAATGAAAATACCAACCCTATGGTTAAAAAAGTAACAAAGGTAAATACACGTAATTTAAAAAATTTTTCAGTAATATAGTTAGCAGTGCGATCAGTATGGTTCATATCATTTTTGAGCATTCTCACTGAATTAATGCCCCAGATAGTTGAGGACTTAATTATGTTTATAACAAATTTCATCAAGTTTTCATATATGATCCTATTCACTTAGTGTCCAGTTACTGTAATAATAAAGATGATGGGATTCAAAGAATAAATATGTGACAACCTTTGTTGCTTGCTCAGACGACGTAGCTGCCGTGTGGGTATGTTTTTTTGCTGTGTTTCTTATCTCTCTCCATAAGTGGGTGGGTAGATTGATGTTTGAGAGGTGTGGTGTTTTTATTTTTCTGGTACATGACAACTTGGACATTCAGAATTAACATGTATATGATCTGCTTTATTGAATCTATTTACTGGTAAACCACTCTCTGGGTATATTCTCTTAATTTCTGTTCTAGGAGGAGTTTTTATTAAGTGGACCAAATGCTCTTGGGATGTTTGTTACATCTGCTGGTATATCTCAGAGACCCCCCATGCAATGGTCAGATAATCTTATAGCAGTCAGCTGTGTCCAGCCGTATATAGTAGCCATGAATGATGAGTTTATAACTATTCACAGGTAGATTTTTATATTATCGTCACTCAGTCTAGAGGATAGAGTTATCATCCGATCCAGAGGGTTTATGTTTATGAAACAAAGAATGTGTATGAAATTCATACACATTGTTTGCATGCATGAAACGAAGAAACCTATTGATTTTTATATGTTAAGAATGTTGAAGATATTTTCAAAATAGACAAAGTCTAAATGACCACACAATGTTATATATCCAATGTTTCAAATTTATTTTGCAGTATTTTAGATCAACAACAAAAACAAGCTATTCCATTTCAAGGCGGGGTATTTATGGATGACTTTGAAGGAAGATTATTTATTGCTTCAGCCAGAGAAATTTATTCCCTTGTACCTGTAGCTTTTGAAAAACAAGTAAAATATATATTTCATTTACATGTCACTTTCGTCATCCGTAATGACTTAATATTTTGATGTGATATTTGACAAAGATAAGTGTTTGATTTGCAAATTGCATATGTGAACCATGTGCATCAGTAGATACCCTTGAAATCGTGGACACTCCTTCAATTTCACTAAGTTTTGTAGCCTCCAGGTCCCCATAATCAAAATACCTTGTTTCTAATTTCTCGAAAGGATAAATTGTAATATTACACGATGAGTTTTTGTCTACTTGCAGATTGAAGCACTATTATATGATAAAAGAGTCGCTGAAGCTTTGGAATTGGCTGAAAATGCTCACAAAACAGGAATGACAAAAGACAAATTTATGAAGGTATAAAGGATTATTGCCGTCGGGTGTAAACGACCATAATAACTATTTCATTTGTTGTCCACCACCTTAAAACAAAATTCTTTGGACATTTTTGATACCTAGTCTAAAGCTTATGCGTGTGCATGTAAAATTATCTACCCTGACGTTGCATATCTAATGCTGAATTGTAAGATATCACTTAAATTTAATAGACTGCTTGCTTTCCCTAAGGTAACATAGATTTTGTTATTATATGGGAATATAAAATTTGAATGTGAGTCAAATGAGCCTACCCATTTTCATTTATTTTTTATAAGTTCCCTAGTTAGAAAATTCTGTTGGTACTGTAGAGGTTTCAATCAGAGATCTTTATCGGATGATTATTGTCTGGTAAAAAAGCAAATTGATAAAACAATGAACCGACCACTATGGTATAATAAATCAATCTACTTCGGCTAATTTACGAAAAGTTGGTTATTACTCATTGATTAAGAAGTCAGTCAGTCAGCTAAAGGTCATTACCATCATACCTTTGTGAGAATACACCACGTGACAAAAGTACACTTCCGACATCTGAATACTACGGCATTCTGTGGAATCCCTCATCATTTTCATGTCCCGGTTTATTTCCCTTTTACCTATTCAAAAAAGTTTTGAGTAGTCCGGAATCTGAATATTCCAAATTACAACATCAATCAGCGGTCCTGTCACACGATTTGAGTTGAATTAACATTGGATAATCTGGCTATCAATCAGTGAGTGTTAACCGACAAGCAATCACCAATCAAGTATCTGTGGGCATGAAACATGTGTCGGTTTGTTGATTACCTTGATAATTTTATAATCTCTTGTAAGAGAGCGCTTAGTATTTTATAGAAATTGCCAAGATGAAGAATCACTATCATTATATTATAATATTGTGTGTGTTTGTCCTGCACAGCGTGCCCGTACGGATTTGATATTAGATGTTAAGCAGCAAATTACAGCAGATTTTGAAAAAGTTTGCGACCTACACAGAAGGAATTAGCCGTTAAGTATTCAATTGGCCGTACTACAGTATCTGACATTTTAAAGCGAAAAGATGAATTCAAACAAAAGTTTGCCGATAACTATAACAGCAGTAAGAAACGATTTTACTCACAAGTAGTTTAAGGGCATGAACAAAAACCACCTGTCAATAAATTGGTCGGCCAATCATAAGACTTGATTGACAAGTTCTATTTATTCTGGTTATATATATTCAAAGTAAATTGTTATGTACATGTAGTGTTATGTTATTGTGTCTTGTTATGCAATTGTTTGATATAATGTAATAAATTTTGAATGTACAGAAAGCATTATCATATTTTAAGTTCTGGGTATTATAATAATACTTCCAGTATTCAAGGGTACAGTAATACTTCCGTTATTGAGGCAATTGAGTATTCCGACATGCTGTGTAATCTGGCACATTGTATTGATCCCGTACGATGTCGGAATTGGCAAGAGTCCACTGTAATCTCATTCAGTTCATGATCTAAGTTATTAGTATATTTAACAATAATTTTGATATCCCCGTAAATATACAAGCTTGCTGATAATTCATAACATGTGCAGTAAATGTTTTACAGATATACAAAAGAATTCAGCAACAGGCTGGTTTTATAGAATTTAGTCAGCAACATTTTGATGAAGCCCAAAAACTATTTCTAAATGGAGAAGTGGATGTTAGAGAGGTAGATATCATGATAATGTATTAGAATAAAGTATTTTATAACCTCCGGTAATATGCAACAATACAGTATTTCTTTCGAAAGTAACTGTGCATGATTTGCACATTTTGGGAAATATCAAATTTCTCACGGATTAATCCACACTAAAATGTACTCAGATTGATTATTTAACATTTAATTCCAAAAACAAAATCAATCTATAGCTAATCTACCGGCTTGGATTCAACAAGCCCATCAATTAGATTTCACAAAACATAAAGATGACGGTGGGCTTGTTATATCAGAATTGTCCTCGGAATCTGACAATAAAAAGACTGTAGATTGCAAAACGGCGGGAAGCTCACCTTTGAAAGAAACGTATACCAGGTTTGTTGGCAGATACTGTCTAAGAAAAAGAAGTGAGAAAAGAGAAAAATACAAAAGTGTACCAGAGAGCTAACTTATAACTTAGGATTGAGACATAATCTTTTCGAGACATTTTAGTAGATTTATATTTTCAATATATTTATTTCAGATTATCTGTTTATATCCTGACCTGATGCCATCTGGTAGTAATTTCACCCGTTCCAGTCCACCGCTGCATGAAATCCCATCTGTCAGTATATTAGTAAGAAATAATGATTCAGTTATGGAAACTTACAAAAGTTTCTTGAGGTCATTTCTAGAGGATGTGAGAAATACAAAGCAATCTGTTGGATTAAAACAGGTATGTATTTAGATTAGTAAGGCTGTGCCAGATTAATTTTGTTTTGTTTTGCGGAACAGCAGACGCCCGGTTTCTTTCTTCAATTGTGACAACATTGTCAAAGACCACCTATCACTATAACTAAGGCAAACATATGACACGGTTTTCAAGACACTTATACAGGACTAGGATCAAGGTTTTAAAGGATGATTCACACCCAGTTACCAGAAAATAGATTGGATTAATCCTTTAATTACCAGGTTATCCTAACGATATTGCAAAATAAGACATTTAATAATATTTTAGTGGTACTGTATAGCTCAAGTGGAACAAATTCTTGTACTGATTTTGATTAATGATATACTATTCAAAAAAAGTAGGGGATATTTGATTTTGGGGGCATAATACTAAAATATGCAAATGACTACGAAAAAAGTCACTATAGAACCTAACAGAAGAAACATTTCCAGTTACATGTGACGCCCAAACGCACCAATAGCTACCGCATGGAATGCAGGTGATGCTTGGGATCATCATGGGGGTCCAACCCAAGATTTGCACGACTCTGACTTTGAATGTTACAGTCATTGTGGCATTGAATTCCAGGGTGGAAACATCAGTTTAATTGTTTTAGTGACCAGAAAACAAATTTTGATATGCGTCGGCTTACCCAAAATGAAAGGTTACGTGCCCTTGGCATGCTACAGATCGGCACAACACAGGCGGTTGTGGCGCGGACGATGAATGTTTCTCAGTCTGTCATAAGCAGGCTATGGTCCAGATACCGTGATACACAATCTGTACAGGACAGACCACGCTCAGGTCGACCAAGGGCGACAACTCAAGCCCAGGATCGATTTATCCGTACCTTGGCCTTGAGAAATCGTGTCATCACAGCAAATCAGATCAGCGCTCGTCTTCAAACAGACACTGGTGTGAGAGTGAGTGGCCAGACGATTCGGAATCGACTGCATAGGGGTCACCTTCGCGCCGACGTCCTCGCGTGATCCCTTGTTTGAGAGATCATCACATTCAGGCAAGACGTCGTTGGTGTAGGAATCGTCAACACTGGGATAATCGACGCTGGAGCAATGTGATGTTTTCAGATGAGTCAAGGTTCACTGTTGATTTTTTTGACAGACGTAGGAGGGTGTGGCGTCGTCGAAACGAGTGCTTCCAAGACGTTAACGTCATCAGACATGATCGATTTGGGGGTGGTTCTGTTATGGTGTGGGGAGGCATCACTGTTGCTGGAAGAACGGCTTTACATGTTGTTGCAGGGCGTGTTACAGGCCAGTACTGCCGGGACAACATCTTGGCAGTCCATGTTGTGCCGTTTGCACGACGTCATGGCCGCCGTTTCATCTTCCAGGATGACAACGCAAGATGTCACAGGGCCAGGATCGTTACAGGTTACCTCCAACAACAGAACATCACCACATTACCAATAAATCGATGAATGTGAACTTCATTTCATTTTGTCATTTGTTTCTTCGTCAGTTTCATTAGGTGACTTTAATAACACTTAAAAATCAAATATCCCCTACTTTTTTTGAATAGTATACTTCAGTTTGTTTTTTACATAATAGAAATACATATTGAAATTAATGTGAGAGAGAGATAGAGAGAAATGGGGTTTAACGTCCACTCTGTAGCAGTGGGAGAAAACCGGAGGACCCAGAGAAAAACCATGACGTTGTGTAGCCGACCCTACTCCTTGTCACATACAACTGGGGAATCGAAATCACACAAATTGACTCAATGACAGACCTTATGATACAGCGTACACACGCTAACCATTCGCCCATCCAATCCCCCGAAATTCATGTGACTGGTATAATGTTTCATTTAAAGGAGTGGCCAGCCTTTTACATATTCTGCGCCAATTTGTTTATACATGTTTGGTGTATGCACCAGAGGTTGGCCATCCCTGATTTAAAGCATTAATTTCTTCTTGCTCACATTAACATCTTCTTGTTCACATTAACTTCTTCTTGCTCACATTAATTTCATCTGGCTCACATTAATTTCTTCTAGCTAACATTAATTCCATCTTGCTCACATTATCTTCTTCTGGCTCACATTAACTTCTTTTTGCACACATTAATTTGATCTGGCTCACATTAATTTCTTCTTGCTCACATTAGTTTCATCTGGCTCACATTAATTTCTTCTTGCTCATGTTAATTTCATCTTGCTCACTTTAATTTCTATTCCCATGAATGGATGTTAAATCTAATTTGTGTGTCTCTCTCTACCATTACACATTCACATTTTTTTCTCCAGGAAATTGATGTAGCCTTACTAAAATTATATGCAGAGAAAAATTCAGCAGATTTAATACCACTGTTAGTGAGTGATACTTCATGTGAATTAGCAGATTGTGTTGAATATTTAGAGAGATACCAGCGTCACCATGCCCTTGCTCTCTTACATAAATATCATGGTGAAAATGAAAAAGCTTTACATATATGGACAAGGTAAGAGTTTTTTAGCTGTCTGTCATCTATGCATCTGTCCAGTGGCACCTTGAAGGAGACTTGAACATTTTCACACATTTTTTAAAAATATCAGTAGAAAATGACGACAGATCTCGTAAGGTGAGGTCTTGGATAGCTGGACACTGTGATCGGAGGATATCTATACTGGGATCTGAACGATACATAAGGGGTTCAGGAAGAAGACGATATATAATGAGATGTAACCAGTGTAGATTAGATGAACTCCATAGTTAGAATAAACAGGTTTATTGATTAGACGTTTTGGACAAAAAGGTGTCCTTTTTCATTAATGATTTATAATAGTAAGTGCAGGAGGACAGCACTACACGTAAAAAAAAAAATCTACGATCAACCTCGGCCATCTAACTATAAAATTCTTAAGCCTTTACAGAATAGTGTACCCATATAGAAGCCACATTATCTCATAGTCATAGAGGCAGGTGAGGTCTTGGTGATATGTAACTTGACTTTGTATTTCACATGTATTATTATTATGATTCTAGATTAGTGAATGGAGAGATACAAGATAAAAGTTTCCAAGGACTTGAATTTGTTGTGGATTTTCTTGCAAAGTAAGATTTATAGTTTTCTTTTATAAGCTTACATTGCAGGACTCAAACTAGCAGGCAATGTGGGTGAAATGGTTCCCCAATCCATATCTGACTTAGTCCTTAGTTAAAGTAGCTAAGTCTCTAACTGAATATCATCCAAAGTCTTACACTTGAAAATGCGAATTATTTGTCAATTCAAATCAACATTGATGTTGTGATCTTACCAGGAAAAGGCAGGCTTCTGATATCCAATATTTAAGACAAAATAAATATTTTACCATTGGTACACGAATCGTGTACCATAGTGCGTTTTAGGGTCATTTGCAACAAGTGACCAGAAAGAACGAAGCTAGACATATTCAACTGGAGAGCCTGCTGAATAGACTTGAATAACCAGACGCTAGAAATTGCTATAGGGTTGAGACCCATGCCTTATTTCGCTGGACATAACTGATTTGAAATTAGAGTCAAAACGGAAACAATTGAATGTAAATCAGTTTATATACAATCAGATTACATTATTATATGCGTTGCGACACTTTTGGGTCAATTTCTAGGTCCCAAGTATTAGCGATTTAGCTCCTTTAAAATTGTAGATCCGTGCAAGGGTGAACTTGGTCTTAAGAGGCTCACAATCTAAAGTAAACAAAACATAATGAGGTTGAAATGGAAGTATGAACTTTCGACACATAAAAAAACATTGATAATGCAAAAAGGAAAATTAAATTACAAGGTTTTATAAAGACAAGAAGCTTATAAATTTAGTGTTATTTAAAGAGTATAAATGTATTTATAGTAGTTGTGTTCTTCTATGTGAATCCAATTTATAAATTATAAAATGATATATATGTAATATCCCTGCTTATTATTGATTACAATATATGTCAACTTTTATAGCAGTTATATAATGATTAAGCTATGAATTTAGAATTTTTTGTGATCCAGGTTTTGAAAAAACATTGTTAAATTTTTGAGGATGATGACTCAATTGTCTGTCTTCCATCAGTCATCCATTTACATCTCCGACTTCTTCAGAACAGCTTAATTTATTTCGACTAAATGTAATAGGTATGTTGCATTAGTGGAGCTTACACAGATTTATTCAAATGACAATAATTGGCCCCATAGGGTAGGGGTGGGGAAAAGGTAAATTTAGTCAATTTCACACATTTTCAAATACTTGATGGATTTCATACATGTTGGAAAGGTGTTTTACCTTGGTGGTGCTTATTCAGATTTGTAAACATTTTCACACATTTCTTCTAGCTTCTTCTCTTAATCCACTTGATAGTTTTATCAGGTTTCTTGTCAATATTGTTTGTTTTTATTGTCTCCCTACCTTTTGAAGAAAGCAGAGGACTACTAAAATGGGTCTGTCTGTCTGCCCGTTGCACTTTTTGGGACACAATATAACTCTCCTACTAATTGAGCCTAGAATGTTCAAACTCGGTGTAGGTGTTTATTAGGTAAATAAATGCCTTGATGGAGTTCGAAGATGAACATTGTCTGCTTAGGGTAAGCAGAGATAAGCAATTTGATTGGTTGATGCTTTGGGACATGATAACTTTAGTTCTAATTAAATGAGAATGATGAAACTTGTTGTATAGTTTCATTCCATCAGTAACTTGACTAAGTTTGATAATGAGCATTTTCTGCTCAGGGTAAGCAGAGCGATAAGCAATGTGATTGGTCGAGACTTTGAAACACAATAAATCTCTGTCTAATTGAGGTTTAATGTTAAAACTTGGTGTAGGTGTTTATTAGTTGAATGCTTTGATGGAGTTTGAAGATGAGCATTTTCTGCTTAGGGTAAGCAGAGATAAGCAATTTGATTGGTTGATGCTTTGGGAAACATGGTGTATAATTTTATCACATCAATACCTTGAGTAAGTTCGATAAAGACTATTTTCGGCTTTTGGTAAGCAAAGCCATAAGCAATTTTATTGGTCGAGTCTTTGGAGCTTGACAATTTTAATTCTAATTGAGTAATAGTGGTGAAACTTTGTTTATAGTTTCATTACATCAATACCTTAACAAAGTTCGAAGCTGAGCATTTTCTGCTTTGGCAAAGTAGAGACTTTGATCTGATTGGTCGAGACTTTGGATCGCAATAACTCTCCTTCTAATTGAGGTAGAATGTTCAAACTTGGTGTAGGTGTATATTAGGTGAATGCCTTGACAGAGTTCTATCATGCACATTTTCTACTAAGGCTAAGCAGAGATAAGCCATTTGATTTGTTGAGACTTTGGAACACAATAACTTTAGTTCCAATTGGGTGAGAGTGATGAAACTCTTGAGTATAGATTCATTATATCATTACCTTGACTAAGTTCGATAATGAGAATTTTCTGCATAGGCTAAGTAGCGATTAGCAATTTGATTGGTCCAGATTTTGGAGCATTAGGTGAATGTTTTGACTAGTTCAATGATTAACATTTCTTGCTAAAGCTAAGCAGAACTAAACAATTTCATTGGTCGATGATTCTAACTGAGAGTGATGAAACTTAGTGTATAGTTGATGATCAGTTTGATTGTCCGATAACTGTGAAATTAATTGATATGTTTCATCTATTTTGTTATTTCTGCGGGGGACATCAACCTCACTGTTGGCTTGTTTTATTTAGTTTAAGTGATCATGAATTGGTGTGGAAATATTTAGACTGGGTATTGGAAAAAAATGAGGAATTTGGAGTACAGGTGAGTTAAAAATTTGCGTAAATTTAAGGATGATTACATAAAGCACATTTTTTATTGTGGGTGCCGTATATTGTCATTTTTTGACCTTTTGAAATTCAGACTTACACATTTGATATTATAACACGCCACAGCCTTGCCATCTTTCAAAATGGTGTTGGACATGTACATCTGTCTGTTGACGGGTAATTCTGTGTTTTCTGTAGTTAGAAGTAGTACACTATGCTTTGAGAATAAATAAGTATTGTGGATTGAAAGATTGTTCTACTTGCATTTGAAGGAGTGTATCTTTAATATTTTTGTTTTTTGTCAGATATTAACACAAAGACCAGCAAATGAAGTACAGTCAGAGAGATTACGACCAGACGCAGTTATTGACTACCTGCATCGATTTCCTCTGGCTGTAGTAACATACCTAGAATATTTAGTTTTTCAGAAAAAATTAGAGGTAGGTTTAACACATCTGTGCATTTGATATTTATATTTCAATGCACCAGGTTTGTTGAAATACCAAATTGTTTTCAGTGTATAATGTTGTATTTGTTACTGCTCAGGGTTCAAAATTCGTGAAATTAGAACGAAGGCACTTTTTATTTGGATGTCCGATTTTGGTAAAACTTGAAATGTAGGTCTATCTCCCAAAGATCTCGGTTCCTTTCGATATTGGCATGTATCGGACCATAACTTCATGGATTATGGCCCCTGATTATATGAAAAACAACATTTTTAGGTTGTGGACACTCTAGAGGTCACAATTTTCACCCAATTTTGATGAAACTTGAAATGCATGTTTATAACCCAAAGATCTTGTTGGCTTTCGATATGCGCGCATAGTGGATTGAACTTCCTGAATTATTGTACAAAAAATCCTGTTTTTAGCTTGTGGTCCCTCTAGAGGTCACAATTATTATTCGATTTAAAAAAACGTTCGAATATATCACCGTTACCCTATAATGTTGGTTGAGTTCCAATTTCGTGAAAATCAAACCAGAACTGTCGGACGAAATGGCCGCCTCTCGTACGCAAATAGTGTAAACATCTGGTATATCAATGTTGTGGACCCTCTAGAGGTCACAATTTTTATCCGATTTTGATGAAACTTTAAATTTATGTTTATATCACAAAGTTCTTTTAATAATCGCGAATATCCGAATATAACTTCCTGGATTATAGCCCCTGATTGTTTGAAAATTCGCACCTGCACATTTCAGACCATAACTTTCTGGATTATGGCTCCTGATTGTACGAAAAATCGCTTTTGTTTTTAGCTTGTTCTCTATCCATCTCTTGCAAAATGTGGGCGTATCTAGCCTGGAAACCACTGGTTTCAAAAAATGCCACAGTAATTCCTTCTTTACTAAGGCAGTTTTTATGCATACTAAGTCAAAACTTTTAATTTACTTTCGTCACTACAGCATTTTTTTAAATTGGGAAACTTTGATTGATAAAGATTAGGAATAATAAACCATAAAATAAGCACAGCGTTTTAATGTTTCCATTTATAATGTCTATTCAGATATATCATCATTTGACAAAATCAGTGGGCTATTAGGCGGAACTGGTACAATAAATAGTGTGTTTACACCAGGCATGCTATTTCAAAATTTTGCATGTCGGACATTTATATTTGGGGTAATTAGGTCACCACAAACACCCTTAAATTGTTTAGGGCTTTACGTACACTGGTCCATATGAATATCTTAATATGAATCTGTTTTATTACTTTGAAATCAGAAGGCCTAAAATTTCTTGCAAGCCCACGAATCTGCTTTGGCTCAGCGACTCGAAGATTCGTGCAATTCTATAATCTGTATCCATGTGAATCCCACCAGATATAAGTATCATGGTTCCAAACTTGCATTTTAAATGAATACTTCGCTGTTGAGGTGTTGAATTCCGATTCTAAAAAATCCCTAATACCGTAAATTGATTATCAAAACACGATTTCGTACCTATGCATGACACTGTATTACATACATGTTCGGCGGACATGTACCAACCCCTGGCAACCACTAGCACATGATGTTACGGTAGAATTAGGTCAGATGACTTTGGGGATATGTACTGTTTGATTTATTTAGAAATAAATAATGCTATAAACTAGTATCAAACAGATGAAAACATGCGTAGATGGTGTGAAATTCATTGTTATAAAATTGGCTGCTATTTGACTTCCAACTATCCGAGTAACTGTACGATGGCACAACTGAACGAATGCCGCGTGACGACTTGTGTTATCGGTATCTGTGTTACGTATATCCGCTAATGTGACATCACAGTAAATAACCAATTAAAACTCCACACAGTTCGATCTACTTTTAGCTGTGTGGTTCGAGATCTAACTCGATAGAAAAGTGCAGTCACAAGAACTCAGGAAAGAAACAAAACAATAAATTCCTACTTTCGATTATGTCGTAGTCATTATTTATTTTCTATGGCAATTTTGCTAAATACTTTGGCAATTGCCCTGGGTGCCGTCGTGAATTTTGACCCCTGCTTCCCATAAATAATGTGCTTTGAAATGTACGCACAATATGAGTGTATTCTTCACCGACCGTGGTCATATGAATATCCCTTAAACCCTTACACCAACTTTGTTGTTCAAATCTTCACCTTCTTGAAATGTCAAAAAGTAAAACACTCCTTGCACAATGCTGTGTTTTTAAAAAGAACCTAATAACAGAATTGTTCCGAAAAGCTTTCATAAGTTCAAGTGATTATCTCATTTACCAAATTTTTTAATGTTTTATATTTTATGTGTACCGGTACCCTGCTATTTTATTTATTTTTTAAATTTAATTGTCTTGTTTTACCAGATATTTTAATTTTTTATGATTTTCTATCTATATTGTGTTACATTGTGTACTCATATCATATATTTTTATTTTGTACAAGCGCCACAGCTAAATTTTGGTGCTATACAAGGTCAATAATTATTAATTATCATCAAATTGAGGAGCCGTGGTGATTCAGTGGGTATTCAGTATGATAAAATTATATGGTTCATTGAAATCATTTATTTATTTTTACAGAAAGAAAAATACCATACTCATTTAGCTGTATTGTACTTGGATAAAGTCTTAAGTTTAACAAAGAATCATGGTAGCAAGAAGGAAGATGTCGATATTGCAAGGTTTAGTTAACTTTAATTTTTCAAATGTATATACCATTTTATTGCTTGAATAAATTTGAAATAAATGCAATTCTAACTTCCTCTCTTGGTACATATGATTAAAATTATAACATTTATGGTCTCTCTACCTATCTATCAGCACCTTTTTTGCACTTATTTTTAAGAAGAAGATGCCTATTGATCTGTAATATAACAACCTTATCTTTTATATCTACACCCAGGATTTCAGAAATTGTGGCTCTCAGGAGTTTATTCTCATTATCAAAACATGACTGTTTAATAGATTTACTCTTGTCTCTGTTGATAAAATCTCTGTAAATAAAAATGATATAAATAGACTTCCATATATAAATTATATTTACCAATGCTTGTTTTGTTTGTTCTTGTAAGATTTATAGTTGAGTATCAAAGATGTCTTTAATGATATTTCAGATGTAAACTACGCCACATGCTACAAATGTCAAACTTATACAGGGTTCAGCTTATACTTGGAAAAACTAAAGAAACAGAAATGCATGCGGAATGTGCAATATTATATGGAAAAGTAAGTAATTATTATTATTTTCATCATTATCATTTCTCAGTCCTTTAAATTGAGTAGTGATTATTCAGTTTTGTTCGAATGCATGGTCACACAGTCAGATATAAGTTGTTTTATTGCACCTTTAAGGGGAAAATTTACCATTTGATTTTGGTGGATGTTGGCTTTTAGGTAAATGTGTATTACAGGGTTCCCACGGTCCTTTAAAATCCTTGAATATCCTTAAGTTTAAAATTTCATTTTCAAGGTCTTGAATATCCTTGAATTTCGTGGAAATAGGAAAATATCCTTGAATTTCAGTTGAGATCCTTAATTTTGTTTCAAATGTCTTCAATTCCTTTTAAATATGAGATTATAACGATAGTTGGTAATGTTTTGGTTATTTTTAAGATGAAAAATTGTAACTTTAGGCTAAAAAATGTCCTTGAAAATCCTTGAATTTGATGTATATTTACCCTTGAATATCCTTGAAAAAATGTTTGACGAAGCCGCGGGAACCCTGTATTAAATAAAACGCTAGACTCTAACAACAGGCAAATGTAAATATTGTCTCATTGTTAAAGAAAACAATATTAATATACTGATAGCCTAATCCAACCAATGATTACACCTACTTAGACTCTTACTTTTATATGTATTTCTTTTTTAGTTGGAAGAACACGACAAAGCTCTAAGAATTTTAGTCCATAAGTTAAAAGACTTTGGTGCTGCTGAAAATTATTGTTTAGTAAATTCTCAAGGAAAAGAAACAAGCTACAGAAAACGTTTATTCCATATATTACTTAGTGTTTATCTAGATCCATCTTATGAGTAAGTTTATGTCAGTCATGTTGTTTAATGTAGCTACTGTATCAGCTTCAAATTCAGTGTAGTTCTCATTTGTGCCAGTTCATCCTAAAAATGTGGCAGAGCTATATTTTCTACTTTGAGTGAACATGTCATAATTAATTAAAAATGGATTTGGATGAAATGTGGTTTAATTTAGTTTATAAAGACACAAAACCTTGGAGCACCTACCAATTTTATTCTTTCATTTTATTTGCTCTTTAAGAATCAAAATCTACTTCAGTTTTTAAACAGAGGTTTTGTTTTTGTTTTTGTGTGTTTGTATCCTTTACATAGAGCTTATTAGTATGATTTTAGTGAATAATGTATTTATTTTGTATTAATCTTTTTCAGAACTAAGGATAATTTAGTAGCCCCAGCTATGTCTTTATTAAATAGTAATGTAGCTGATTTTGATACTGTAAAAGTAAGTTAGTTTATTAGTATGTTGCTTGTTCTCTTCAGGGAACCATTAATTTTGCTAGCTTGCTTAACAATAAAAATTCATGTTTTGCAGTGTCTTAATTAGGGTGCACTTTGTAGATGCAAATTATGCATGTTTCAGTAAGGCATTAAGCTCTTCAACGATTTTTATACGCCCACCTGGAAATGTGTTTGTATATTGCCGCTGCCCTTGTCCCTCCGTCGCTCCATAGACCACAATTTCTTGTGAACATTCTACTGACTACATTTATCATCTGATTGTTTTGAAATTGATATATGTTGTTAACACTGTTGCATTGAAGAATATTATTTAATTCCAATAATTTCCATCAATTTTTTTCTGGAGTTATGGCCCTTGTTTCACTTTGTTGAACCTAGAGAATGCTCGAATAACAAAAGTTATCATCTGATCTGTATGAAATTTATATGCATCATTAAAATTAGTGATATGAAGAAACAAATTGAATTTCAGCAATTTCTGTAAATTACTTCCAGAGTTAGTAGAACCTTGTGAACTCTCAAACGACGAAAAATTTAATCTGGTCTGTATGAAATTGTCTTGTAAATGCCCCCCATTACCTCCAAAAGAATGAATATGCAACATCCCATGTTGAACTGCCCGGAGGATTTAGCTGCTGTGAATGTATGTTTAGTTGTCTGGCAACCTGTCTTTATCATTGCGGAATAGTCTGCATTAGGCTAAAGATGATACCTGACAATTTTCACAGTTTTCACAAAAGAACTTCCAAAGTTTATGAATTGATATTAATATCCAATTGAAGTCTAATTTTATATTAGGCAACACAAATAAAATAAGTTGTTTCTCGGGCACCGCCCGCACGCAAAATTGGTTGCGCGGGCGGCCTATTTATTAGTCTTGATGAAAAATAAAAAATATGTAACGCCCGCCCGAACATCGATAAGCAAGTCATAAAAAGAATATGCCGCATGTATCTACATGCCCCATACGTGAATATCCATTCAAATGTATTAAACTGATTTAGATGCAAACGCTCATTTAAGGGTCTTTTTTATTGATATCGAAAGAACCTCCATTTTTGTATCACGTGATTTTAATTACCTCCCCTTGTGAACTAGAATTTGATTCGTGTTCAACACCGAAAGTCATTGACAACAATGCAATGTATTTCAATCATTCGATCTTAATCGGCTCATTATTGCCGGCTTCAGTCGGTCCATGTTTGAAAAAATCCTACTTATAAAACAATGAATCGTAGAACAGGTTAATTATTATAACTTGTGGCTACGAATACGATACGATGATAGTCACCATACCTTAGTCAGAATCTGGGTCATTAGCATTTTTAACGGTAGTTTTGATAATCCGGAAAATAATAATTGGATTACACATTTGATGGTTTTACTGACCAGTTGTTAGTTAAATTTAAATAGTCATTCGATATAAACCCCAGATAGAACACTGAATATCCTGAGAAACACACCGAATATCCTGAGAAACAGTCATTTCCCGAATCCCGATGACACGTGACATGCATTGGTTGGAATTAGGTCAATCATTATAAACCAGCGATACTAGATTTAGATCTAAGTGTCGTTTACCGTGATGATTATTTTTGATACACATGCTGACAGAGGCTTATTCTTTAAAATATTGTCGTTATTATGGACGTCTATTAATAGTCGTACGGAATTTTATTTTAAACCAATTTTAATTATGGTTGTCACCATTACCATTAGTAAGCTACATTACGTGAATTAAATATGGAAAATTATTTTCCTTTCAGTCAGTGTTCAGTGTTTGAGTAGACTTGATTTTTGGGTTTATGTTCTAAGTATGTATAATATATAACTGAAAGCAAAACCGTAGACGAATAATGACTTTCTCATTAAAAAAAAATATAAAAAAAATACAAGGCCGCCCTCCCGCCCCAACAATTTTCAACAATAGCCAAATTTTATTTTGCACCATCCTCTAGCCAGAAATGAGGTAAACCCCCCCCCCCTCCCCCCCTATAGTTTCAGCTGTCAGTTGCCCGAGAAACAAGACATTTATTTTGTGTAGCCTTAGTTGATTGTTGTGTTATTATTGTAATCTGTGTATTGAAAGATATAATTTAAACTGTTAGCTATTTTATAAGTTTATATTTGCCATTTATGTAAAGGGATTATGGGTTATGAAAAGGGAATCATATTCTGGAAAATTTGTATGACTATCGTATGATAATATTAACATATTCTATTACAGGTTTTACAACTATTACCCGATACATGGTCTGTTAGTTTATTATCTCAGTTTTTGTCACGATCTTTACGTAAAAGTATGAATAAAAGTCGATTAGCACGGATAGAGACTATGATGGCTAGGGGAGAAAACCTCCATGTTAAACAAACATGTATAGAACTTCAACAAGAACCTGTGATACTCAATGATGATAGGTATGACAAAACAACACAAATCATTCTTGGAAACTAAACCACCTTAATGGTTTAGTTTATTATTTTCCCTGTCCACCCGTCATCTACAATTTCTTATAATACTCTAGAGACTATATTTATCATTAGATCTTTTCAATTGTTAAGAAGAAAAAGCAAAGCAAATTTTGAAAATGCCCCCTGTGTATAACCTTGTGAACGCTTTGGCGTCGACATCATTTATCATCATATATGGTTTGTGATGAAAGAGCTATCAAATTACAGTAATACTGGCCTTGATTACTTTATAAAATCTTGTGATGCAGTTTATTTGATTTCATGAAAATTTCTGTACATTGTCTTTATCAATGAGACATAAATCTATACCTATTCTGTTACATTCACAGAAATATCATTTGTATGTCAGTATGGTAGGAAAATATACAAACATATACAACATAGTAAATAAACTTATAAATTATATGCTTTATATTAAAGTGCTGATAAAAAAACATGAAACGGTCCAATATGGGTGACAGAACTAAGTTGGGGGCCAGTCGAGCCCCCACCCCCAGCCCCAACTTATCAAGCCCTGCTGTAAGGTGTATAATGTTGCACACAACAGAACTAAAATAGCCATATAAAAACTTAAGCTCTATCTTGTGTGTGTCTGTTGGAATGATGAAACTTAGGTGTTACAGGCTGTAGTGTTATAACCCCTGAGAAATTTGATATTTTGGCATTATCTGCTGCAAGTTGTGGTGAAGAATATAGGAGGATTTGATATTTTGGCTTCATTTGGTGTATGTTTGAGGGGTGGGGATGCATAGCCCCACTCGCCTCTGGTAGATAGAAAGTTTGTAATAATTACAATAACACTTAGTTTTAAATGATATACCAAGATTTGTTGAATTTTATAATTGTTTGGCCCAGGTCGATTGTATCAATGTTTGAAAATGTGTGGAAAAATATGCTAGTTTTACAGTGTGTAGATTGACCAATAGGTCCCGAAACATATTGCTTGTAGACTATTTAATTGTCCTCAAAACTAATTACCGGTACTTATTAATGTTCAGATAATCGGAACAATTTGAATTTGATGTCCTTAACCCTTAACCGGTCATTGTCGACTATAGTCACCACAACGTTATACAGCTAAGTGGTCACGGTCGAATAAAGTCGACCACAGCAAGAACCTTTTTTATAAGCCGCATTTGAGTATTTAGTTTCATATTTAATTGATATGGCCACGCATGCGTGTCAGACAGGAACTTGTCTTGTCAAGGGCATTGAGAAAAACATGTCTTTGTTCAACATTTTGACGAAAAACGTAATTCAACAGTGTCGGGAACGTTAAAGACGCTCGAAGTGGTTGAAATACTTATTAATTATTCCAAATCGGATTATATCGATGACACCGGTTCTGAAGACGATATTTCTGATGAAAAGGATTTAGAATGATTTGCAAATTATAGATCAACTTATCCCCAGCAACTTTTTTATTGGTGTCAAGAGTCTATCACTTATAATTATTCGGCAGTAGTCGATTGAAATAGGCATACAAAATATATCACGTCAGCCTTTTTATCCTGACCACTTGACGTCATAACGGCGTCGACCGGTTAAGAGTTAAATAGTCATATGTATTAAAAATTATCTTTCACTATTTCAGGAATTGTGGTGTGTGTAGTCGAGCCCTAACTGATCCAACATTTATACGATATCCAAACAGTGTTGTAACTCATGTTCATTGTGCTAAAAATAAATATGTTTGTCCAGTCACAGGCAAATTATTCAGTACACGTCCATCGTGACATAATTAGTATAGGTGTGTATGCAATTTGAGAAAATGAGATAAATTTACATACCGGTACTTCTATATGTGTAATAATTGTATCAAGACCTTCAACCATTAACAGAGATGAACTGTATTTCATGTAATAGCTGTCACATTTTCTCTGAATTCCAATAAGCAACCTTCTCACTCATAATGTCAAACATTCATAATATACCTTGCACCATTCTTAAGGTATATGCCAGAAAAGAGGTATTTCTATAAGCTTTCTATTTTATATTTCCAATTTCTGGTAGCAACTCAGTCAAAATTGATTTCACAATTTCTTAAATTGCCATCAACCATTATTAAGCTTAATGTGCTTATTCTACTAATCACGATATTACAAAATGTGACCATTTTCAAGGTAATATTTTAATGAGTGGGACAGCTATATCTATTTGAAATACAGTTATACTATAACATTGTTAAAGCAGCAATAATCCATTAAAAAAGTAAGCATCCTATATGCCGCCTTCATTACACCAGTATTCATTCTAAGCAGGAATTTGCTCCGAAGAAGTTATGCTCACTCTCTTTAGATATATACTGTTTGGTCTATTCTCATCATTTTGAGATATAAATGTATCGTACATATTAGAAAGAGGACAGTGATGCGATGGCTCATTGAGTAACACAATGTCTCTCTAGCCAGGAGGCCTAGTGTTGGGGTGGTTTCTCCCCTAGTCAGTTGTGCAGGATGGAGGACCTGGCAAGGACAGTGTCCAGTTGTTCAGAAGGGATGGAAAACCATGTTTCAGTGTACACATAAAAGAACCTTGAGGGCATGGCATCACTATCCAGGCAATATGTCTTCATAGGAGTTCATTCGTTCCTAGAGTTTTACGTCCACTTCCACCTAGGGTGATATAGACAAGGGCATAGGAGTCGCAGCTATTCATTTGACTGGAAGCACCAAAAGTTTTGTGTGATCCAGGTGTTAAAGAATCTAATAAGCTATATTTTACCATGTACATATAAACTCAAATATTTGCAACAAATATGAATTACTGTTAAAAGTCGGTATTGATAAATTACTGATCTGGTTGAATGTCCCCCTTCTCTAATAAAAGGATCACAAAACTCAATGTTCACAAACTGGGAAATATTTTATATTTCAAACCTTGGAGATAACATTTAAGTTTTTATTGTAATCCTTTGTGCTGAAACAAGCTATAAAACTGGAGCAAAATAGTCAACAAAAATTCCAATGCAAAAGGGGAGGAAGGCTATAAATAGAAGGAACTATATTCGTGGGTACTAACTTGAGAATATTCGGTGGTCTTATATCAAATAAGCCACATATAATTGTCAAAAAACTTGAGAAGATTACCGAATGCTATGGAAGGGTATCGCTGCCAATATTAAATGCTCTGGAAAATGTCGTTTCCATTGCTGGTATTAGGACTTTGTACATTGTACTTTTTACATATAATCAATGGAAACGACATTGTCGCAGAGCATTTAATATTGGCAGCGATACCCTTCCATAGAATGCATCATACTTGGTAAGTATGGGTCCAAGCTCCCAGGGAAGGAAGTACCATATTGACCAGGTGTAATGAATACAGCATTATTCCTATATTTAATATAGTCTTATTTTCACACTGTATGCACATTTATTTATTCCTTTATGTTGTTGAATTATAATCAATGCAAAGTAAATCATCATGCCACAGTCAATGATGATTATTTTGAGATAAAAATTAATATATCATTAAATTAATGCAACCGGTTGTAATAAATAAACATAAATGACCTGTTGACGAGTTACGATTTGCAATTTAATAGTAGAAAACCTCTTTGTTTACCTCATTGTTATGTTGATTATCAAGGACCATTGTTACCATTTACTTCATCATTTTATTGTTTTAAACTGTTTTTGACCTTACTGCTTAAATAAAGTAATGCCACTTACAGTAGGTCACATTTAATTTTTTTCTCATGTTAATTGCTTGTTAACAATCTTTATTAAAGTTTATTATGTAAATTTAATTAAATCAGAATCTGATTGTTTGCAATAGATGTGTCACTTGTTATACGCCCACATTTTCATGTGGACATATATTGTCGTCTCCACTGTCCGTCCGTCCACAATTTGTTTGTGGGCACTCTACAGGTTACAATTTTTATCCGGTTTTGACAAAATATAAGTCTATCTCCCAAAGATCTCGGTTCCTTTCGATATTGGCATGTATCAGACCATAGCTTCATGGATTATGGCCCCTGATTGTACGAAAAATCACGTTTTTAGCTTGTGGACACTCTAGAGGTCACAATTTTGACCCGATTTTGATGGAACTTGAAATGCATGTTTATAACCCAAAGATCTTGGTTCCTTTCGATATACGCGCATATTGGATCGTAACTTCCTGAATTATGGCCCCTGATTATACGAAAAATCGCATTTTTAGCTTGTGGTCCCTCTAAAGGTCACAATTTATATCTGATTTGTATGCAAATAGTGTAAACATCTGGTATATCAAGGTTGTTGACCTCCTAGACGTCACAATGTTGATCCGATTTTGATGAAACTTGAAATGCATGTTTATAACCCAAAGATCTTGGTTCCTGTCAATATACGTGCATATAGAATCGTAACTTCCTGAATTATGGCCCTTGATTGTACAAAAAATCGCGTTTTCAGACTGGTCCCCATAGAGGTCACAATTTTTATCCGATTTAAAAAAAAAAACGTGTGAATACATTACAGTTATACACTAATGATGGTTGAGTTCAAATTTCGTGAAAATCGGGCTAAAACTGACGGACATAATAGCCGCCCCTTGTACACAAATAGTGTAAAAATATGGTATATCAAGGTTGGTGGACACTCTAGAGGCCACAGTTTTTATCCGATTTGGATAAAACTTTAAATATATGTTTTTATCATAAAGATCTTGGTTCGTTTTGATAATTACACATGTTCGAACATAACTTTGTGGATTATGACCCCTGATTGGTCGAAAAATCGCATTTTTAGCTTGTGGATCCTCTAGAGGTCGCAATTTTTTTTCCGATTTTAAAAACTGTTTAGATAAATCACCATTCCACCATAATGAAGATTGAATTCAAATTTCAGGAAAATCAAATTGAAACTGCCCGACAAAATGGCCGCTCTTTGTACGCAAATTGTGTATAAGTATGTAATACATAGGTTATGGACTCTCTAGAGTCTAGAGGTCACAATTTTTATCTGATTTTGATGAAACTTAAAACATATCTTTATATTCCAAAAATCTCAGTCCCTTATGATATTTGCACATTTCAGACCATAACTCTGGATTATGGCCCCTGATTGTACAAAAAATCATGTTTTTTAGCTTGTGGACCCAATGGAGGTCACAATTTTATTCGAATTTAAAAAAGAACGTTTGAATATATCACCGTTACACCTTAATGACGGTTAGTTTGAATTTCGTGAAGATCAGACCAAAACTGCCGGACAAAATGGCCGCCCCCTCGAATGCAAACAGTGTAAAAATATGGTATATCAAGGTTGTGGACCCTTTAGAGGTCACAATTTTAATCCAATTTAGATGAAACTTGAAATGTATGATTATAACCGAAAGATCATGGTTGCATTCAATATTCGCGCATTTCAGATCGTAACTTCCTGAAATATGTCCCCTTATTGTACGAAAAATCACGTTTTTAGGTTGTGGTCCCTCAAGAGGTCACAATTATTATCTGATTTAAAAAAAACGACCCAAACTGACCCACCCCCACCCCCGTACGCATAAAATATGAATATCTGGTATATCAAGGTTGTGGACCCTCTAGAGGTCACAATTTTGATCCTATTTTCATGAAACTTGAAATGCATGATTATAACCCAAGAGATCTTGGTTCCTATCGATATTCGCACATATCTGAAGTACCATCCTGAATTATGGCCCTTGATGTTACGAAAAATTGCTTTTTGTTTAGCTTGTTCCCTATTCATCTCTTGCAAAATGTGGGCGTATCCTGCTTGGCAGCCGCTGGTGGAGCTACATGCTGTTATTAATCCCATTTTTTCTACACCCTGTCCCTGGTTTGTCCTCCGAGGCCACAATGACAAATCTTTCTCAAACTTTAGAATTATGGTTCTTATGAGTAGACAACAGTTGGGCTTGAATTTGATCGCAATCACTATGCTGTCAATGGCTGTCTTTTTTTTTCAAAACAACAAAAGCTTTTCTGTGGAAGTATTTCCACGCTTTGCATGGCTGTTTTCCTTATTACAAGCAGTACCAATAAAAATTTTATTCTTTACTATAATTTCAACATGGTATGGTATCTTGAGATTTTAACTTGGTATCATGAAATTTTGATTAAGTATATTGAAATTTCAACTTAATCTATTTCAAGAGATGATAATTAATGTTCCATTCGAAGAATCCCTTAGATATTGCAAGATTTATGGCCCTTGGTAACTTCATAGAATCTTGTGAACAAAAAGGTTATATGATCTATTTGAAACTTGAAGTGTTCAGATTTAATCCCTGAGTGGCCTTACCCTTTGATTATATATTAACCCCCTATCAATTACCCTATTATTTATTTATGTGTTAACAATGTTATTGAACCAATCACTTTGTATTATAACAACATAGGTCTTATGGCTTCTTTTTTTGTAACACTATAAATATTACCTTTTAATTTACAAATTATCTAAGAACCTACTCTTTCCGAGACCAGATCTGAAGCTGCAAATCTTCGAACTTTGAACAAATCCATGATCTAATGACCACGGTTGGATTAAGTAGAATAGTAAAGTAAGAGGGGGCCACGGTTAGACAGACTCGGCATCTAAACACTAAACCAATAGCAGGATAGTGAAGTAAGGGAGGGTCACGGTCAGACGAAATGAAATAGGGTTTAACATCCTACTGTTCTGCTCCTAAACTGGGCTGATGAAGACGGGCATACGCCATACAGTGTGCTATGAGAGAAATTTTGCCCGGGCAGCGGCACTACGGCCTACTCTTATATCGAATTCCAACTGCCAAGGGATCTTTTACGTGCACGCCAATTTGTACACGGGACCTCGGTTTTTCGTGCCATCCGAACGACTCGACAGCTGCCCTCCGTCCTGCATCACTGACAAGGGAAACCATGCCGGAAAATCTGGATGTTTACATGCATTGTTTACAGAAGATGTTACTGGTTCAGGCAGAATGGTGCCTTTCACTCATTTCAATACCCATTTCTCCCTACAAATACTTAACACCTTTATTTATTTTCCTAATACACAACAAAAATGTTTTAAAATTTAATTTGTTGGAAGAAAAAAGGTAATATTTGTGGCTCAATAAGTCGCATCGATGTCATCCTTATCAGTGCTTGTAGCGGCCTAGCGAATATTCACTGCTGATCAGTGTGCTAAACACTAATCCGCTAAAAAGACACCAAACATGCAGATGACCTACCAATCCAGAGACGAGACGCATATATGCTGTCTCTACAGATCAACAACCAAACAATACGGTTTTTATTAAATAAAGGGAAGAACTTCCCATTAAACCCACTCCATGGTCTAAGGCCGCAAATGGAAAGATGGCAAAATCATATTCTAAAAACAAGAAGAAGCTTCGGCACTCCCATGTCTTGTCTGCGATGTCACTTCTGTGGAAGCAGACCTTAAAGCACCAGGTAGTAGTAGTAGTTACTAATTATCATGTGTACTTGAAAACGGTAAGAGAATACTTGTTGAAACATTGTGCTATACATGTATAACCCAGTGATTGTTTTCCATAGAAATTGTGATCAGATTTAATCGATATGAAATTGGAAGGATTGTGACAGATTGAATTGGTTTTATGTATAAGATAGGTTGTCAGGCAACAAAACATGCCATCAGCAGTGATGCTCTCCGAGCAGTCTAGAAAAGTTTGGTATTGTGAATAACACATGAATTTCAGACAGATCGGATGATAATTTTCATCATTAGTGTTCACAAGATCCCAGAAACTGAAGCAATGGCCATAAGTCTTCAACTTTAGTGTAATATAGACTGTAAAGCCAAGGTGTCTTCAAAAAAATAATGGATACCAGTACTATAAAGTCAATTATTCTAAATTTAGACCTTCAGAGTGGCTCTAAAAGTACCCTATTTCACTTTTAGTGCAGGAAAATAAAATAAATAGGACTTAATTTAAAATTTGACTGGACAGGCAATATGAAAGAAATGGGCGTTTAACTTTAACATCCTACTCTGACTAGGCTAATGAAGATGGGCATACCCAATGTGTACACAGGACCTATGTTTTTTGCCCCATCCAAACGACTATGTTGTCTCTTATCAGGCTCTCTCTGCTGCACCACTGACAAGGGGAACCAGGCCAATAAACTTTCTCAGTTAACACTGGGATCAAACACAGAACCTCCAGGTTAACGTCTTACTCACTAAGTCACTCTGCCCCCCCCCCCCCCCAAAGTGATTATAGAAAACTCAATACACTAATGAACATTTACATCAAGTTTGAACATTCTAACTCAATTTTTGTGTTCCAAATATCTCAACCAATCAAACTGCTTATCTATGCTTAGTCTAAAGCGAAAAACCTCATTATCGAACTTGATCAAATTGCTTTATCTTAAACTAAGTTAAGGTATTCACCTAATGAACGAATTAGAAGCAGAGTTGTGTTCCCAAAAAGTATGATGGACAGAAAAATGGATGAACCCATTTTAATAGTACTGTGTCTTTTTAAGCATTTACTGGTAATCAGCTGTTTTGAAAATCAATATGCTTCTCTGTCTCATGAACCCAAATGCTTTATATAACTTTATTTTCTAGAGTGTCCAAAGATCTTTCAACAAGATCAAGGGCTTCTTTCTAACCCTGAAAGTAATTATTGTAAAGCTGGTGGTAACCGGATAAAAACTTAGCTGTTCAATTTGAAAATCAACAAGCCTCTTTGCCACAAATACTCTGCATAAAATTCCAAGTCAATGGATAGATTTAGTGTCGACAAGCAATGTGGGCGTATAAAAAAGGAATCCAAGAATCGTAAAATACTGAACACTACACAATGTTTTTAATTTATATTTTTATTCATAACAAAATATATTATATTTGTTCCTGGAATAGTAATTACAGTGAGCAATCAAAAGGTTCTATTGGACGTTAATTAAATAATTATAATCTATCAAGTGAAATATGTACAGTTGTATGGCATCATATAATGTATAAATATTTTAATTGTTCATTTCAATTTTACTGTCCTTAAAGTATTTAAGTATTTAATAATAATATCCAAGGCACACAATAAAATAAAAAAGGTAAGTTACAAACACAATAACCCCTCCAATACTGACCGACCCACGGTTTACACCCAAAACATAAGTTATCACTCTATCAATGCTGATGATGTTTGCACACAAAACCAGATACCAGAAATATGTAAAAACAAACCCAAAACATATTTACACTACTCAAGAGTTCGAGTTAAGAAACACATCATGACACAAAAGAAACTAGTATTGTGTTTTTCAATTTAGTTATTCAATATTAATTGTTTACTAATTTCATTTCTTTGTTATATTATACAAATGTTTCATAATTAACTGTTACTTAAATGATGCCATTAGAGTCTACTACACTTTGAGTCTTACCAGATTCGAATACTAAAGGGTAAAAAAAAAGAAATTATATATGGAATGTAGTATAAAAATCTAGAAATATTTCAACTTATATTTATATTAAATCATACTTTGATGCACTATCATTAGGCTCATTATCTACATATAGAGCAAATTACTACTATTTAATAGCTACAATACTAAAGAATATAGACATAATCAGTCGATTTGAGCTATGCACAAATTAGTCAAGTTACTTAACTAACCAAACACTTTAATCTTATTAAGGACCATAAGCTTAATAAATTCTGGAATGAAATGAGCTGTATTAGCGAATACACAATTTAGTATTTTGACAGCGTGGTTACAAAACCTCTCTGCTTGGTAAATTACACTAGGTCTGCACAAATAAAAACCGTGGTTCATATGAAATTATAATGATTACAAATATAATGTAGGACGGCTTGACAGGTATATATATATATAGAATTTCGAAAGGATATAAATGTTTTATAAGAGGACAATTTTTGTTTTTGACTTTTTATAAGCGGACATTTTATGGGGAAGGGGTGCAGGAAAATAAGCACCATTATAAATTGCGTAAATACATAAATATAAACAAATACTAAAAAATATTATGTATCAATATTAAACAAAGTGCATGGGGGTTTTAACATTTGACCTAAGATGCAATGAAATATCGAGAGAGGCACCAAATCATATCACTAATGTATGTGAAACTCATATTATATTTCAGAACCAGAATTTGACATTTTCACTTTACAAGTTAAATTATCACTGCTTTAAATCACCAATTTTAAGGATTTTATATATATATAGGTCTAGAATACTAAAATATGTGAAATAAAAAGAATTAAAAAATATATCAAGACTATTTATGCAAAAATTGTGTATGTACGATTATAGTTTAGAATGGCGATAATTATTTACATTTTCTGGAATAGTTCATATTTTTGTTTGAAATCCACTTTCTGATTGCGTGGATCCATTTTCTTTTTATTTCGGAGATATTCTAGATATTCCCGAGCCGACATGCCTTCTGGTCGACCATCACCTGCCTCAGGTGTAGGTGTTGGGGGGTCACTAACAGAACTGCTGTAAGATGTAGGTACTTCTGGTTCCTGAAATATAGAAAACCAAAACAAATTTAAACAAGCCAACAGTGAGGCTGATGTCCCCCGCCGAAATAGGAAAATAATTAGAGGACACATATAAATTTATCACAAATTATCTTTTACAAAGTATTGAACAATCAAACAGTATATCTTTACTTATAGTCTAACAATCAAAGTAGGAGAGTTATTGTTTTCCAAAGTCTCGACCAATCAAATTGCGTATCGCTCTGCTTACCCTGAGCAGAAAATGCTCATTATCAAACTTAGTCAAGGTATTACTGTAATGAAACTATACACCAAGTTTCATCAATCTCACTTAATTAGAACTAAAGTTATCGTGTCCCAAAGCATCAACCAATCAAATTGCTTATCTCTGCTTACCCTAAGCGGAAAATGCTCATCTTCGAACTCCATCAAGGCATTGACCTAATCAACACATACACCAAGTTTGAACATTCTAGCCCAATTAGGAAGAGAGTTATCGTGTCCCAAAGCATCAACCAATCAAATTGCTTATCTCTGCTTACCCTAAGCGGAAAATGCTCATCTTCGAACTCCATCAAGGCATTGACCTAATAAACACATACACCAAGTTTGAACATTCTAGCTCAATTAGGAAGAGAGTTATTGTGTCCCAAAAAGTGTGACGGACAGACAGACGGACGGACAGACAGACAGACAGACAGACAGACAGACAGACAGACGGACGAACCCATTTTAATAGTCCCCTGCTTTCTTCGAAAGGCGGGGGACAAAAATTAAAATGACATACAATACAAGAACCAAGACTGATTGACAGACAGAAATGATATGACAAAGTTTTCAGAATATGAATGCTGAATGTTTCTAAAGCATGATAATATTTAATACTCTAAATTTGACTTAAATTAAGTAATTGCTCTACGGATTAATAACAGGTTGTCAGGCAGCTAAGCATAAACCCCACAGGAACCGAGTTGTCCAGCTGTCCGCAAACATGGTAGCAATGTCATATGAAGCAATTATCCTAATGCTAACATACAAAACATGTACTGGCAATTCAAATGAAATGAAATGGGGTTTAATGTCCCACTGTTCTGCTCCGAACTAGGCTAATGAAGATGGGCATTCGCCATTCAGTGTTCTATGAGGGAAATTTTGCCCAGACAGCGGCACTACGGCCTACTCTTATATCGAATTCCAACTGTCAAGGGATCTTTTACGTGCAGGCCAATGTGTACATGGGACATCGGTTTTTTCGTCCCATCCTAAGGACTAGAGAGCTATCCTTGTCAGGCCCTCCGTCCCGCATCACTGACGAGACGGAACCACGGCAGAAAATCATGATGAACTTTCTCGGCCAACGCAGGGATCGAACACCCGACCTCCAGGCTAGCGAGCCTGTGCACACGAGTTGAACAATATAAGATAAGATCAGATTAACAAGTAGTTGCCAGGCAAAATACACCCACATTTTGCAAGGGATGATTAGAGAATCAGCTAAAAAAAAGCGATTCTGCAAACAATAAGGGACAATAATCCAGCAAGTTGTGGTCTGAAATGTGCCAATATCTAAATGGAATTAGACAATTAGGGTGTAACGCTTTTTAAAATCGGATAAAACATGTGACCTCTAGAGGGTCCATAAGCTAAAGATAGGTTGCCAGGCAACGAAACATACCCCCACAGCAGCTAAATCGTCCGGGCAGTCAACAAGTGTTGTCGCATATTTTTTTCGGATTTATCATGGATTTAGCTGTTCAGGTCATAAAAATCTACTTGTTTGTATCAAGATCTTAAACTCTGTGTATCAATCTGAAGTCAATCGAATGATAACTTTAGCCTCTAGAGCGTCACAAGATTTTTCAAAGTGATCAAGGGCCATAACTTTGGCAGTAATTATCGAAAATCACTGAAAATCAATAGGATTCTTCGTCTCATGACCTCAAATCAGATATACGACCACATTTCAATGTGGGCGTATAAAAACGTGATTTTTTGTACAATCAGGGGCCATAATTCAAGGAGTTACAATGCGATATGCACAAATATCGAAAGGAACCAAGATCTTTGGCTTATTAACATGCATATCAAGTTTCATCAAAATCAGATGAAAATTGTGACCTCTAGAGTGTCCACAAGCTAAAAACGTCATTTTTCGTACAATCAGGGGCCATAATCCATGAAGTTTAGATTCAATGTATGCCAATATCGAAAGGAACAGAGATCGTTTGGAGATACACCTATATTTCAAGTTTCGTCAAAATTGGATAAGAACTGTGACCTGTAGAGTGTCCACAAACAAATTGTGGACAGGTGGACGGACGGACAGGAGCGACGACAATATACGTCCACATGAAAATGTGGGCGTATAAAAATATTACAAGCCAGAAGTTGCTCAGTAGTATAGTATACTGTAATTTGTTACAACTTTAAACAGTACAGTTAGTGTGGGTTGTCAGTGGGTGTGTGTGTATTGACACTTCACCAATAAAGGAAGGAGGTCAACAATACTCTGGATTCAAGAAAATCTCCTTCAAAATGGCCACTAACCTTTTCATAATAAAATATTATGCTATACATTGTCCAATCTAATTTAAAATAAATTTTATTGTGTCTTTATGGTTCTGATATTCTACACTGCATAATATATTATAAGATATTGAGTTTACAACTATGTTAGTGATTAATGTTTTTCCATGATGTTAAAGTCAGAAATAAAATGTAATAGGGATTAACATCCTACGGTTCTGCACCAACCAGGCTAATGAAGACAGTCATTCAACATACAGTGTGCTATGTGGTAAGTTTTGACCGTCAAAATTTAACTGTCAAGAGTTCTACTTCTAGTGATTATTCCTTGACAGGCCCTTTGTACTGCACCCTACTGAAAATTTCCTAGGAAGTTTCTGGGCCAACATTGGAATGAAACCTGGGAGCTCCTGGTTAGTAAGCTGGCAGTTAACTCACTGAGCCAACACATGCATGTACATATCAAATATAGTATACTTACAGCAGCATGGACTGGAGGAGTTGGTTGATCTGAAAATACATACAAGGTACACAAATTAAATACATTTGCAAATTCACAATCTGCTATCTACTCATTATGGGTTTCAACCGTTTTCAAAGATAAATTTTAAAGTAATGTGATTGACGCCGAAAGCACCTTTGTTATAATAATTTTTTTTTATCATATAACTCTACAACTACAGTGAAAATCAATACTTGTTAAATGAATTAGTAGACGGAGAGAGATGCCAATATGCAACTTTTGATTAAATGTTACAATAAACCCTCTAGTTTAAAAAATTGTAAAAAAGATGGTCAAAGATGTTCTATAAATGTGGGTGAACAAAAAGGTCAAGTTTTAGTTACACATGACCAAGATTTTTGGCCTACTTTTGAAAAAAAAACCTTGATACTATATCTTAAACGTATGAAGAGAATAACAAGGTAAACAATATTAAATAAATATTTGACTATATCCTCTGTATATTCAGTATGTAAATATAGATATATGTGTATTGTATACTACTGTATATTTATCTATTGTTACAAGAGATTTTGTCAATATAAATAGGATATTCAACACCATGCATAACCAAATTCTATCTTTAGTAGCTAAATATGGGGTGTCCATCAGATTTATTTAAAACATAAGCTAGCTAAAGAATAATTTTAACAAGAGATTCAAGGGTCCATCCATGGATTTATCAAGTGTGAGTCACCCACTAGTTTAAATACAAAGGACAACTTTTGAAGGGTTGATACTAACGAATATTCAAACAATCCGAGCAAAGATGAAAAAACAATCACAAGATCTGTTTGAATGTTACTTAGCCAGACAATAAAAAGATAGGTTGCCAGAGAATGCAACATTCACCCACAGCACTCGGCACAAATTTATTCTGTTGTAGGTAATTGATAGCATTTCCAAGACACTAAAAACACTGTATAAATTTAAAATCAATTGGGAGATAACTTTGCTCTCTTGTGCATGCACAAGTTTTGTCAAAATTGTCAAGAGAAATAACTTGGGAAGTGATTAACGGATATCTTTCAAAAATCAATGAGCTAAATCATCTCATTAAATTGTTTTGAGATGGATTTGAAACCAACTTTTGATAAATTAGTTTGAATATGTTTTTAGTCCAAATATATCATCAAATCAAATAGTTTGTACAAGCAAAGACATCTTTAACATGTTTGTAGATTGAGTGGAATTTATATTGGTAAAACCCCCCAAAAAAACTGTAAATTTAAATGATAGCTTCCAACAGGAACTTTAGCTGTATAAAAATGCACACACAAAAAATGTATCCATAAAATTAAAATGAAGTTGCACCATTGTTTATGAACCAAAAACTTACAATACACACTTTTACGGCATTACTGTGAATAGACATATAATAGGTACATGTATATAAATTTTAAGTCAATGGTCTCCAAAATGATTTCAAAGCGATCAGGGGCAACAACTCTGAAGAGAATGTCAGAAATTGTTGAAAAAAACTTATGATGGAGGGCATCCACAAATGTTTAGGGATAATTAGGGATAATAAAATAGACATTAAAATGTGGGGAAAATCAGTTCACAACTCAACAGAGTTGTCAATGAATTCTTACTTTGAATGTTGTGAACCTATGTGCAGTCTTGACTGTATAATATCAACTTGTTTCTGATATTATCTAGGACTTCCATTTCTAAGGTCATGATAATATTGTTCCAAATTATATAGTTTGATGTTGATGTGTAATTGATGAATGATATATTTATAAACTGTAGAAATCAAAAATGTGTGAGCCAGCCCTAAGCATGATAAGCTAATATCACTTATGATTATGATTATCTTCCATGATAGAAGCTTATATACTTACCAATTTCTTTAGCAGGAACAGCTTCACTCTCTGATATTCTGGTTTCTGTTATGGTAGATGATGTTCCATTACTTGTCATTACTGCAAATAATTTAAATCAAGCAAAGATATATTATCTAAACACTTTTGTAAGATATAATCATTCAATGTAAAAGGCTATAAGCTTAATAAAAATAACAAAATGCAACCAAACTTCTCAACATCATAATCAAAACCCCAAAAAAGAGTATACAGTACAGCAACACAAAAAAATGAAAAAGAAAAAAAAACATCTATAAAGTCCAAAATAAATCCATACAGATAAAATAATTATGGGTTGTGAAAAGGTAAACTCCACAATTTATCACCCAACAACCATGCCTTTCAAAAGTAATGCTATGTACATGTTCAATTGACAAAAATGGGCATCAACTGGTATTTCTGGTGGTTAGTTTCCACAGTTTATACCATATTGTAATTATGGGGACTGAAGTGGGAAAAGTGAAATATTTGTGAAATTTTCCAGTGATGTTTAAAATTATGTTGCTAATAAAATTGTGTTAGCACAAGACAAGTTTGTAAATGGAATAATATAGTCCTGAAAAAAAAAGAAGAAAAACACACTACATGTATGTGACCATAACAAATGCACAATTTGATTACATTCAACATTTACATTTCGAATAGACAAGTTTTTCGCTATATATCAATTATAATAAAGTGAAAGAAAATATAAAATGGTTGACACAAGAAATGACAAGATACTGGAATGTAAATAATAAGGATCATGAATCTTGAAGAGATATGATAAATGTACATTATCTTCAAGAGTATGTCTTCACAAATAATTACAGGAAGAGATTAATAACCAAGCTCAAAGATCATTTAATAACATATGTATAGACAATCATACTGTTTCATTAATACTCTAGCATATTCCTGAAGCAATGGCCCGAGAAATCCCTCTCTGGCCATTGCTGGATTGGTTTCTGATAATTGAGCTTTTGAGGGAGTGTGCCTATATTCTTCCTGTTCAATCAAATATATCCCAAGTACAGCAACATGACAGCCCTTCGTTTAATATGGGGTCTTCCCTAAAACTCTGGACAGTGATTTAAGGTATTAAAAAAAGTGAAAGTATTGTTCGTCTCCAAACAGTATTGTTTACATTGTATCTGTGTTGATAACCTCGTTTGTCATGCAATTAGTTTTTCTGCAATATTCTGCTAGGCACTGGTTAATTGGGCATAATAAAATCTTGAGTCATGACGTAACGTTATGTAAACATATTTGGTCCAATTTGGAACTCTGTTTAAAGCATAATGATATTGTTACGCAGTTAGCTATTGGTTGTTAATCGGACTATTGACCAGTCATAATTTGAAACAGAAATTTGCTTCCTTTACAGCAGTGTTCAGTGGTTTTAGCTCTAATCAAACGAAACACTGCGAGGAGTATGATACTCTAGAGGCTAAAAACAATAGTAAAATATCTCAATAATTTGGGAATGTCTTTTTCAAGTGGACATGTGTATGCGATTGTTTCTTATAGGTACTATATTTGGGAACACTAAAAATTAAACCTTGTTTAATTTGGACAACATTTCACTAAAAAAAAAATGACTTCACTTGTCAATTTTGGCTACATGTACTTTCAGTGATACAATTTCAATAAAAAATTTGTTTATATTACTTAAAAACAAGACCATATAGAAACGATCAAACACACATATATCCACTTTCTATGTTTAAATTATTGAACTAATTAAGGAATGGAAATTATGTTTACCGTCAGTATTCTCATATGTGTGATCAGTGTAGTCCTCAACCTCAACTAAACATAGAATGATTCAAATATATTAATATAAAATTTAATGTACATGTTCAGAATCCATACCAAGAAAACCCCTGAAGAAAACTCAGATACTGCAGAGGGTTTTTCATAACAACTATTATTAGGTTATTAAACCTACATGTATATTTTATTATCTAAAATTTTATAATAAAATAAATATTTCTAGGTGTTCCCCATGTAGTAATATTTTAATAGCAGTAGGCAGTGTTACTTATCACAGGTAAATATCAAATCAACAGCTTACGAGAGAGATTATTATCTCTTTGATCACTATAGGAGTAATTATAGAATTTTACCATTTGATGGGGAGGTATCAACTATTTCTGCTTCTGGTATTGATGTTTCTTCTACTGTCTCTGTTTCAACAATTATTAATTTTTAATATTAAGTTCTTCATCAAACATAGGTTTATCACATACATATGGTAAAACTTGCAACAAAGAAGTATGATAGCTGCATGGACTAATAAACCATATCAACAAGAGACCTTAAAGATACTTTAACTAAATATAAATACAGTTTAATTTACACTAGCTACACCTAATCATGGATTTTTATATTAGAATTCTATGATCTACTTTTATAATTAAATATAATTCTAAATTTACCCGTTTCAATTATTGTTGTTTCGTTAACAACTTCATTCTCATTCTCAATATTAATGCTTTCTTCTTGAATAATGTCTACAATAATATAATGCATGTGTCATTTAACAATCTCTGATTGAAAAAACAAATGTTAGGCCAGTTGTGCACTGCATATTTTTTGGACAATAGAATACTGGATAGCTACAATGGCAATATGGCCTTCAAGTACCAGAAATGATTAATTATGACTTGCAACAAAATCATGAAATGTCTAAAACTATATTGGTCAAAACATTGGCCAATCATTGACCGAAATTAAATAACTATCACCAGCATTAAAATAGATTAATCCCTATGTTATATCAATATTGTAAAATTTGAGAGATATTTTATTATAGAAAATAGTTTTTAAACCATATTCAAAAAATGTTTTTAACTATATAAATACGATGCAGATATCCATTTAATGGTACATATCCCTTCACCATGTCACAGCAGGCATTTTCTATATTTTGATTACTTATTTGTTAGTTTAAATATTTAATCAAATGATTTTCACTACATTTTACTTGAAATCATTTTCAAGCCATGGTCAGCAATATAACGGTATAAATTTTGGCCTCAGTGAAAATGTACAACAATTTATATCCAAACTGACAGCTTCAGCGGTTATATGTGACCATGTCTATAAGCTTGCATCAGTATGAAATGATATGGGGTTTAACATCCTACTGTTCTGCTCCAACTGGGCTAATGAAGATGGTGCATTATAGTATGGCTGTTCTGTCTATCTGGTTACCCATTACAAAAGTTTGACCTGAAACTTTGCGACAGATTAAAAAAAAGGCCATTTATTTCCAAGCACAAACTTATCAATTGATACTAAAAACATTATGTCAATTACATCTAAGCATATTTTAGTATCTGTGAACAAATTATAATATACCAGTTACTACAACCGAAGTACAAGAGAAAGAGTCAACTATTCAAACATTTCTACATGGCATGACACCTATCACTACTTTAATAGTAATAATTACATAAATAAATATGTTATTCACTCATACAATAGAAAAATATTAAAAATTTTCAATTAAAGACTTATACCCAATCTAAATCAATACATCAAAATTTGTATCAGTACTTTGTATCTATTCAGTTCATTTACTTTCAAAATTCATTAGAAACAGATGAAATGCCAAAGTCCCTTATATATTTTAAGAACATCAGGTACCACTTCTCATTTATTTGGGAAGTTTACATAGCTAACACTTTCTGTAGTACTAATTATGTCACAAAACAAGCAGCCATGCACCATCACATCTTATTGACAATTCAAGTTCCTGCTGTATATCAATGAGGTCATCCCATTGTAGTGTTGAATAAGAACAAGTATTTAATCTGTTCTAACAAGTTCCCAGTAGGATGGCTATGCCATTACAACTATGGAAATCTGCAACAACCTTCTTTTAAGATCATTTATACTTAAAATAAATAATTTAACTAAAAAATCTTATATCATGTTTGAAAATTCATAAATTATTTCTGTTATAAAGTATATAACAGTTTTTGTGTCTTGTGCAATAGTTTAAAGGTGACCTAAATTCTAAAGGTGACCTGCATGTAAATTCTAATGCATCCTAATTACCTAGTACTATACATGTGTAAAAGCAAGCTATATATGAAATAAATCAACTAGGAAAGCTCACATAGATCTAAAATAAACCCAAAAAAAACAGGCAAACATACCTTGTTCCATTAAAAAGTTATTTTTGTTATTATTATAAAACAAACAGTTTTAAAGTTGAAGAGTGCTTTAAGTAAATATTTGTAAGATTAGTAAAAAATAGACAAGAGTTAGCAACAAAAAAACAAACTAGTCCCTTTATCATATTACCATAATCTGTATTAATAATCTCTGGTTCTGTCTCACCGTTTTCTATGGTTACTGAAAACATGGTAGAATATTGTACGACTGATGGTATTAAAAAATGCGGACATGATGAAGTAACCAGCGGTTGCCAGGCAAGATACACCTGCATTTTACAAGAGATGGATAGAGAACAAACTAAAAACAAAAAGTGATTTTTTGTACAATCAGGGGCCATAATCCAGCAAGTTATGGTCTGAAATGCACAAATATCAAAAGGGACTGAGATCTTTGGGATATTAAGATATATTTTAAGTTTCATCAAAATCGGATAAAAATTTTGACACCTTCGTATTACATACTTTTACACGATTTGCGTACAAAGAGCACTCATTTTGTCAAGCGTTTTTTTGTTTCAAATCGGAAAATAATTGTGACCTCTAGAGGGATCACAATCTAAAAGCGCGATTTATCGTACAATTAGGGGCCATAATTCAGGAAGCTTCGATCCGATATGCGCGAATTTTGAAAGGAACCAAGATCTTTGGGTTATAAACAGGCATTTCAAGTTTCATCAAAATCCGATCAAAATTGTGACCTCTGGAGGGTTCACAATATACCATGTTACACTATTTGCGTACGAGGGGCTGCCATTTGTCTGGCAGTTTTGGTCTGACTTTTACGAAATTTGAACTCAACCAAGATTACGGTGTAATGGCCATATCTTCAAGCGCTTTTTTAAATCAGATAATAATTGTCACCTCTAGAGGGACAAGCTAAAAATGCGTTTTTTCTTACAATCAGGGGCCATAATTTAGGAAGTTAGAATCCGATATGTGCGAATATCGAAAGTCACCAAGATCTTTGGGTTATTAACATGCATTTCAAGTTTCAATAAAATCGGGTGAAAATTGTGACCTTTTAGAGTGTCCACAAGCTAAAAATGTTATTTTTCATACAATCAGGGACCATAATCCATGAAGTTATGGTCCGATACATGCTAATATCGAAAGGAACCGAAATCTTTGGGAGATAAACCTATATTTCAAGTTTCATCAAAAATTGTGACCTGTAGAGTGTCCACAAACAAATTGTGGATGGATGGACAGACGGACAGGGGAGAAGGGCATATTACGTCCACATGAAAATGTGGGCATATAAAAAAGGAGGGGGAGAAATGACCAATATAAATCCTGTAATTACATGTAGAAATTGACTTCTTGAAATTTTTCTACTACACTGGAATTTAAAATCTGTAGGCCAGAGTATGTTAAAATTGATATAGCAAAAATCAATGTGCTGAAAAAGGAATGATGCAACCTCTTGGGACCAGAAGCTGCTAACGGTGTACTTAATTCATATTACTTAAATCGTAATTATGTGTATGCTTTAGTAACTGAATAAAATAATAAAACATTTCATTCCACAAACAACCTCATCGCCGAATTATTGAAAATCAATAGAATACCAAAGACAGACTTAAAGCTTGTCACATTTAAACATGCACCATATTTTAATGAACATGCAAACATTAGCAGAAATTATATTATAGGTTGTAAGACAAGAGTGGTTTAACTCATGTTCACCAACACACATGGATGCACACTTGTTATATATATATTCATGGTGTTGAATATAGTGGATGTTTTTTTTTCTACTAACAGTAATATTTCATGATTCAGACAGCTTTTACAAAGGTCAAAAAACATACAATACAATTTCAGGCTTTTAAAGAAGAGCCAAATTGGAAAAAAAGATCTTTTTGAACACAGGTACTCAGCTTGAGTTTTTAAACTGGAATATTTGCAATAGGTTTGTCCGTAAACAAGAAGTAAAGATAGCTTAATGAACACCAAGGTTTAAAACCCTGCTTAAATTCAGCCTATGACAACATTGCCAGTAAATTACAAATACCAGTTAATTATAAATCACTCCTGGTATTTCAGATAAATTTTTAAACAGTACAATTCAATGATACAGATGCCCACAGCAGTCATGTCGTGCAGCAAATCCATAATGCTAAAAAGTCATCAAGATTATAATATTGAAATATGATAATTTCGCTACCATAAACAAGGACAGTAACTCTAACAGTAATATCTGAAATCACTAAATTTCCTAGTCTACTGCATCTAATCAAAACATAATTTCAAGTAATTCAGATACACTTATCTGCTAGAGAAGTCAAAGAATTGTAAAAATTGGTGTCTATGACTCAATTCAGAAATTAATGGAAAGTGACAGACTTCTTAAGGCTCATTAATGTAAAAAATCAAGTTAAATCTAATATTGACTCAGTTAAAATCTAGAAACAGAGCTGGCTGTTCTTACCATAATAGTAAAAGATAGGTTACCAGGCAACGAAACATACGCCCACAGCAACTAAATCGTCCGGGCAGTCAACAAGGGTTGTCGCATATTTTTACTTTTTTCGGTAATTAAACATTTATAATACACTAAAATCTGATTAAGAGCAACAACTCACGAAGTAATTATCAGAAAACTATTAGAATTTGTTTGGTTTTTATAAAGTTCTGCCCCATGCTAACGTTTTGTATGCAAAGCTTTTAATATCATGGATTTAACTGTTCAAGTCATAAAAATTCATTGAAAATTAATATATTTGTTCGTCTCAAGATCTTAAACTCTACTCTGTGTATCAATCTGAAGTCAATCGGATGATAACTTTAGCCTTTAGAGCGTCACAAGATTTTGCAAAGTGATCAAGGGCCATAACTTTGGCAGTAATTATCGGAAATTGTTGAAAATCAATAGGAATCTTCGTCTCATGACTTCAAACACTGTGTATAAATTTAAACTCAATCGGATATTAACTTTAGCCTCTAGAGCATCCACAAGATTTTTTGAAGTGATCAAGGGCCATAACTCTGGCAGTAATTATCGGAAATCGCTGAAAATCAATAGGCTTCTTTGTCTCATGACCTTAAACACTGTGTATAAATTTACAGTCAATCGGATATTAACTTTGGCCTCTAGAGTGTCCACAAGATTTTTCAAAGTGATCAAGGGCTATAACTCTGGCAGCAAATATTGGAATTCGCTGAAAATCAATAGGCTTCTTCGTCTCATGACCTTAAACACTGTGTATAAATTTAAAGTCAATCGAATATTAACTTTCGCTTCTAGAGCATCCACAAGATTTTTTGAAGTGATCAAGAGCCATAACTCTGGCAGTAATTATCGGAAATCGCTGAAAATCAATAGGAATCTTCGTCTCATGACCTTAAACACTGTGTATAAATTTACAGTCAATCGGATATTAACTTTGGCCTTTAGAGCGTCCACAAGATTTTTTGAAGTGATCAAGGGCCATAACTCTGGCAGTAATTATCGGAAATCGTTGAAAATCAATAGGCTTTTTCGTCTCATGACCTCAAACACTGTGTATAAATTTAAGGTCAATTGGATATTAACTTTGGCCTCTAGAGCGTCAAGATTTTTCAAAAGGTGCAAGGGCCATAACTCTGGCAGTAATTATCGGAAATCGTTGAAAATCAATAGGCTTCTTCGTCTCAAGACCTTAAACACTGTGTATAAATTTAAAGTCAATCAGATATTAACTTTAGCCTCTAGAGCGTCCACAAGCAATTGTGGACGCCGGACGGACGGGGGCGACGACAATATACGACCACATTTCAATGTGGGCGTATAAAAAATAGATAATGAAAAATGACTTTATTCCAAGCAAAATTATGAGTGTTTGAAGTACTGATAAGATCTAGTGATAATAGTCTTGATTTACAAGTACCAGTAGTAAGTCTTGATTATCCATTTTACCTTTAACCAGTTTCAAGGTTTAAAAGTGACATGGGTTACCACAGAGAAGTCTAATATGGTTATAGCATGAATGGAAGAACAGACATGGATGACACCGCTACATAAATATGATTAAAGTTTCTTAACTCTTAGAACCCAAAATGCCGCAAAACCAGCTTTGACATTGTAGCACATGGTCCCGATATGTCAGTTTGAGGGGGGGGGGGGGGGGTCTTCCGATAACAGTAACAAAATAGCCAATCAAAATGCCGTTGATAATATATTCCGGGTCTGTTGTTAATAGCGACTACCTTCCACTTCTTTACATTTCAATTTTGGTAAATTTTTCGATGAATTGTCTGTTATAAATGACTAAATACAACAGATGTGCTAGCTCTTATAACGAGCGATAATGGCGAAGATACTGATGGGTCGATTTACGGCAATGAAAGTGATTTTGAAAGTGAATATGCCCTAGACTCAAGACGAAAATCACAGTGATGGTAACACTCGTACTCATAATCAATTTGTAAATAATGTTGATCTACATGGCAGGTGATAGAAATATTGGAATAGGGCGTGGTCGCGATATTAACAGAGTTCAAAAGTGTTGGCACTCCAAGGTTATGGATTGGAGATAAAATTGAATAGAAGTTAAATTTTCTGGTTGAATATCTTTGTTTCATCATTTCACACAATTATAAATACATTATATTAAATTCACACCTAACGTTTAGTTGTAATTAAAATGATGTCACTTTTGCAAAATCATGCTGCAAAGTCAGGATAGGGTATGCGGCACCCAAAATATTTTCAGGGTTCAAAGGGTTAAATCATATAAAGACTGTTACCTGGTAATGATCTGGGCGGTGTAGCCTTATATAAAACTTCTGGCAATGTACCAACCACTTGAATCCCTTTTTCTTTATAATACGCATCAGTTTTAGCGTCAACTACCAATATCCTTGCTTCATCACCACCAGAGCGGATATTTTGGATTACATTCTGGTGCGCTTCTTGTTCAACATTAGTATTATTAACTTCTATAATTCTATCATGCTCTCTTAAATCAGCCATTTCAGCAGGAGAACCTTCATCTACTTTACCAATATATTGCCCAGGTTTATTTTTCTCTGCATGCAAGTTGAAACCATATCCTTCAAAATCTGGCCATTTTCTTAAATGACACAATCTTGGTTGATATTGTGATATTGTATTATTATTTGTAGATTCCACTGGAGTAGGTGTTTCTTCTACTACAACTGTTTCTTCCTTAGTTGCTTCTACGACATTCAACACTGGTGGTTCTATAAAAACAAAAAGTAACGTATATTGAGCAGGTGAAAACAAAGTTTCATTTTCTTACAGTAATAAAAGATAGGTTAACAGAAAAAAAATATACGCTCACAGCAGCTTAGCCATCCAAGCAAAATATTGCCATAAGTGACTAACAATGGAAAGTATGTTATAGATATGCATATTCTACATGCCATATCCAAAATTTAAATGATTTCATAAAAAAATTTATAAATATATAACATTAGCTGTTCAATATACTTTTTTATCACATAAACACTGAATACATTTCAAATCCAATTAGATAATAGCTATAGCCTGAAGTGGGCCAACACCAACAATATTTTTGAAGTGATCAAATGCAATAACTCTGAAAGTAATTATCGACTTCTTCATCTCAGGAACATAAACACTGGCAATCAAACTAATAATAATTAATTGTCAATTTCATCATCAAATACTGTATCAAATACAAATAAATAGCACTCTTATTTTTCAATTGATAAGTTTTCTATAGCAAAAAAGCTAACTTTCACTTTTATATCCAGAGATTTTTCACTAACTGAATAAATCACGTTCTTTCAAGAAAAGAGTTCAAATTTGTAGAAAATGCATGCATGAATGCTTATCAAGTCAGTGACATTAACTGGATATGAATATTCTGCATCTCAAAATTTAAATAGATGTATTTCTCATAGTTTACTGAACAATGAGTTGTTGTATACATGTTATACATGTAGTAGACTACTACATGTACTCTTCTTGGATGTCTATTCAAATGATAAATCTATGTGAATAATAAAATCATGACCTAAGGCTTATGACCAAATGTTATCTGACCAATTCTTATAAGAAGCAACAACTTTATAGTCTAATTTTATAATTTTATAAAAAGTCATTAAAATCTAATTGACTTTGTTGTCTATCAATTACAAGATTTACAAGCTAAAAACGGAACATGTAACTTCAGGATTTGACAATAATTCTCATTTGCAAGGCTTGGAAAGAGGCCAAAAGGAATAAAAGATGTGTTTCTCCCATCAGTGGTTAGTTTTCCAGGGATTACATTGTACACAGAAATATTTCATCAAAACTTGTTTATTTTCATACAAAAGTTATAAAAATCAAAATATAGTTCAAAACATCAACCCCATTTTTCTCATGGCCTAGTAAATTAGTATATTTTGGTGGGGGACTGAAATCATAAGTGATTTTTTTTTTTGAAAAAGTACATTTCAGTTTACAATGTGTATTCATCTCCAGTAATGTCAATATACTTGTATCATCATGTAGATATTCTTCTAAAGGTGGATGCTACAGTGGTTCGAGTAGGACAACACTGTCATTTTGAGGTACATGTAGGGTTTTTTTTCTGCATTTTCTGCAGTCACATTAGCTTGCATTCTATTTGTTTATTATTACTGTTCGATTTATATAGTGCTTCATTACACAGGAGTACATGTATAGGTTAATTTTATTTCTTCCTCATTGTAAAGTGTAATCTAATGAGGACTTTATTTTTATGCATCATTTTTAAATTATATGTAAATGCATATTACCAGTATTCAGTGTGAAGTTTAATATGGACTTTATATGTATTAAATGACGATAAATGTAAATGTGAATATCTTGTTGTGGGTGAAATAAAGTATTTATAACTACTATAACAAATTACATGTCATAATGATAAATAAGTCGATAAAACTGCCCTGAGCTGACTGGACCTATATGTATCAGTGCCCACATATATGTCAATATACTACACAAGTCAGATAAAGACCCCAGGCAGATATTACTATCTACTGTTGATAGTCATTTTATCTATAGGCTACTTACACATACATGTACATTCTAAAGGTATATGTTATTATGTAACATTAGGTAAACTTATTTAATAGAGCTAAAGTAGCTCAACTGAATCTGGATGTAGCTCAACATGAATTAGGTAATCGTGCGTAACAGTTTTTTTTATCAAATTTGATAAGTTTTGTCATTTAAAGTAAATGTAAGCAATGCACACACCGGTACAGCAACAATTTGTTAGCTACATGTATATATTAACTCCTCAAATGAGAAGTATATAATGTAGTATCTGTCATTCTAGATAGAGTAATCATATCCTACACTGTACCTTATGTACAACAGCCATCACTATTTACAGCTCCACGTTAGTGGCTTGGTCATAGATTATAGAAACTGAAGCTACCGAGGATGACTTTTCAAAAAAAAATAAAGGTTACGGTGAATAGATAGTCACTGTCCAATAAAAAAACTCAAGTACATGTATAGTTTGGCCTGCATTTACTTAATACTACTGTATTTACTTTACATGTTCAACTTCAATGGATTTATTGTCCACTTCATCAATTCAAAAGAATCACTTTTTCTGTCCCAAAAATGTGAATCAAATGTGCAAAAGACTTACAAAGCTATATTTTAGATTTGTACAACTAATATATCAGATGATTAGCGACAGTGTTATCACAGAAATACAAACTTTAGTCTCTACATGCATATATTTTGGCCGATAGGTCCTCAAATTCCATGCTATTTCAAAGTGACTAAAAACCCTTGTCTAAAACACTTGCATAAGTTATACTCATTTGCCACTTACATGTATACAACTGAGCAGTGGAATTTTACATAAAAATGCATTACATGCATGCAAGATTTAGATAAATAGCTAGTCGTTCTTGCTATAATAGTTCCAAAATAGATAATTCAAAATTAATATTGAAAATTTCATTCATTTTCGGAGCAACTTTACTTGTTATATCGAGACCCAGCCTCGATTCTCCCATTTTAAAATTAATTCATTAAATGACGTCATATTTTAATTTGTTTACATCTGAGCATTCCAATGGTCTAGAGAGATGACATGTATAGGCTTTTCACTGAATAAATGTCTAATAAAAGTTTATATAACATTTGAAGCCAAAATAAAAATCTAGGCAGATTTAGCTCTGTTAAATCAAATCTACGGTACTGTGCACATCATACTAAGTCAGATATCAGTGTACATGTATGTACACATTATCATACTTTGCTCCTTTTGTGAACAGTACCAGTTACCATGTTACTGCATCACATGTACATTTAGGCTTTTAATAATTACAAATTCAATGATCATGCATGGGTCAAATATGTCCAACAGTAAATATTTCATAGCTGCAATCTGAGGAACAAGTAGAGGACAGTACAGAGTTTACACAAGTATGCAGTTACAAGACCAATATATTGCATAATATATACTATGTATAACTATGAACATGTAAATATACACATAACACATACTTTGTAACTTTTGCCTGCATAAAGATTATATCTATTACTAAATATTATAATATTTAATATGGTATACATGTATGCACATACAACCATATAAAACCGCCAAAAGAAAGCAAACAGAATCGCAATATAAATAATAAATGTTAAAAGAAAGTCAAGCACCAACCGACATACGTAAATAAATAATAGTCATTTAAAACTGGTAATAAGGTAATCAAATGCATGTGCAGGACAAATACAGAGTGTATTGCCCCGCCCCACCCATTCAATCAAATTGACATATAAAAATAAATTCAGTGTGACCCCTTTTCCCTCACAAGTCTGAAAATTTTATATGGCACAAGTTCAATTTAATAGCTACGATTTTCCTAATTATTGTCAGCTTATTAGTAAGGTTATTACAGGAATGTAGAAAAGTGGGAGGGGTGGGGTAACAGTACATTAATCAGCAGGCCTGTCTGTCCCGCTAATTGCAATATCCACCCGACTGGATTTCACTGCAATCAATTTTAATACTGTTTCAAGATCAAGAATTTCGAGGAGACTCCGCGAAAAGGTCTTTATATAAATTGCTTAAATTAACCTACCTTCCTGGCCAGGTCGTAATGGTGTTCTGTTATAGATAACTTCGGGTAAGTCACCTCGAACCACAATTTTTTCATCTTTATAGTATTTGTCGGTTTCTTCGTCCACCACGAGTAATTTAGTTTGGTCACCACCAGCTTTTACTCTTTGGACAACCTGTTGATGGTTTTCATTTCCAATGTTAACATCATTTACCTCTACTATCCTATCGCCGGATTTTAGGCCAGCAGAACTAGCAGGTGAATTGTCATCAACTTTTCCAATAAACTGGCCTGCCTTACCCTTTTCAGCATGTAAATTGAAACCGTATCCTTGGAAATCGGGCCACTTGATTATATGGCACAGGCGGGGTCTTGTTTGTGTATCAACGCCGTTTGACATTTTATTTCGCCAACAAGACACGAATTGACAACACCTGTTGAAAGTCTTAACACCAATATGAAATGTCTTTAGTTTAATATGGCGGCTTGACGTTTAAGTCACATGATGACAACAGCCAATCAAGACCGTTTCACCTCTGCTTGTAAGTCATCTAGCCGTAAATTAAGTCAAATAATTTTGTCAAGTGAAGTGTATCAAGTATGCCAGTGACCATTTCTTTATAATTTATGTAAATGGTAATTTTTGTGCAAGTATCAAAACAAATCAAATATAATATTTCATATTAGACATTATAATAGCGGCGAAACAACGTGGTTGACATTCTTTTTCCATGACGTGTTCACACACAGTCAAAATCGGTCCACGCCCCAGTATTTCATCTCTGTCTAACCTTGTAGAATCTCTCCCTTGAAAGTATCAAGCTCCCATTTTTAATCAAGGGATTGGGGATTATTTCAACAGAGTGTATAAGTTGGCATTTAATAAAAGTGTATACACCCACATATTAATGGTTCTTATTTGCATAGCCAACTTTTTGGCTTATGACAATAAACCAACAATGTACCAGAAAGTTCGCATTAACTTGTAACGCCTTTCACTGTATCCATATAGTTATTGTATGTGGCTTACGCTGAAGCACACGAGTAGTCATAACTTCGGCCTATTTCACTAAATTTGGTTAAATTGCAAAGGATGAAAAACGCCAATAAAACAACAGGAATAATTGTCGTTTAATTGTTCAAAAATACAAATAATTTGAATAAAGGGAAGGGCTTAAAATAAATTAATGGGTATTTTATCCCGAGGAAAATTTGCGCCCTTTCACAAAGAAAGCACCACTTAAAGAAAAATCGTGTGGAATACCACTAACTTCTAATAAGTTGCTACACAGCCAATTACCAGACTTCAAGAGAGTCAGTTAGCTGTTAATGAAAATTTGTCGGCAGAAATTCACGGTTGACTGAGATGACCTCAACAAATCAGTCACCTATTATATTATTTTTAGTAGTGTCTGCTATATTATATTTTGTCATTAAAATTAAACTAGGGTAATATCCACTGTCAGACTGTATTCATAATGAGCATTAGTAATTTATTAATTTTTCTATCTGCATTTTATTAAAATGTATTCCGATTCTGTTTACTTTCTTTTGGAGGATACGGGCCGTGGATATTTCTTAAAAAATAACAATGTATCACTATTTCATTCATTAATAACCTAGGTATTGGCTATTTACCACATGTGGTAAGCAAGAATTCCAAAATAGTCGTTCAAATACAGACCTCAATTATTAACTGACTTTAATGAAACTTACGAATTAGATAGATAGAATTTATTACATAAAACACACTTTTCGGGCAGCATGTAAAATGTGGATGAAAAATCCATAAAAAGTGGATAAAAGAGTGGACGAGATGATGTACATTTATATATATTGAGTGAGTATGTACAAGATATAAACCAAAGTTTTGAATATGCCCTAGTCGGTCGCTTGAACTAAACGTGAAGAAGAGGTCTTTGAAGTATTGGTTATTATTTTTTGGTTTATATAGAAGTGGGTTCCACATCCCTTAATTTGAAAGCATGTTGCACAAAGATGCACACTGTTTATGCCAGTGCAAACGGCGGGTTAAACATGTTTTCGAAAGAAAATGGTTAGTTTTGGGTCTCAAATGCCCCATAAACAATTGTCTTGCGCAGTTCCTCATAGCGGTTACACTCAGTGAGAAAATGGTACTCATTTTCAATTTGCTGTGGAGGGCAGTTTGTGCAAAGCCGCAGATGTGCAGGTATATTCTTGTGTCGCAGGTATATTCTTGTGTCGCTCTACCAATCTCTCTATTTCAAGGGATAGAGAGAGAAATGGGGTTTAACGCCAACTCGACACAAACTAGGTCATTTCGGGACTAACATATGGTTTAATTTTATTTACATAATTCGCTTGCGCGTAGGGGTCTTTAGCAGTGGGAGGAAACCGGAGGCCCCGGAGAAAACCCACGAGGTTGGACAGGCGACCCTACTCCTTGCCACGTTCCACCGGGGATTCGAAACTACGCCAGTCGACTCACTGACAGACCTTATGATACTGCGAGCGCACGCTAGCCTTTCAACCATCCAACCCCCCTCTATTTCAAGGGAATGTGTGCTTAGTCTAAAAGGTATAGTCCGGGAGCTAGGTGGGTTTTGTTCAACATGGAAGGTGCGGAAGGTTTGGCATGCTAGTGGTGTATGGCTGGGTTAGGAGACCCCAGAAACCCCATTCTTAAGTTGCGCCAGTGGTGGGTGTGGTAGGAGGAGCCACCCATAGTACCCCCCAAAATAGGTTTATTCAACATGGAAGGTGCAAGTTCCACTTCAATGGCATTTGAAAGAGGAATGTGCCCTGAATTAGGAAATATAACTTAAGAATGGGATTTTTGGTGGAAAGGTCACTTAAGAAGAGGTCAAAGGTCACTAATTAGCAATTTTTCGATTTTACTGAAAACGATTTTTCCATTTTCTCGTGATCTATTCCAATTATATTGCACAAAACTACATGGACATTTTTGATAGTGCTAGGAGCAAAAATATGAGACATAAAATAAATGAAGTTTTAGCTAAAAGTATGAAATAATCTAAAAAATAACGAAAATATCACTCGACCCCCATCGGTAATTAAAATGTTAATCAACATGAAAGGTGCGAGTGAGAAACCAAGCCTAAATTGTATGGAATGATATCAGAAATCATTATCATCAACTTAAGAATGACATTTTTTGTGGTCAGTGTACTTAAGAAGAGAATAATGCTGGCTTGCACCGAATGACCCCTAATTAGAAATTTAATTAAAATGAAAGATGCGACATTGGAACAAGGTATAAAATGTAGGGACTGATAATCACAACCACTAACTTAAGAATGAATATTTAGGTGGTAAATGAACTTAAAGGACAATATTGATGTCAGTCATTATTACATATGTGATAGAACTGGTTAAATACATTCCAAATATAATTTTAACACAGAGATCATTGCTACGGGAGACTTGTAACAAGCACGTGAAGAAACGGGAAGTGACACCAAACATGACAAACACGAGTTGTCCTTCTATATAACAGACTGAAGTAACGAGCGGTAACAGACAAACGATCGAATTTCATTTCACTGATAATTCATTTGAAGTTGAAAAGTTATTATATGGGACGGTGAGAGGGTATCTCACAATTCAAAAATAGAATTGGCTGTCACTAGATAAGAGACACGAGAAAAAGTAGAAAAATCCCGCGCATTCCCCCGTTTTTATTCATTCTGTTCTTAATAAAAACATGGTAATGCACGGACTTTTTCTAATTTGTTCGTTATCATTTATCTACTGACAGCCAATTCTTTTTTTGAATTGTCAGATATCCTCTCTTCGTCTCATATAACAACTGTTCATTTCAACGGAATTATCAGTGAAATGAAATTCGATCGTTTGTCTGTTACCGCTCGTTACTTCAGTCAGTTATATAGAAGGACAACTCATGTTTGTCATGTTTGACGTTATTTCCCGTTTCTTCACGTGCTTGTTACAAGTCTCCGGTAGCAATGATCTTTGTGTTAAAATTATATTTGGGATGTATTTAACAAGCTCTATCACATATTTTATAATGACTGACACCAATATTGTCCTTTAAGAACAGCAGATGTGACCAATAACCTTAAAAAATCAGTGACAAGCAGTGCAATATACCCACAATGGTATGTTTCCTCTTGATCTCTGATAGTAATACTGATACATTAATTACCGCCCACTTCCTTCATACTAAGAGTCATTTAAAACATAGATCTATGTCATGTTATTGCAGACATTCTTAAGTTATATTTCCTAATTCAGGGCACATTCCTCTATCAAATGCCATTGAAGTGGAACTTGCACCCTCCATGTTGAATAAACCCATTTTGGGGGGTACTATGGGTGGCTCCTCCTACCACACCCACCACTGGCGCAACTTAAGAATTGGGTTTCTGGGGTCTCCTAACCCAGCCATACACCACTAGCATGCCAAACCTTCCGCACCTTCCATGTTGAACAAAACCCACCTAGCTCCCGGACTAGTAGGACACTGTGGTTTTAGTTTTAAGATTTTTAACAACTTGCAGGTATGGTATTATAGGCCTACCATTGTGTTGATATTCTTTTTAAACCTATATGATAACATTAATAAGTTTATAAAACGTATACACCAGTTTGGTTGAGTGAATAGTATTGGCCTAATCAACATGACAATACATGACATTGTACACCTATAAATTCAGTGATTGGCCAGTTTACTGTGTTATCAGTTTCTAATAAAGGTCGTGTGAAAAGATTATAATGTGATATATTGTTTCAGCTAGTATTCAAATATAGGGTTTGTTAGTTTCAAAGATAGGTATATACATATACTTGATCCAGGTTTGATTTCATCAAACTGGTATTATGGATATTACAATGTAATTATATGTAAAACCACAATCACCGACTAAAATGTTGTTGATGGAAATAAAGACATTGATGATATGAAGAAAGAATTCTCCAAACAATCCGGTATTAGTAAAGCTTTAGAGTCCCAACACCAGTCCATAATTAAAGAAGAAGCACTCCAGTTGCGCATACATCCAGATTTGCCGTTCTGCCTTGGAACACAAATTTAAAAGCCAAATTAGAATGTCTATGACCAGTCGTACACTAAGTCGCAGAATAACATAAAAAAACAACTTCGTTTAGGCATAAACATGTAAAGGTTTGTATCTGACAAGTATAGATTTCCAAAATATCGAAACTCCTGACTCCTACCGGTTCCATTTTTACACCCCCACCCCACCCCACCATAGCTAACTGCATTACTAAGCTACATGTATAGGTATGAATGCGGCTAGCCAATCCATCAACTCACGTTATTATACAGATTCAAGACTAGTTCACTTGGTGCAGCTTATATGCTGGTTCCTTTTTGAAAAATGATGAATATTGTTTTAGTTGTTTTGAAAGCCTCTCTTCGCAAATAAGGTATTCGCATTCTGTTCACGACGTATACATACAGTAGCCCAAACCAATGTGAAAAAAATGTTCATATTGCCACATGATGTTTTAAACCATAATTCCCACTT